CGAGTGTAATAGAACTGTTAGAACAACGCTGAGGTGTGGGAAAGCTGCAAGCGAGTATAAAAGTATCAATGGAGGATCCATGGCTGAGGTGCAAAACGACGCAGGACCAGGAAGTGCGTAGGACTAATAATGACTGCGTCCGTCAACACACCCCCTCAACAAGCCACTAGCTGGAGCCTAGGCAGGTGTTTCTTGAAAAGAGGGTAAGGAAGGAAGAGCTCTCATAAAGATATCAGCGGTATTTCGATACGATGGAAGCCATTAATTTATGTAAGTAAAAATGTGCCCTTCTCAATAGTGTTTGAAAATCCGGTCTCCGCCATCTTGTAAGTGTACGCAATCTAAACTATCAAATCACACTTTTTTTGTCGAGCACACACGTACGCTGGTTAGGTTCAATAAATTTGACGTTTTGATCATCGGGAACGTCTGCTTGGCTCGATCGGACGTGATTTTGGCGTGTAATAACCCAGCGAAAAACAAACCAGACTCAGTTGTCGAGCGGAGCCTAAAGACTTTTCACCCACTCTAGAGTCTATATGACTTAAAATTCACAATTCCAAAAACAACCTGATACGTCTGGGCACTGGTAGGTGTCTGGTGCAAATACGACAGCTAGCAACACTGAACCACATTATCATGGCTTTTAAATGTGCTCACGCTAGGCTTGTTTGTCGTAACTTCTTAGGTCTGAGGGTGATTCCACCGCCCATCGGGAGATGCAGGTTTGACTGTCACTGTCCTAACTTCATCATGACTCAAAAGGGCTCCCAAACTTGTTGCCCCGTGTCCATCATACCCGAAAACTTGTTTCGAAAACAAGTGACAAGGAGATGAAAGCTACCCTTCTGATCCAACGTTGATGAGTGACTATGCCCTCAAGTGTCATTTCGCCCACGTGTATTTCCTTTCAGGCTAGCGGGGTGGGCACTTTGGAGGATATATCACCGTGGGTATGCACGCTATTGAATCTTGTGCTGTGTTTCGGTCCGCCAGTGAGCAGCGATCAAGATGCATCTCTGCCAGGTTGCGACTGATTCAGCGCATACGTGGCTTGCCATTGACACGTACGTGTTTCTCCTCAAACTTCTCAATTTCTGAACTGTTTTGAACTTTTTGCTCACAGCCTTGGTCCGTGCCACTGACCGTGGGTTGGCTGGTCCTCGGACATTCCGTTTTTTTTTCCTGTGATGCGCTACTTGTGCCATGAGATTCGAAAAGAGTCACCCTTTTGCAGGTCCCGACTACTGTTCTCACAAAATAAGTTGGTATGAGAGTGGGTATTTTGCTCGCATCATAGCACACCTTATGTAACCGGCGAGTTTAAAACACTGCGTTCGGTATGGCGGGTGCTGTCAAGATACATCGAAACTTTTCAGCGTTTTCTTCAGGTCTGGGTCCTGGGAGTCCAGGAGTCCATCTCCGTGGCAAGTACAGTACCTGCATTCCCGATTCCTGACTTCAGTTCATGTGGCTTAGCCATATATGTGATCGGTGACTGTATTGGATGCCATGACAATTTGTATTGTTTGCTGTGGAATTTACACCTTGCATAATGTCAGAAAGTCAGCGCCATACGTCCGTTCCGTTTTCAAATTCATGCATTATCATGTGGATAACAAAGCTGGGCTGGCCTTCCACTACTCCAATAAATCATGCTACAACTCCCTGACCAACGCGTTTCTGGCAACACGCAGCTCGTTCTCGGTGCTATGACTTGCATTTGGGCTATAGGAGTGATTGTGCGTGCTTACCGTCATAAATCCCACCTTCCTCCGTCTCCTCCCACTTGGTGACTTCTGGGACACTTCCTACCCCCTTACGGGTGAAGTTTTGTATTGGCCTCTTCGTTTTTGTAATCTATTTTTACCTCATTGCTGATCAGCACATGTCTCACTGTAGCACGGTGGATTGACGAATATGGCCCTGTGGTTACTATTCGCTCAGGATTCCGGACCATCGTGATTATCGGCTGATACAAAGTTAGCCCCTTCATGATACGCGATTATCTCCAGACTCAACACTCCGTTGCAGGCTGCGGTGGATATAATGGAGAAGCAGGGTGGAAAGCTAGCTGATCGTCCTCGCCTTGCTGCTGCAGAAATTCTTACACGTGGACTAAGCATTGGTTTGTCACACACTGGGGACAGGTTCCGTTGGATGCGTAGGTGCGTAGCCGCGATACTGTAAAGGCTCAAACAGCCCTCATCTTACTTTCGATGCGGTGCAGAGCACTCCATACGCATCTCCAGCCTAATTCAGCTGAATCGTATCAGCCTCTGCAGATGTCACAAGCGAAAACTGTGATCCTCAACATTCTTGACGATCCACGCAACTTTCAGCACCATGTAGCAACGTAAGCAGTTCCTACGTGCGGCGCCGGAGTCTGATAGTATGTTGCTTACGGGTTTTTGAAGTTATGCCGTAACGACGATCATGGAAATTGCATATGGGAAAACTACGCCCACGTCTGCAACTGGCCCCGAAGTCAGAGAAGCTCGCCAGCTCCTTAGTAGATTTAGGACAATCCTGCGCCACAGTCATTACTTGGTGGACTCGGTACCATGGCTCAAATACATTCCTTGGTATGTGCCAGAATTAAAAGACGAATTCAAGAGGACCAGGCGACTCTACACAGACCAGCTGAACCGTGTGAAACTGCACATGGTACGCATTGCCTTGCCTAGTATCTTCACATGATGTCTGAATAATTCCACAGCAGAATGATGAGGACATCAGTCCTTCCTTTTCAAAATATATTCTAGAAAATGGGTCTCTCTATGACTTGACAGAGACTGAAATGGTGTATCTTGCTGGCACCTTTTTTGGAGCTGGAAATGAAACGGTGAGGCGTCTTTATTTTTTTACAGACATTATACACTAAGATGGGTGCCAGACTGCTGCGGGGATATGCACAGTGCTAATGGCAGCCGCACATTTTCCTGAAGAGCAGGCTAAAGCTCAGGCCAAGCTTGATGCAGTCATTGGAAGGGAGCGAGGTAGTTCCATTGCAGTTCTGACTTCTGTCAATTCATTCATTTTTTTTTGCCGAAGCACCGACCTTTGCCGACAAACCATCCCTTCCTTGTTTGGAGGCCTTCATTTCTGAGGCTTTGAGATGGAGACCGTTGGTTATCTAAGCCGGCTGAGGAACGAGGCCGGCACAGATTTTAGTCTACACACAAGTTAGCAAGGTGGCGCAGCGTTTCTTGCTCCTGCCCACCTCGCAGCATTGCCTGTTCCGAGTTTCAGCTACTATCATTCCTGCGCAGTATGCCCTGAGGAAGCTAAAGGCCGGAGATTATTGTGAACTCCATTACTTCACCAACAGAGGTCTTGAAGAGGCCAAAGTGTCCATACTCTTAGCAGAACCAGATGCATTAGTAATGTTACCAGCTGCAGATGGGCTACATTCCTGGGTCCCAGCTGCAGTGGTCAAGGATCTGAAAGCACCCCCCCATTGTCAGAGATGAGAACCTCTCCTGGGAGGATTTCAACGAGGCGATACCTTGCATGATTGCGTCAATGAAGATGCACAATTGGCCAGAGGACCGAGTCAGCATGCATATTCAATTCTGGGTGGCTGTCATATACCATATACCCAGGTACAGATCCGAAGATCCAGATCTCAGATCCGATCCAGATCCGATGGACATATCCGTCGTCTGGTCCACAGATCCAATCTGATTCTTACTTCATGTCCTGTTCATATAACTCTAACTATCATTCATCTCCTTTTGGTATTCCTGTACACTGGTATACCGGTTATCCTTTACTTCCGCTATGCTTACTGATCCGCTACACTTACTGATCTGCTTTAACTTATACTTCATTCCCGGTTCATGATTTGTGATCCATCCAACTTACCAATACGCTGTGCACATACTTTGCTTATACTTTGTACATAGCCTCGTGCCTTTGCTTATTGATCATTCCGTTAGTTATCCGTAGTATATAAACCCTTGTACATGCGCTGTAGTAGATCAGTTCGAATATCATCTTAGATTGCACTCATTCCGTCTGGACTCTAAGTCCTTCCGTTATCTGTCTGGACTTGAGTACGATACTCTTGTCTACTCTGAGACTTAGGATTGATTCCTATAGTCTATATATCCACCTCTGTCTTCAGACAGTCCTCACCCGTTAGTTTCTAGTTCGGATCCGATCTGGATTAGCTGTTACTCTACATGTCCGATATCCAGAAGCCTTAACAGATCTGTTACGATACTTATCCATCTCACTAGACACAATACTCTAGCACTCTGAAATAAGGGGCAAGACTCGAGAAAGGGGCACAGTGCATGAGCTGAGGCCAAAGCCCTTCGGATCTGATACCTCTTGAGTACGGTCTTAACAGTTGAATGCGCCGCCACACAGACATGGGATAAGTGGTTTGAAACCTTCTCCAAGCGCATATGCAAGGGGCTATGGACCAAAGATGGAAAGCAAATCTGCACAGGTTGGCAACGAGACAAAGGCTGCACCACTCCTAAGCATGACGCACACCACATATGCTCAGGATGTGGAGCAGCCACCCACGGCGCTCAAAAGTGTCCTAGAGCTCAGAAAATTGAATCCACTGACGCCATATAGAGTAGACACTTGGAGACGAGAACTTCAAAGAGCCAGTTTACTTGAACGCTTTGCTACAATACCAGACTGTCTCCTTTCAGGTTTCAAAATAGACTTTCCTTCTATCAGAATTGTACAAACACCTCCGAATAGAGATTCAATTTCTGAATATGCAAATGAATTTGATAATATCATTCAGAAGGAACTACACAAAGGCAGGTACATAGGACCTTTTCTGGCCAACACCCTAGAGAACTTAATAGGACCATACCAATCCTTGCCTTTATCATTCATCCTGAAGCTGGGCAAACCAGGAAAATTCAGAATCATTCAGAATTTCTCATACCCGCATGCACCTAACAACTCCTTCCCAAGCCCATCAATTAATTCCTCCATCGAGACGAACAATTTTCCAACCACATGGGGAAAATTCTCGATCATTTACCAAATAATAGCAAACCTCCCTCCTGGTTCAGAAGCAGCGACCAGAGACGTTGTGGAGGGCCTATAGAACGGTGCCCTTACACCCGTCACAGTGGCCTGTGGGCATAGTATGAATCTTGGACTCCCAGTTCTGCATAGACACCTGCATAGTGTTTGGGGCAGCCCCGTCGGCAGGAGTCTACGGACATGTTGCAGATGCAGGAGCCGAGATCTTCCGACACAACGGTATCGGCCCTCTAGACAAATGGGTAGACAATTACATTTTCTTCAGGGTCAAGCTTGAATTTCTTGATCAATACAACAAATTCAGGAAAGACTGGAACCAATCTTACACTTTGGAAGGTATGCATCAAACAGGAGGTCGCCTTTGGTTCAGTGATATCTGCCCAGACACTGGGAAGCTTGAAGAACTAAGCAAAGACTGCTCAAAGCCGCTTCAGAACTTTTCGGAACACTCGACCAGATCAGACCATGACAAATGTTTCAGTAGCAGCCTACAAGACATAGATTCTCTGTCAGAAGAGCTAGGTATAATTTGGGAACCTCTAAAAGACCAACCTTTCCAAACATCCACGATACACCTAGATTTCAAATGGGACATCGAAAACAGATCAGTATCCTTGAACTTGACAAAAATTGACAAATATCTGGCAGCAATACACAAATGGCGTAAGAGATGGTCCCACGTCCTGCGGGACATCCAAGAACTTTACGGAAAGCTTTTACACGCTTGCGAAGTGGTACCTCGAGGCAGAGCGTACCTAACCAGCCTTGAGGGAATGCTCCCAGAAGGCATTAGCAGTCCAAGGCTCGTGAATATACCAAACAAATTTCTTGCCATTGAACTTTGAAAGCTGTTGGGCATTGAAAACAAAATGTGCACCAACTTCAGGATCCTGAAGCAAGTCCACAGCCCAGTCCCATAGCGAGTGATGAAAAAAACGGAAAGGTCTGATCAACACCTTGGAAGGGCACAATGACCTCTTCCTTCGTAAACTATAATATGTGATTCAAAGTAAGGATATATTCTACACTCAAAGTGATTGGATACAAATGGGAGTCAATTTGAACGAGGCTGCATCCCATGTGTCTCACATGTCTTTACAATTCTGAAGCGTAAACAACTCGCATCTACTGCGATGAATAAGTCTGATGAACCGGTCTGTCTGCTCATGAGTTAGCGCAGCCTCATGAGCAAGTTCGGCCACTTCAAAGTCAATATGAGTGCGAAATGGACACCAGGGCTCAGGATCAACTTTCGGAGGTGCTGCTGGAGCACCAGGGCCACATCTATAATCCTCGAAGTGGTAGACTTGTGTAGGGCACCCGCTGTTGGGGTGATACTGGACTTGGATATCATCAACTTTGAATTGAGATACAGATGATCTAAAATACAGATGAAAGGTGCAAACTCAGACGCACAGAAAAATTGTTGAGACATACCAGGTTCAAATGTCTGTCCTATATCAGTATCATCTGGATGATGTATTGGACCACTGAAGTCGATATCAATGTCCTGCGAATGATCGAGGACAGCTTATCAATTATGGCCAATTCAGAATGGATTAGGATCAGTGATTTGACAGGTTGTGAGACAATCACGACTCACTAAAAGCAGATGGTCGTGCGCCAACAAAAATGCTACCTTGCTGCATATGTCCTCTCTCTACAATGTGTCGACATTTAGTATTTTAGTGTGAAGCGAAACAATGAACATAATACCTTGTCAAATAAGCCTCGCAAGCTCAATGTCCTCTCTTCTTTGTTTGTATCACTTCCAGCAAGCATTCTCGTGTGTTCAGAATCCTTAACGACGGCATTGTGTGTTACAATACAAACATGTCCAGAGTGTGGGGTCAGGAGGCATTGAGATCGGTTTTGATTCAGCAGCAAGTCCAAGACACCTGGTAAACATCTTATTCATTTAAATTATCTTATTAGGCCTATTGAAAATGGGGGGAGACTCACCTTTTCCGAGTCTTCACAGAGTCTGATGGAGAAATGCTGGATTCAGACAGCAGAAAATTGAGTGTCTGATAAGCTCTGAGGGTCTGGATATTTGGTCTAATATTAATACTAAGAATCAGTCTAATAAGACTCAATGACTGTAATAACGCACCTTGTAGACTATTATAATTGCGCAATTTGACAGTCAAATCTGTCTGAGGTGTTGTTGTGTCAAAAAGTAGGGTTGAGGGAGCTGAAAGGATGGTGGTAGGAAGCAACACTGCGACGTGATTCATTTGACAGATAATACATAATTGAATCTGATGTATCATTACTAATGATAGGCACATATGATGTTGGAACTTGGTATCAATAATATGACTCACTTTCAATGTCCCAACTTCGGTGTGAATATTCCTACTGGGTACCAATAATAGAACTCAGGTGCGAAGATCTCAACTCGGTATCAATACGGTTGGAACCGAGTCTCAGAGGTACGTGATTGCAACTGACTTACGAAATTTCCAACATAATTACAATAAGCAGCAAGTGATGGTGAGCTCTTCTTCGAAAAATTGGTTACATAACTTTCCAAAGGGTCACACTGCACTTTGAGGGTTAATAATGGGTGGGGTTTGTGTGGGGAAAATGTCAAATAACAGTCGCATTTTTGAGAAATAACCATAAGATAAATGCGCAACCACTATTCCATGTTTTGTCCAAGTAAAAGTGTCGTAAACACCAGATAAAGCCATTGGTTTTCCTTGAATAATGACCATTGGTTATTTGCCTCGATTTAGACATAGGATTCGCCATTATTCATATTAGTGTTGCCACAGCTTTGGCTAGCGCTGGCTAAAGCCGGCTGTAATTCTCAGGCTTGAGTGAAACTCAAAAGTCACGCTACTTACATAATCACAAACTCGGTCCGGCTTATACAGCTATGGCAAGCAGCTGCGAGCTTGCTCAAGCGCTCAAGCCTGTGTAGATAATTTTAGTGTAATTTAAATTTAGAAATGACATTAAATTTAGAAATGTTACATCTCACTATCGATCAATTATCGACAATCCATGTAAACAACTGTAGTCCCCAAGAGCCTTCATATACAACAAGAATGGGACCCCAATCTGCGGTAAGTCGCACCTTTGTGACATTTTCACGTGTGCTAATGCACATATCAGGACTGTATCACCGTTACCAAAGCAAGGCAGGTAGCTGCAGAGTCATTGAGGGTGGCGAGGGGTGCACAAGGACGAGAGCAGGAGGTGACTGTGGTGTATGAGTCAGGGCGCACATCCAAGTTGCAGATCAACTTGGCGAGAGCGCTCGGATTCAGGCTCCAAGACAACAACAAGTGAGTGCATCAGTGTGCGGGAGATCCTAAAGAGGACTGAGATTGCAGTCAGTAGCAATCAAACTCATGCAGACGCCAACAACAACTCACTGATTCAATCGAACGCGCCTGCTGCATTGAGAGACGCGAGGAACAGATAGTTTTACAAGTCCCGTAGTCGTAGATCATGTTCCTGGGCTCTTTTGGCAATGTTGAGGCTTGTTACATTCATGCAGTGATGAGATGGCTCACAGCAGCTCTCAATCTGTGTCCAGAATTGCAACATAGTTCGAGGTGTAGGTTGTAACTTCCTGTCTGTGGAGGAAGCTACGCGAATGCTCAATACGACATGAAACAAAATGAGAAATTTAACGAATAAGAACATACTTACTGAGAGGCTCATATCAGTGTGACAATCATATTTCCGCTGGGCTTGTATGAAGCCACTATGCAATTTGCATCCATACCCCATGTTATCCAACTCACCCCTAGTCATCCCTGATTCAACCCGATGATCAGACCCGCTCAGATACCCTGTGGACTCGTCCTACCTATGTCCAGTCCAGTCGCACTTTACCCCACTAGGTGCGCAGTCATTTATTTCCTTATTACTGATGTGGTAGACAGCGCTATTACATGTATTCCCACTGGCCGCAGCACCTCATGGCCTTTTACATATTTCGTCGGACCCAATGATGCGCTACTACTTTCACCTACAGTACTCCGGACTTTCACGTAGCTAGTTAAATAGGACTCAGTAGGAGATCGCACTTTAGCACTCTGTACCAGGGAGAAATTCCCTGATACTGGTCACCCTACCTAGTCCCTATCCCCTATACCTGCTGAATTTATCTGATTTCCTCTCATTACGATCTGAACCTCAGTCCCTCACTATCCCTAAACATTCCCTTGTGTTTCCGATCCTAACCTCGCACCTTTCCTTGCCTTTCCCTTGCTTTCCCGTCCTCCCTGATCCCCAAAATGTTGGGCTTGATAGACCCTACATCAGACTCAGTCTTTTCCCTTTGGACTCGTACTTTCTACCTTCGGGTTCTGTTCCTTGCATAGTACTGACATATTCTGACTTAACTAGACAGCAGGCCCCTTTAGGGTCAAATGCTCTTGCTTGCAAGTGAAGCAGCTAGGCAGAGCTAAGACCTCATATACTGGCTAAGTACTTTTACAGGTATCTAGTCAAGTTGTGATTTCCACATCAGCAATGAAGATACAAATGACATGTGCAAGGAAACACACTTGAAGATGCCATCATGGCCTCATGAAGTGCAATAGCCTGATCCAAGTCTTCAGCACTGCCTCGGTGAGCAAAGTGGGTGGAGAGTTGAATTTTTGCACCGACAGGGTCCAAACGACGCTGTTCAGCAACATGCAATGATGTCTTGGCAGGCGTATTACCCCCATATGATGAAATTGGCATCCTGTTACTGGTGCCTGCAGGGGGGATAGATGCCAATTGCGATAATAGCTGTGGAACCTGAGAGAAAGGTTCATAGTCAGTGATAGTCTTCCATGGAAAATCTCGAAAAAAAGCGATGAAACCAGGTCGCGACTGTGAACATGGCAGAAGTAGGCCTGCGGAATAAAACATGCATGAAAAGAATATCGATAGGCATGAATTGACAAGGGCTAACAGTCCAAGGGAAGAACCGAGACGGAACAAAAATTCGACGCCCCTAGATCGATCATACAACTCCTTTGCGACCGTGTAGGATGATGTGACGACACTTGGGATCTGCTGAAGAGCTGATAACAGAAATACCCACTGAGATTGCATGCATATGGTGGTGTCCCTCAGAGGCTGAGGAAGAGACATTTACATCCAGTGTCCATTGTTGGATTGGCGTACTGGTCTCTAGACGTCAACTCAATACACATGAGCAAGGGTGTGGGGTAAGAGTATCGCTTGACAGCATCCGTGATCTAAAGGGGGATGGTGAGCAGAGTACGATAGTAATGACGTGACACAACGTGCCTTGATATCAACTAAGTGCTTGAAAAGATCTGTCTGACCGAGAAGATAGTAAGAGTATCGCTTGACAGCATCTGCCTCCTCGTAATTGCGTGTACTCACCTTGGCTTTGTCCATTTCTTGTTGTTTGTCATGGAGTTGGCTCTCTTCTGCCTGTAGAGAGGCAGCAAAAGAAGTGAAAGTGCAAGTTTGCTGAATTTTTGCCAGTTTTGATGGTGATGAGCTGCCGGCGACGGGGCTCTTATTGAATGCATAATTAGTTAGAACCGGCAGCCTGGGGCCTAGAATGTCAGTGTTGCAGAGAATGAGCTTGGTGAAAACACCATCCATAGCCTCAACAGTCCGCCCTGAAACTCATAACACATTGACATCAGGGATGGTTGGGACTGGGTTGGGCATAGTGCACACTGTCAGCTGTTCACTGTGCGGCTGGTAAGAAACAAATAAAGCATTGAAATGAAAATCAGCACAACAAAGAGCAAGAAAGTGCAAGCAAAGGCAAGAGGCGAAACAGTAGATAGCAGAGAAAGAAAAGTCAGATAAGAAGTAAGTGTCACTTGTCGTAGATGATAGCAGTGTCCTCAATATTGTCACACTCCTCCTCTGCAATGGCTCTGAGAAGAGCGTCATTTGTGCTGTCAGTAGATGTCAAAAGCTCGTTAGAGCCTCTGTCATATACCACCCCATGTTCCATGTCCCATTAAGAGGCTGCCCAACCTTTCGTAAAATTAAGCCGGTCTTTCTTCAGGAAAAACTTAACCATCTTCAATGCTTCCATCAAAATGGGGCTGAGGCGATTCCTTTTTTCGTATGGGTTTTGCTACTTGATGAAAATACCCGCTCGCACGGCACTGCAGAGGCTTGTACTGGGGCATAGTCCATGGCAATTGAATATATGGTTGGGAACATAGACTGCGAAGCCTAGTAAACAGCTTGTAGTTAATGACAAAGGGTGACTTGAAGAGGTTGCGAACTCACATTCCAAAACACAAGTATATCTGTTCCACGAGGACTAAGTGTAGCCGTGGTGTATGCTGCAAACTCCTGATCTACCGTTTGATCACTCTCGTGGTGATGTGGCACATGTGCATGTGCTGCGGGAAGTCCATAGCAATGTGAGCCTAGTGTGTGTGGCAGCGGTCATGGAACCACTACAGGTTGAGAATGCACAGGTATAGAGTTTTCCGCTCGCTTGCTATGCATCTGAAGAACAAATCAATCCAATGTCGTGCTTTATTTTACTACAGAGACATACCAGCTTCAAGATAAACTCCTTGGCATCCTTGACATGGTCAGCCTCCCATAGACTGCCCATCCAAGACATCCGCATCACAGGATCAATGACTATAAAAGTAATTATGAGATCAATATTCATTAAAACAAAACACGGGACTGACACATAGCGACAGCATAAGCATGTGTCGCACCCATCCGGTCGGTGTATTTGCTTGCCCAGAGTAAGGCTATGTCGATGATAGGCTTACAGTGAGCGACATGCAGGCCAATAGACTCCCAGCCGTTGATCAACTCTTCAGAAGTTGGAACAGCACAGCTCAGCAAGGGAGTGCTTTCGCTGGAGAGTTTTTGCCGGGCAGTGTGGGGTGCCTGGTATGAAATGATAAGTTGGATCACAAGCTTCAAATGCATCAGTACTTACCTCCAAGATCACTTCCAGGTCCTGGAGAAACTGCCAATCCATCTCGCTCAATCTTTTCTCAGATATGTTGTGTTGAGGCCAAGCATCAAAAAAGGCGGTTACTGCCTGGGTGGGCCAGTATTAGTCCAAAAGGTATGTTTAATGATGTGGCATCTTACCTGCTGCAGTGTCTGCAAACGGTTGATCATAACATAGACCAAATCCCATCTAGTGGGCTCATTGAGAAGGAGTTCTACGACTGGGAGCTGTATAAGGTCACCACTGTCATCTCAAAACCACCCATCCTCATTACCCCTAAGGATGCACTCGCGAAACCTGTCGCGCCGCTGGTTTGATGCGCAGATCAATTGCACAATATTCCTGGCGCACTCAAGAGGCTTAGCTTGCACAGCCTGGACATAATCAACTTTCTTGATGATCCGGTCTTTGACTGTCCATGTATCGGCCACAGTGGAATAGTCAGCAGCGGTGTATTTGTTGATGATATGCTTCATGCATATGTTTATTATGTGCAGGAAACACGATATCCTGTGTTCAACAGGGTCAAAATCAATCCCACGTTGCCCAAGTAGGTTGGAAAGCTCCTGCATTGCGGTTTGATTGTTGCCCGCATTATCAAGAGTAAAATGCCCAGTCTGAACAGTGTCAGAGCATGCAACATAATACAAACAAGTACTAACCTTGACTGCAGTGTCTGCACAATTGAGGAGATAGAAAATCATAGAACCAAGACTGTGTCCATCATGGCTTCCTGGAATATGGTGGAAAGCAAGGAGGGCCATCTTTAACATGAGCATTGAATCTTCATTGGCCTTGGCAATCCAATGAGCCATAAGGGCCATGAACGGCTGGAGCTTTTGATCCGACCACAGGTCAGATGTGAAGCAGACTTTTCCCTGTACATGCTAAAAGGAATAAGATACTTCATAGCACACTTGGCAGCTATGCACTTACAGCAAGATCATTCTTCAACACCAGGAAGTATTCCTGCCATTGCTCAATTACCATTTTGCGAGCCTTCATGCGGTGAAATAGGCCGGTCTCGCCAATTTCTGGGTGCAGGAGATGGATGAGGCGCCGGAATTCAGGGCACTCAATCATATTTATTGCCTGGGGGCAATTATTAATGGTGGCTGTAGGCACGAACTGCTACTCACCTGATCATCAGCAACAATAAACTTGACAATTTGATGATGCATTTCGTCAAGTGTGAAGTCTGGAATTTGATCTTCTGGAGAGCAGGTTCCTACCAGCAAAGCACTAGATCCCTTGTTAGGGGGGGGACCAAGTGATTGCATCGTGCAAGGCGATTTCTTGAGTTGTTCACAAATCATCTTCAGTGACCACCATTTGGCAAGGCGTTCATTTAGATCCTTTATCTGTATGCGCCAGCCAAAACACTTGGCCGCTTCCAGATAAAGTTCGGTGTGGTGAGTGAAAGCATGTGTACGGGGAGCTGAGCTGGATGTTGAGCCTGCGTATACCATGACCTTATGCGTTGTGTCAATTTCATGCAGTGTTCTGGTGAAGAGTATGAGAAACAATACAAGATTGCAGACGTGATACTTACTCGCAAGGGATGCAAGTTTTGCTCTTCATATCGGGATCAATCTGGTAGAAGTGATTGATATCAGTTGGCCCTTTAGGCTGCTTGAGGTTGCCAGTGGCTAAAGGGTCAGTGCAAACAGTGCTGGTGATGGTCTGGAGTGGGCTCAGATTAGAGCCTGCAGGCGCCATAGTGGCAGGTGCAGCAACATTTTCTGGTTCCTCTTCATCCCCTGAGACATTGTCAAGGTCAAAAACTTCACCCTCATCTGGACCAGCAGGAGCTGCATCACTGGTTCTGTACCTGACAGGAAGTTGACGCCAATGGGGGTGCTGAATAGTAGTGGCGTTTGCTGCAGCAGCAGGAGGAATAGCATTAGGGATGGTGGCTGGGATGCCAGTGGGGATAGCAGGGATAGCAGCAGAGGCAGCAGGGATATTAGTAGCAACAGGAGAAACACCAGCTGTCTGGGTCTTATTCTGCCCACATCGACGACCTCGCATTTGTAGTAGACTTGATGATAACTCAACAACAGAACCATCTGTCTTTATAAGAGTTCTGCCTGGGAAACCCCAGAAACTGTGTTGGGAAACCCCAGAAAATCCCCATGTATGCGAAGCACATCGCAGGTGACAATGTAGTGGAATAGGGCAGGGTATCAATGGAAGGTCACCCATACAGCATGTGATAGCCTGTAGGGTGATTATATGAATTATATGATATAAGAGAAGCAAATGGTAAAAGTGCAACGCACAAGTTTGGCACCTGTCGGATGACTGACAGGGTGTGGGTGTAGTTGGTCTTCTTCATCTGTTTTCCGTCAATAAAAGCTTGCAAAGCACTATGATTTGGTAGAGGTGAGGGCGGGTGGGGGGGATCTCACTCAGTGAAGGACATACCTAGAGACTAAAGTGAATTGGCTCCATGTGGCTTTCTAGATCACCATTAGATAGATAGTAGCTTGAGAAACGAACGGCTTACCTTCATCCTCAGGGTTTCAATTCCAAACCCAGATCGCAAGGCAGTAAAGTCATCTACCAAAAGGTTAGTGATACATTGGAAAAGGGTCCCCCATGCGGCCTTGCATGTAGGTGCAGATGACTACCACTCCTAGAATTTGATCACCGTGCAATACAGTTTTACAATCGATAAAACAACTATTATCTTGTACAAAAGTTGAATTGCTGAACCCTATCGCCTAGTGACGCAGCCTGTTTAAAAACAATTCAAAACTTCAATTGCGAATAACCATAAGTGCCAATGAGACCCTCACCTTGGCGATCATGTCTGATCAGCAGGAGCAAATGTGACAGCAAAATATATGGTGATTCTAAGTGATGATGAAGGTTTGGCACAAAGATTGATAGCTGCGCACTGCGCAGCATGCTGAAGGGAAAATAGACAGATTAGTAAGTGATTCACACTGAAGGCGGTGCACAAATACACGTGATCCATTGCAGTACACTAACATATTGCTAACATATGTAAGGATGAGACTTGGAACCAAATCGTGTGACTCTTATAATATATATGTACTGTAGTCTACAACAGCGACATTCAGTAACCAGTCAACATTTCCGCTGTGGAGTTGACGTAGCACACCATGAGGAGCCCATTGCGCAGTGAAGATGAGGAATCGTGAGTGGGTCTATACTGAAAAATATAAGATAAGTCGCCTGCAGTAGTCCTCGAACGCGAGTAGAAGTCGGCCCAAGAGGATCTTTACTGAGTCTTTTCCTCGAGTAAATGCGAGGGGATGCGCTGAATGAGTCAGCAAGGGAATCTGCGCAAAGCGTGGGTGCGAGACGCCTTGTAAACGCGAAACGCGCGTTAACGCGACGAAAGGCAAAAGCGCAATGTAGGCGGAACAAGCGCGCTATAGGGGGCAGTGAAGAGGCGGAAGTAGCGTGAAGGTCTCTCAAGATTTTCTCAAGAGAGCTTGTTGCAAAAGAATAGAGAGTCGCGCAGTGGTTGTGTTGCAAATGAATAGAAATTGATTCACAGTATACACTGATGCAGGATGATGGGATGTAGTGAGTAAGTAAGTAAGTGAAAAATCTATCAGAGTCCCCATGTCTAAGGTAAATGTTCCCAGGCGCTGAGCCGAAGCGGAAGCGAAGCGAAAAAGAGTTGTTGTGTTGTAGAATAAGGAAATATGTGTAAACAGACGAGGTATATAGCTAAAGTCAGTTGAAAAGATAAAGGGAGACGCACCAGCGGATCATAGAGGGACAGGACAGGACGTGCGGAGGACAGGCGACTTGGAAAAGCGACGCGAAGGTAAAGCGCGAAAGCGCGTGCAAAGGCGCCGTAGTAACGCGAAAGGCGCTATAGAGGCGCGCTATAGGCGCCAGATGCGTGGATGCGCGGATTAGGCGGAAGCGTCGCGTGTTTAGTGCGTTTAGAAGTCGCCTTGTCGTATATAGCGCGCGTTAGTGGAGACGAAGTGGAAATACGGCCTTTGTGAGGCTACTCGCAATGGAGTCCTACAGCGGGTGTAACCTTGTAGTTAAGTTAAACTTTGGTTCAAAGATATGGAACAAACAGGTTACTCACACACGAGTCAATCTGTGAGCTGTCTCTGGTGGACATGGTGATCTTGCTTTGGCCACACAGCACTGATCAGGTAATAGAAGGGGATGTATGGCAGAACCATCAGGTTGACTGAAATCCAACATGCACGTAGCTGGTGCAGGCAATGTGGCACAAAGACTGTAAAGTAATGAACGGAGGTGATCGTAATCAGGATCTTCTGCGAATGCAAGAGAGCGGGGTGTAAATAAGGATGTTTGCGAACTCAATGGGGATGTCGTGACATATTTCTGCAATGGTAGCGCGTGCTTTGCACTTGAGTATGGTAGAGCTGGACAACTTCTCATCATCACGGGTTAGCCATGGAAGGGAAGCCACACAAGAAATAGATTAGCATGTAAGTGAGTGACTCGAGATCGTCACGACGACTTTGACTCGACTCCTAAGTGATTGTTGATCGAGGCAAATGCAGGAGTGCCAGAGAGACTTCGACCATGGCAAAATGACACATGGTCACTGGTTGTAGCATTCCAGTATGTCTTTGTGATACCAAAGTCTATAATAAAAGCAGTGTGCCTCAAATTTCCAAGACCCACCAAGATGTTCTGCAGTTTGATGTCGCCATGAACATAATTGTGGGAGTGGATATACTCAAGACATGAGAGCTAGGAAAGTCAGTCAACCTATCTGCAAAGACCTTGGACCAAATAACTTACCAACTGGACTCCTAGATTGACAACATTAAGAAGGCTGAATCTTTGATTGTTTGCAAGGAAGAGTTGGTGGAGTGATGGCCCAAGGAGTTCGAGAACCAGCGCAGTGATACGCTGACTCTCTACCAAACCAGAAGGTGTGGGGGATGCCAACTCCACCTTCAAGTTGTTTCAACATCCAGTATTCATGCTCCAGAGAAGATGAGTGGTCGACAACAGTTTCGAGTTTGAGAGCAACATGATCATCATTGATGATATTCCGTGCAGAATATATGACAGCTAAGTTGTATAACATAAGTGGATCTGAACCAGGATAACAAAATTGACTACATACCATACAAGCCAGATCCTAAAATATCCCCCAGCCTAAATCTACCATCCACTTGAGCTGGGACCTTATTCATGGTAACTTACAGTGAATCCAACCGAATAGTGGGGAACTGAAAATGAGTTCACTATGCAACCCCCTCCAGCTGGCTTGAAGCCAGCTCAAGCTGTTGTTCTCACATTCTTGGCTTATGCTATATGTACCAGTTGAGGTTGCCTTGCAGACCAGACCAAGTCACACATGAGTGACTTGGTTCATGGGGATCAGCCGAACTGCCGGTTTATTGGTAAGAGCCGAGCCCAGACCGGCCATAGCTGAGCTACAACACTACTAATTGATATACATCTAATTGATACCAACCAAACTGCAGCTCCAGCTTCATATCTGTCCTCCTCCTACTGTGCATACAGCCAATTCAAACCCTCGGATGCATACAAACATGCCTCCGAAACCCCCTGTCATCCGCATGACACCCCAAGGCATATCTACTGGACCATGATCAGCACCTGGTGTGAGGAAACAAAAGCCGGACAGTGCATCAAACGCTGACTGCAACGAAATGAGCACGTCAAGTGAGGGCCACAGGGTCGAATGTGCCATGGGAATCACCATTTCTCAATCGGATTCAACAACCTGCAGCAGCAGCACCACGTGCTTTTGAGCCTGAGATGAGTGTAGCAGAGTCTGAAGAGCTTACCAGGCAATTGCAACACCATGAGTTTGTGGCTGCAACAGAAGGATCAAGAGAAATGGGGAGACTGGGAGGCAGTTGTGAGATAGGAGATGCTGCAGATGCTGATGAGCCTGAGGACGAATATGACTCAGATGCATTAATAGACCCAATTCTTCGCAATGATAGCCAGCGGAGGCAGCACAAACGACAAGACTCCATACCTGCCTCAGAAGACAATAGAAGACAGCCCAGCAGCTCCTCTCTGATGTCTCCCATGTCCTTGACATGCCCTCGACCACCTGTAAACCCAGCCCAGCCATTCATTCCATCGGGGAGAACATCAACTGCAGCAGCCTCTCGTGGCCCGTCCACAACTCCATCTCAACCAGCATCGACAGTGCCATCTATGCGGGGGTCCACACCACTTTCCAATGCCTTTAGCAGCCATGGGACATTGGCCACTCCAGCGAGTAGCATCTTCAAATTAACACAGTGTCAGCACCCAGTGCAACCTTCAAAGACGTCTCAGGCAACTGCAAACCAGTCATTCCAAACACCAGACTTACCTTTGGCTCTGAGAGCTGGCTTTTCAACTGCAAGTGACTCTGTGCCACGCCATCCAGGAGGTCCTCCACATACTGCTGCGAGAGCTCCCAGTACTGCATTCTCCGATAAATTGGCCAATCTTGATGCTCTTGTCCAGAATCTTGTGAGCAACATGGAGCAATTAACAGTGCAATCCAGAACTTCAGCAGGACTTGAAACTCAAGTTTACTCCCTAGTCAAGCAGAATGAAGTCTTGTGAGACATGGTCAAGGAACATCATGCCAAGATTGATGAGCTCAAGAATACTGTTAATGCACAGAGTACATTATTGGATGAACTTCTCACCTTGATCAATGACCGTTGCAGCTTTGATATTCTTGGTCTGTCCACCAAATCTGTTGATAAGGCAACAAAAGCCGTGCACAACAATGTTTTCAATGTGAGTAATACTAGCAGCATGCCCAGTAGTATATGCACTCACTATTTTTCAGGCTGCTGTTAGACATACATTTCTGCACGCCATGGGTATATCAGATTCAAAACAGGCTGCAACATTAGAGCCACTCAAGCAAGATACCTTTTGGCTAGAATGTCCAACACAAGGAGCAGCAGTTCTCCATCCCAACTTTGGAGGTTCATAGATGGAAAATGTTGACTGGAGGGAAGATATGATCTGATATGTCCGACTAAAGGCCTGCAAGGTGTATGGTCAGCTGTGTGAAGAACATCTGAAGAAAAAGAGCGATGCTGACATCATGAAACAGTTGAAGGAAGTCTTCTAAAACATGAGGGATGCCATAAAGAAGGGAGGGAAAGGATCAGATGCAGTGGAAGTGAGGAATCTGAAGCAGTGACAGAATGCTCGAAAAGCTTGTGTAAGTGACATAATACTTCAACTTGAATCACTGAAACAGATGTGATGTAGAAAAACAATGAGCATGTGGTGTCCTCTTACTTAAGGGTCTTATATACAACATGTATATAGTGACAGCACAACTATATAGGATAGGACTTCTTGCCAGTCCTTAAGTACATGGTCTACGACTTTTCTAGTTTTTGTGGTAGATAATGTGTGAGTTCTTGGGAGGGTTTACTTAAAAATGTCCCTTTCTTGCTTTCTCTCTGTAGGTTTGCTTTGAGGTCTTTGTCAATTAAATAGGTTTATTTCACCCTATGAAAGTTTGCCTCAGTGTGAAGTAGTTCTCTTAGCTTAATTCTCCCTTCCTGTGAAAGAGAGAGGTTATTTGTATGTGTGAAGTTGAGTTTAAGTTTAGTAGGTTAGTTTGTTATATAGTCAACCCCTGTAAGGTAGTATATAACTCAGATAGATATTTCTTAGTCTTACTTCAAGGCACTAGTTTTGCCTGCACTTTATTTCTTAGGTAATCTCACTTGATTTGAGAACAGGTTTTAAAGTGGGAAGTCTAGATTAACAGTGGCAAAATGGGCTCCTTTTATACCTTTTTGGAGGCCATCTTACTAAGCATGATTCAGCACATGGATTGGTAAGAACATTCTTACAAATCAATCCTTTTGGTGTGTTGAGTCAGCTTGTTTACTAACTAGCTTATTAATACAATGTAATATTACAAAGAAAGATGAATAAAAGACATGAGTCATCCCAAGGATTGGTAAGAACATCCTTACAAACCAATCTTTTGAGTGAGCTGAATCAGCCTTCTTACTAAGTAGCTTATAAATACACTTGCAAGTCTTACAAAGCATGACAAATCATGACAAAAACATGATGAGTCAACTTGCATCCTTACAAATCAGATTATTAACCAGTCACATGACAAGCTTACAAACATGCTTTGTGGCTGGAGAGGAAGTCTGATGAACAAATATGCCTAGAAAAAATGGAAAGAAATAGAATCCCATGGAACAAAATAGAAATACATGGAAAAATGGAAGTGAAGTTTTGAAAGTGAAAATACTAGTTAATAACTAAGGGAAAAATGATGGGGTAACTTGGTGATAGGATACAGTCTGGTGTATTATACCTTCCTTATTACTCCTATTATGTATATGTCATGGTATGAGTCACATACCATGCATGACAGCGGATGAAGAAGTGCGTAAGGAAACAAACACCAACAGTCTGGTGTAGAGACTCGCGTTTCTGCAGGCTGTTATGGGCCCATATTACGAATTCTGACAACTGGCGTTTCATGGCACAACTCACACCATCATCCATATGACTTCCACCAAGTCTTCAGTTGATTCCGCATATCATGCACAGCTTTCCCACAAAATGTGCCATAGGCGCGACACTTTCCCGCACAACGCGCAGTATTCCTGCATGTGCGCCTTGCGCGCTTTCTCGCGCTTAAGCGCCCTGCGTCTCGCAGCATCCAGGAGCATCCATTTATCGTCCAACCAGTCCCTTGGTATGTCCCTTTTCATTATCTGACTATATTTGGCATATTACACTTCCCATTTCATTATGGACCCTTACTTTACATCATTTACATACTTAGAGCGCTCCCTATCCGGCTCCAAGTCCTGGGAAAAGTGCTTAGGTAGAACTTACATACTTTCATGTTCATTTTACACCCAACTTCTCTTACCACCCATCTACTGCCACTTAGAGGCAGTAGAGAGCCACACTATAGACCAACAATCATATTTCCACTTGACATAGACTTTATCTTGCATCAAGAACCGCTTTTCTCGCGCTTTGCACGCTTTGGCACTTTTCCTGCGCTTAGTGCATTCCCTTGGAGGCTCATTCTGTGGATCCTTGCTTTCTTTGCTTCCCCTTTAGGGTTGAACGTTCTTGCATTCTGTGAGTATAGCAGCTAGGCAGAGCTGAGACTCACTTATACTGGCTGAGCACTTTTCTTATATGTGCCTGCCAGGTTGTGATACCCACACCGGAGTGGGACTGGTTTTACCAAGCCTGTTATCAGTCCACTGACAAGTCAGATTCTGGTGGCAGAACAACCAAACAATCATTGGTGGATACAGAAGGGAAGTTGATCAACTTCCTAGAAAAGAGTTTCCCGGGGGGTACCTGTCTTTTGGAAAACAATGTCACATGTATGGAGAAAAGGATGACCGTTTGACCCCTTGCCATGATGAAGCTGCCTTTAAGCCTGTGCTGCAAGTGTGAGTTTTCTTGTTTGAAATACTTCCTCTTCGTCACGACAATGAGCATGATTGTATTACAGGCACAAACATTCACCTGTACATGTAGTGTTGATGCTTCAAAGTATCAGATTAGAGATAGCCCTTGATGCATAAAACACTCTAAACCTTTGACAGTGAAGCATCAAATCAGAGAGTACTGCCGCCCTACTAGACCCTCAGCTTGCAAGCTTTAAGCATCAAGCTAGAGACAAGGCTGACATAAGGCCCCCATTGGTATTCTTGCAAGCCAGATCTCAGTTGCTGATCTCAAAGCCTGATTCCGTCATTGGTGCTTCTCCGTCATTGGTGCTTGGTACCTCTCCACCGTCTGCGGCACCAGGAACCAACAATACGAACATTGCCATATTTAGTTAACATTGACTACAGACAGAAAACGCGCAAAAGCCCCACCACGAGTCCACAATGCGGGGGATTCCATACCTAACTTGTCTCATCTTCCTCCTTCCTCCCTCTCCCCGGTGCTGTCCAGTGTCCACTAGTGCTGCCGTGATCCAGTCCTGAACCATGGTTCGAACCAGACTTTTGGTCCAGTTCCCCTGTGGTTCGGTCCACGGTCCAGGTGTCAGCCAGAACTGGACCATAGTACGGTTCTCAGTTCTGGTGTTGGGTGAACGGTTCGACTTCGGTTCGGACGGGTCCCGAACCGTTCCGAACCCCGAACCGATGGTATGTGTGTCACTGCTGTGACTGCTGTGGCAACTGCCGCGACCACTGCTGCGCTGCTCCCAAATAGTGAGTGCACATCAATTATACTTACTGCTAGTCACTGGAACCTTCCAATCCTTGTCCTGCAAATGAACCATGGCCAAGTCGAGCATGCGCCCACTCCTTATTATTATAATCACTCACAGTCAGATGGTATCATCACAAGTACTTCTGGTCTGCAAGTCAGTTCTCCCATATATCATTTTAACAACTATCTTCCTTGTCGCCAAACAATCTTTCATATTTCAAGGAATTTGGGTGAAGCTGTCCGAGGTCACTGTCAAGGGTGCTCGATATAACTCCCGTGAACGTCAGCCCCACCCAAAATGTCTGCAAAGGACCCGGGTAGGATCTCCTCGAATACATCCACGGATTCCTGGTCAACACAGAAAATCAGCTCATTTGGCTGCATGGCACGGCTGGCATCAGAAAGTATGCTGTTGTGTTCACAGTAGCTGAGAGGATGAGAAGTCTAAAAGTGATAGAAGAAACGAATATCAAAAAGCAGCTAGCGGGAACGCTCTTTTTCTCATGCAAGCACACGAAATGTTGCACGACTGGATATTTTTTTGCGACACTTGTCTACCAGCTTGCCACCAATTTCCCTAACATCCAGAAAGATGCAAACAGAGCTATCTGCGACATCCCGCTCTACTAAACCCAGACACACCTCTCTGCGACCAGACATATGGGGGCTCTCTTTCTCCAACCCCTCTGGAAACTTTGACTCAGATTGTGTGGATGTCCACCATTGTCATTTGTTATTGATGCCCTTGATGAACGCACATCCAAACCTGAGCTTACCGAACTCATCCTTTCCCTTACACAGGCTCTTCATGAGCCTGATCTGCCTGTGACCCACATTCTGCTCACGAGTCACTCGGAATCACATATCTGTAAAGCTTTTCAGAACAAAGAGGTGCGCCCACTGGTGTGCGAGATACCAGTGAAAACCTCTGGGGAGGGCATTGCTACTATCATCTCGCTAGATGGCGCAGACGTTGACAATGACATCTGTACTTTCCTGCGGCATTCCTTCGAAGATCTGGAAAGTCGCCATCCCGATTTCCCTCAGCCAACGAGGGATGAACTCACACACCTGGCAAGCCACGCTGGCAGATGTTTCATCATAGTGTCTACGATGATGAAATTTATCGTCGACGATGAAGACAAGGATCCACGCGATCGGGTACAGCTGATGCTCAAGCTGATGAGCTCGCTGCTACCAGGAACGGAGGTGTACAAGTTATGTGATTGCATCCTCTCCACATGTGCCAACCCCAAGCGGGCTTACATGCACTTGTCCATTGTCACCTGCCCTTGCAGACCCTCTTCCCATCTCACAAATCTCCACACTTCTTGGCCCTGGTCATTGACTCTGCACTGCAATCCACTTCAACGGTAGAGGCAGAGGGGCATGCAGCTAAGTAGTTGGACTAGCTACTCAGTTATATAGAAGTACTGTGTCAAAATTTTATGTTTGAAAAATTTACGGTTCGGTTCACGTTCGGACCAGAAAAAAACCGAACCGGACCGTTGAGAACAGTTCTCGATGGTCCAGTTCTGGGTTCAACAATTTTGTAGAACCAGACCATGGTTCGGTTCTCGGTTCTCGTCGAGGACCCTCTGAACCGGACCGAACCGGACCACGGCAGCACTAGACAGTGTCCACATCTGTTCAAGCCACACCAGCCTTTGCTGGCGTGTGCTGGGTGTGTGTGCATGACATCAGCGGGTGCTGGAATCAAATGGGGGTTGAAATTGGTGCACTGGGTGGTGCTGGTGGTGTCGGTGATGACAATGGCAAGACTAGTGGTGAGAACGCTAAGATAGGCACTGATGACATGGGGTTTGGTGCAGCCGGCATTAAGGTTTGTGGAACATGTGTGGGGTTTCGTGTCGCTCTGGGGGTGGAGTAACAGCTCGTACTCACAGGATCTGGGATAGACGAGGCGGGAGAGTGATAGGTCCGAGCTCAAGCCAAAATGGGCGCAGATGAGCGACGTGTTGACATCGGCTCGTGCCCTGCAATATGTTACACAGTGATACAAATATTTTCCATTACTATACCACTCACCTTAAAAGGACCAGCTCCAGCGCAGTTACATCTTTACAAGAAACTGAGATGTGAGTTAGAACTTAGTGTTCGTTCTCGTGTTCGAAATATTGTACTGACGAGACCGTAGCGTACCTTGTGTTCTACTAGTAGGTACAGAGTTTGTTACATCAGGGAAAACCTCCTTTGCGAAATCGACGAAATTTCAAAAAATCACATAAAAATCCAGGGAATTCGGTAAACTACTCGTATTCGAAGGTATTTCAAGAAATTTCATTGTACTGCTCAGACGATAGTTAAGCAAGCGTGCATGTCACTGAACAAGTTTACGAAGAAGGCGGAACAGCACTCCAGAATGGTACTACTCGATTCACGAGGTGCTACTGTACCGAAATTCAGAATAAGATGAGCACTCCTGCAGATATCGACACTTGCAAGACACTCTCCATGCTGAATCAAGTGGCAAACTTTGTACAGCCCATGGTGTGAACCATTCCACATGAGCAGATGGTTTTGCAGGTCCAGCAGGGATTCAGGAATAATGCATTTGAAGCTTGACTTGTCAGCGTGAAGACGAAACAGACTTGCGAGGGCCGAGAATGTGTCCGATGGTGAGATACAACGCTTCCTCACCACTGAGAGGAATCTGATTAAGGATCAGGTATGGAACAATAGGTGTGAAGATAGATTTTGTGCATCCGAATTGGGCTGGTCACTGTGCACATTGAGTTTTAAACAAGAACTTGGAAAATATTGATCTGAAACATAGTTTATGATGTGAGCATCTTAGTATAACACTGCTAGATGAGATGTTCGTACCAAAGGCACGCACCATAAGACAGCGACAGTACTACTTTATGATATTGCGGTGGTTGTCGACTCTGAGATGACATGCGAAGTTTCAAAAACTTTCAAAGTCCAATATTTACTAATCAAGACGCACGTCCCATCGGTTCCCACGGTTGAACTTTTCAATGTGCAATTTTCAACATGTCTCGCTTGCTTCTTGCAACCCCTCTATGTGGCTTCTGCTTTACATTGTGGTTGTTTTGGGTTGTCTACACTTGTCTCCTCATCCTTTGACCTACTTACTTGACACTGACTGTGTACTGGGGGATGCACAACAGGCATCCACTTTTGGGACTTGCGATAAATGTGGTGTCTGACGGCCAAGACGCACAAGCGGATCTCGATGCTGCTGACAGTTTCCAGGACATATCTCAAAACCCTCAGGAGATTCGACGATGTTATTGGGAAGATTGCGGATGTATGGACCCTGCTCTCAATTGGAACTGAACTAATCTAGTTCCACAGGTACATCCATATGCAAAGATGGCACTGGGCTTGCGTCGACAGTGAAATGAACAATCCCCTTCCTCGACCTCTATATCAGCGTCATTTTGAGCTACCATCTGAACCTCTACTTGGGTCCTGCTTCCCTTCGTCGACGAGTGTGATGAAATAGATCGGCGACCTGCACCTTCTGTCGAATAGGTCGACTCTACGTGGAATCCGGCTGTACGTGAACAAGTTATCATTTATCTTTACGAGATTGAGGGAGGACATCACTTAATGTGGCACGTAATCGGCCCGTGCTGTTCACGAAACGAATGAGCGGAACGGTGGGCATGTTGTCTTGTGCAGCCTAAGTATGTTTTCTTTTTATGTCATCTTATTCTCCCGCCGCTCAATGATCATTTGTACAGATTATTCTGACTCAAGTGGATCGCGACGCAGTGGTTCTCAAACTTCTCATGTTGAGCGCTTTTTTTATATAGGTGGCCATGATACTATTTCCTTTCGGTGTGTGCCGTTACAGTATGTTTACAAGGCTCACCAAGCGACTCCCACGCGCATCTTTGATGGTAGTCAAAGAAGTACATGTACTGATGGCGCGTCTCTACAAGGCAGTCAGGTATGTCTTACTTGTGCGCTATTTGTCATGCACTCTAACTAATTCAACATTAGCGCAGTAGAGAGCTCGGAGCCCGCTGGTTCATTGGACACCTGCGATTACCTTGATCTCGACGCAATGGGTGAAGATTAATCTCGAGTCAGTCGCTTCTATCTTTGTACATACTGGTGCTTTGTTCGAGTCCGCTGATCTTTTTGACGTCTTTCGATGGTATTTCCGTTTGATACAATGTAATTGATATTCGTGTACCTTGAATTCAAGATAATTTATAATAATTAATGGAAAACGACGGAAAATTCAAAGTAATTCAAAGGAATTCCGACTGGAGTTGGATAATCTCGTTTACTTATATTTCAATGGAATTACAAGGAATTCCCTGAAATTCGCTGGAATTACCTTGATTTCGTGAAGGAGGTTTTCCCTGATGTAATAATAGTTCTTTATGAGAAACTGAGATCGTACCTTGTGTTCTAGCGCGTGCACTCCTACCGACGTCTCACTATTCACCAGACAGAAGACATTGAAACGAGCTAGGCATGAAAGCAATGAATGCCATTAGAAAATCATTGGAAAGTGTTATCGTAGATTGTGCATGTGACTTATGTGAAATGTAATAGCACTTTGACCATTTCAATCACTGCGCGCACGGACACTTCGGGACAGATAGATCAAGTGCCAAACCTGTTGACGGTCTGCGTTCACAACTACATACAGTATCATAGGTCAAACAATAAATTCCTAAGGCCTAAGGGTCCTATACTATTAAAACACATCAAGTCCTCGCTGCAATTTTTTCTCATCCAGCAAGTATATTACAAATTTACAATGACATGTAAAAATGTATCTACAAAATGAATTTATACTAGTTACAATTTGCGTGCTCGCATGTGAAATATGAAATATGCAAGGCGTGCATGTGAGGAAGCAGCAGGTGTGTCATAGGCATGTAAGGAGCACAGCAAGCGCCATGGGTAGTAGGAAAAAGTACACTGAGGACCAGGTCCACACAACAGAATGCGTATATGGGTGTGCGGAGTGCAGTCAGTGTCGTGAATTGTGATTAAACCTAAGGGAAATAATGCAGACTCCAACTTGTAGAGTGTGATACTAGCAAGTAGTTGTCAACTTGTAGCGGTCTGGGAAGGGGTGCAGTGGTAGGAGGTAGCGAGAGGCTGTGATGGACTGTGAGGAGTTGCCAATGTCCGTTTGGAGCGGGCGGGCGCTGGGGCCCTGTCGTGGGCGGCTGCTGGGGGTCACTGCGGGTCGTGATGTGCGGACAGCAGCCAGCTGGAAGCAGCTACCAAAGGGTAGGCAGCCGTGGCAATATTAATAGCCGGTCGGATGCGGGAGGTAGTGACTTGGCAGGTCAGGAACAAACCAGAGAAGACAGGAATTCGAAGGTAGGGAGAGAAGCCAGGAAGCGCTGGCAGGTAGTGTTGTTGGCAAAACTACCGAGTTTTGCCAACCGGTTCGGCAAAACTGGTTGTGCCCGGTCCTCGGCAGAACTCACGCGAAAGGGGGGTGGCAAAACTTGGTACAACTCCAGGATATCCAAGACTCGTGGAGATGTAATCTAGCTCTCTGATAACATAGTTTGAATTCAAGAGAACATGCAAAATGACATCCCTAAAGTAAGATGGTCGGTGTAATCTCTTAGTTGACACATTTGAAACACTCGGCAAAATTCATGCAAACCTTCGACACCACAACGCTGTAAGAGCTGCAGAGGCTGGGAAGTCCACCCGCCGTCGCTCACATACACACTCGTGAAGAGATTGTCGAGACTCCACAGGATCTTGAAGCATCCTTCGCATGAGCACCTCTGCTCTCGACTGAGCCTCACAATACAGATGACCTTCTCACTGGTCTAGAGAGTATCTCACCTGACGACATTGCCGCTGAATTTGCAGCTCTCGAAGAGTTGAAAAGGACTGAAGAAGTTCAGAGCATTAACGAAGTTGAAGTTCTCGTGGGAAATGCTTTCGATTTTGACGAGTTGGATCCTGTTGGATCGGGTTGAACAACCACAGACTGTTCTAGATGAGATTGAGGTGGTTAATTACAATGGCGAGGGTGACAGCTGGGATGAGGCAACATTAATATTGATGCCACCATTAGGAATGTCATACATATAGTCTACATAACCTAGCTAAGCGCGCCAAGTTTTGCCACCCTGGCAAAACAACCGGTTTTGCCAGTTTTGCCGGTTATAACCGGCAAAACTAAAGCCAAGTAGTTTTGCCCCCCACACTACTGGCAGGAGAAAGAGTATAGCACTGATACAGAAGCCAAGAGGGAAAGCCAGGAAGGGAGGTAAGAAGCCGGGAAGAGGCTGCGCCAGGGTGAAATCAAAGATCCGAAGCGTCGTGGGAAAAGCGTGAAGCTTCAGCGCACTGAGCGCAGAGACACAGGCTGCATGCTTCATGAAGCATCAGGCTACAGACGTCGGGGAACTAGACACATTGTGCATCAAGGTGTGTCTCTTATCACATACCTTCATGCTTCAATATGACAATATAGCCTGAAACATTACGGGCGGATGCGGAGGAAGCTCGGATTTGACCATTAGATCTTCAAGCTTCAGGACTTTCTTCCAATTTCAATTTCGACTTTGCTGGCTGTACTACTATGCAGAACCAAAGTCCACGTTTATATTGGAAGGTTTTTCTGATGGCCGCCAGCAGACACAAAAACCCGTCCTATAAATCTCCCAATTGATCCCACTTTGAATAGAACAGCAACGATGAAAACATCCCATATCCCTGTGCCCTCTCCATTAATTCTCTGGACAACCGTACGTTCAGTTGGCGCATTCAATGTTGCTTGTTCATGTGTCGCATTATGGGCTTTTGCCAAAGTCCTAAGGGTCCTTCGCTGGCGATTGAAGACAACTCAACTGCGCGGTCCGCCTCGCACCAACTTCATATATGGTGTTTCGCATGACCTCGCCTCATCTCAAGATCGTGGGGGAATGTATGAACGTTGGGCGATGGAATATGGGGTAGCGTATATGATTCCGAGCGTCCTCGGGCAGACTGTAGTCGTACTGTCCGACCCAAGAGCTATAGCACATTTCTTTACCCGAGACACATGGACATATATGCAGACTCCCCTTTCGTTGGCACTTCTCGAAACATTAGTATGTTAACGTCATCATCTTACCTTGTCCGTCTGACATCTCTTGTCAGATGGGTAGAGGGTTATTATGGTCTCAGGGTGAAGATCACAGGAGGTACTCTTCAGCTCTTGTCCTCACGCTAGCGACTTATCTACTACCTGTGAATTAGGCAGCGGAAGGCCCTCACACCAGCATTCAGCAATGCGGCGATTCGGAAACTCACATCAGTGTTTTATGATTCAGCATACAAGGTAAGGACTTGCAATGTGGGGAATGCAGCATCTGTGATCTTGATACTTTACAGGCCAAAGGTGCATGGGATACTGCTATAGAATCGAGCAAAGATGGCTACGCTGTCATCGAGGTCCAGAACTGGTGCGTAGCTTTCCTGGCTTGTCAAGTGTCATTCCTAATCAAAACAACTCAAAGGATGAATCATATATCGTACGCGAAGATGTTCTGCCATTGACACCTTTAACTGACGTATTGTCAGTCTGGATACGATTGGCATTGCTGGTTTCTCCCATGATTTTGGCTCGCTTGATGGAAAGCGCGCCAGTGTGACCAAAGTGTTTGATACTTTCGGAAACAACCAACAGGCCTCAACAGTGAACAAAGTTCTTCGCCTGCTCGCATCACCATTTCCTATCATCACCAAGATGCCCACCAAGCGGAGCAATCTGATGAAGAAACTTAGCGAAACCATGGAAGAAATATCTAACGATTTATTGGTTCGCAGCCGCCGAGAAAAGGACGTGAATATGAGCGAGAGAGACGAGGAGAAGTCCATCATCGGATTGTTGAGTGCGCTCTCAGAGAAATTCATCGTGGTTTCTTGATTAACGCGACGATCAGTTAAATCCGAAGGCCAGGATGCCGAGCTTCGTATGTCGAAGGAGCAAGTAGTAGCTCAAGTTCGTGGAGACAATGTGTTACAGTCATTATTTGCGAGCTGATATCCTGCAGATGAAGGTTTTGCTTGTGGCAGGTTATGAGACGACATCCAGTGAGTCGGTTTCTTGTCCGCTGCTATCATATTGGCTGACTTTTCGTCGACAGTCAGTCTTACGGTAAACCTACTGTGCGATAACGTCTGTACACGCTATTAATGTGACAGTCAGTGGGCGCTGATCGACCTATCGCGACGTCCCGATGTCCAAACCAGACTCAGAGAGGAACTGCTTGTGTTTGGCGCGGATCCGACATATGACCAATTAAAGGCCAATCTCCCATACTTGGATGCCGTTGTCCATGAAATTCTACGACTCCATCCTCCGCTAGATGAGTTCAGTCGTCTTGTGAGTGTGTATGTCTACGTGTGAATAGACACTCACAATAGGTCCACAGGCAGTGGCAGATGATGTTATTCCCTTGAGCGAACCTGTGCGCACGGAGTCCGGGGAAATGACGGACAGTATATGTATAGCGAAAGGGACATTGATCACGATATCAGGCGCGGCGATCAATCGCTCTTCTGCCATCTGGGGGCCTGACGCGAAGGAATTTAAGCCTGATCGTTGGCTGACTGAAGACGTGATCGGGAAGGCCAAGGAAGTTCAAGGTCACAGGCATCTTCTGACATTTGCCGACGGCCCGAGGACGTGTCTTGGAAAAGATTTTGCGCTGACTGAATTCAAGGTGAGTGATTCGAATCAGCTACTTTGGATGTTACTCACTACGATGCAGACGGTTTTATCGGTTCTGGTGAAGAACTTCGTGTTTGAGATGCGGGATGGACCTGATACTCAAGTTGAAGTTGCGAGGGGAATTTTTCCCCGTCCGCGGGTTGTTGGAGAGGATGGTATTGGAACGCCTTTGAGAGTTCGTCGGTATGAATGATTGGTTACGCTGCACTAGCAAGTTTACTCTGTTTTCTAGTATCACTTATTCCTCACTGAAACTGTTGTGTTCAGATCAGAAGAGGCACGTGCACTTGTAATATCAGCACTGTATAGCTCTGTATACGCGATGAATTTGAAGGCTGGTGACAAGCAGGTGAAAGGAAATTAAATATTTTGTCCGCTCATACCTGAAGTTCACCTAGCACTGTGACACAAAAATGTACCAAGTTGTAATGGAAAGTATTTACTCAAGCTGTTTAATCGTCCTTCCCTCGAGCTGATAGGATAGAAGACTTGCACTTCGCGCATGTTGGTGTGCGAGTGGATGGAGCGGAACCCAAGTTAGTACTAACACCCCGCGCTTCTGAGTCATGACAGGATGCTGGTGATGTAAAAAATCGCCGGCCCGAAGCGTCCCGCTAGGGCTTTCGAACTCCGTCAGGACCTAATCAACTTGGACCGAGTGAAATAGTACTACAGTGCTTGCAACATTCAGCCAGACGTATCACGTTCAGGCTTGAATGGGCTGCCGCTCAATCATTCCACCGGTATCCTTTTAAGCCTCACTCTCGCAGACCGACTAGTTTGTCCACTGAGGTCCAAGTAGTGTTTGACCATTTCAATCCAGACACCGTGACAGGTATCGGCTTCTATGAATAGTCCTTGCTGACAAGACACAACGGTACTGGGACACTCTCACAGTCGATAGTTCGTCCTGTGCCTGCACAAAGCCGTTCAACTTCGTAGCCATGCCGCTGCCACAGAAACGGCTATAAATCTCATAATAGATCTTCGACTTACACACAACTATGAAGGTCATCTCTGTACCCTCTCCATTAAGTCTCTGGACAGCCGTACACTCGGTTGGCGTATTCAATGTCGCTGGTTCCTTTGTTGCATTATGGGCGTTCATCAGGGTCCTAAGGGTCCGTCGCTGGCGATTGAAGACGACTCAACTGCGCGGTCCGCCTCGCACCAGCTTCATATATGGCGTTTCCCATGACCTCGCCTCATCTGAAGATAGTGGTGGAATGTATGAACGCTGGGCGACAGAATATGGGGTGGCGTATATGATTCCAAGCGTGCTTGGACAGACTAGAATCGTGCTGTGTGACCCAAGAGCTATAGCACATTTCTACGCCCGAGAGACATGGACATATGTGCAGACGCCCCTTTCGTTGGCATTTCTGGAGACATCAGTATGTTAGCATCATCGTCTTACCTTGTCCGTCTGACATACATGTCAGATCGGCAGAGGGCTACTATGGTCTGAGGGTGAAGACCACAGGAGGTACCGTTCAGCTCTTGTCCTCGCGCCAGAGACTTATGTACTACCTGCGAATTAGGCAGCGGAAGGCCCTCACGCCAGCATTCAGTAACGCAGCGATTCGGAAACTCACATCAGTGTTTTATGACTCAGCATACAAGGCAAGGGCTTGCGATGTGAGAAATATAGCATATCTGATCTTGGTACTTGGCAGGCCAAAGGCGCATGGGATACTGCTATAGAATCGAGCAAAGATGGCGACGCTGTCATCGAGGTTCAGAACTGGTGCGTAGCTGTTCTGGCTTGTCACGTGTCATTCCTAATCAAAACGATTCAAAGGATGAATCATATATCGTACGTGAAGATATTTTGCCATTGACGCCTCGAAACTGACGCACTATCAGTCTGGATACGATTGGCATTGCTGGTTTCTCCCATGATTTTGGCTCGCTCGATGGAAAGCGAGCCAGCGTGACCGACGTGTTTGATACTTTCGGAGCTAACCAACGGGCCTCAGCAGTGAACCGAATTTTCATCCTGCTCGCGTCAGCGTTTCCTATCATTATCAAGATGCCCACTAAGCGGACGAATCTGTTCAAGAAACTTAGCGTAACCATGGGGGAAATATCTAACGACTTGTTGATTCAAAGCCGCCGTGAGAAGGATGTGAATATGAGCGAGAGAGACGAGGAGAAGTCCATCATCGGATTGTTGAGTGCGCTCTCCGAGAAATTCATCGTAGTCACTTGATTAACGCGACGATCAGTTAAATCTGAAGGCCAGGACGCCGAGCTTCATATGTCGGAGGAGGAAGTAATGGCTCAGGTCCGTGGATATGTATCACAACCATTATTTGCGAGCTGACGTCCTGCAGATGAAGGTCTTGCTTCTTGCTGGTTATGAGACGACATCTAGTGAGTTGATTTCTCGTCTGTTTCTGTCATATTGGCTGACTTTTCATCGACAGTCAGTCTTACGGTAAGTTTACTTTGTGATTACGTCTGTGCACGCTATTCATATGATGATCAGTGGGCGCTGATCGAGCTATCGCGACATCCCCGATGTCCAAACCAGCCTGAGAGATGAGCTGCTTGCGTTTGGCGCCGATCCGACATACGACCAATTAAAGGCCAGCCTCCCATACTTGGATGCCGTTGTCCATGAAATTCTGCGCATCCATCCTCCGGTGGGAGAGTTCATTCGTCTTGTGAGTATGCATGTCTACATGCGAATAGATATTCACAATAGATCTACAGGCAGCGGCAGATGACGTTATTCCCTTGAGTGAATCTGTGCGCACAGAGTCCGGGGAAATGACGGACAGTATATCGATAGCGAAAGGGACACTGATCACGATATCAAGCGCTGCGATCAATCGCTCTTCGGCCATCTGGGGACCTGATGCCAAGGAATTTAAGCCTGATCGTTGGCTGACCGAAGACGGGATCAGTGGGAAAGCCAAGGAAGTCCAAGGTCATAGGCATCTACTGACATTTGTCGACGGCCCTAGGACGTGTCTTGGAAAGGATTTTGCAGTCACAGAATTCAAGGTTAGTGATTTGAATCAGCCAGCTTTGACGTTACTCACTGTGATACAGACGGTTTTATCAGTTCTAGTGAAGAACTTCGTGTTTGAGATGCGGGATGGACCTGATACTCCAGTCGAAGTTGCGAGGGGGATTTTGCCCCGTCCACGGGTTGTTGGAGAGGATGGTATTGGTGTACCTTTGAGAGTTCGTCGGTATGAATGATTGGTTGCGCTGCACTGACAATTTTATTATATTGTCTCCCACTTATTCGCGGCCGAAACCCTTGGATTGTATTCAAGAAGAGGGATGTGCGATTGATGCTATTAGTTACCACCAGTTCGTGCACTGTCCCCCACATCTCGTGCATCACACTTTTTCTACTGCAAATCTTTAAGCTACTACATGCATATGAAATACAAGCGCGCGGTGACCTTCGCTCGTTGCTTTTTATTGGCACACTGATGTCATTTCACTACAAAAGCAGACATTTGTACACTATCTTTCTCTCTGTTTGACCCTTGAAAATAAGCATACCGTATCTCGACGTCTTTTGATGTGGGACGAAGCGGTATATAGTTGACCATGAGCAAAAGGATCAGTTGTGAGATCCAGAACTGTGCGAGAGACAGTGAGACCTTGGCAGCTATTGAAAATAGGCCCGTAAGCAAGTCTCAAAGCTAGGACACTGTTTGCAATTCACCGTCCATCGCAGATGATCTAGTAGCTGTTGCTTCTCGAATAAGGTCGGCGCGCGGTGAAAATGGCTGAATTTTGAAGTAAATATTAACAGCGTCATCAGTTCTGAACATGCGGTAACCTGTGCGTACACGGTCATACACGATTGCGCAGAGCACTGCTGCCAACGATCAACACGATGTCTCCGCGTGCTCGCAATATTTGCGGAGAATAACGCTTTCACCAAAAAGTCTTTCCTCATCCTGGTCGACCCTCCACTAAGAAAAGACTATTCTCGTGAGGATGGTAAATCTGTTCGGAAACATCATCAATGGTTGGGAGTTGCTGACGAACTTGAAGGACTCGGCCGCATGGTACTCGAGCTTGCTGCACAGCATGACGCAGCAGACAATATTGACACCGATACAGAGCATGACGGAGTGGACACGAACCGCCAGCTAGAAGAACATCCCACAAGCTTTATCTGTAAGTGAGTTCCGCAGGATGAACCCCACAAGCTTTAAATACTCATAACATTAATAATCAATCAGAGAAGCTGAGATACGATAGGTTGGCAGATGCGGTGCATAGTCACTTGAACCAAAGTTTGTCTCTTGTCACGGTGTGGACATAAATAAACCGCTCCAGGCTTAGGTTGTACGTACAGAGCCCAAGTACGTAGGCCTCTCATAGTTGCCAGCGGCCACAGACTCAACATCTCCCACTTCGAATCAAACAGCAACGATGAACATATCTACAATCCCTTTACCCTCTCCATCAAGTCTTTGGGCAACCGTACGCTCGGTTGGCACATTCAATGTCGCTTGTTCATTTGCTGCATTATGGGCTTTTGTCAAACTCTCAAGGGCGTTTCGCTGGCGATTGAAGACGACTCAATTGCGTGGTCCTCCTCGCACCAGCTTCATATATGGTGTTTCGCACGACCTCGCCTCATCCCAAGATAGTGCTGAAATGTATGAACGCTGGGCGACAGAATATGGGGTTGCGTATATGATTCCGGGTGTCCTAGGACAGACTAGAATCGTACTGTCCGACCCAAGAGCTATAGCACATTTCTACGCCCGAGAGACATGGACATATGTGCTGACGCCCCTTGCATTGGTACTTATGGAGGCATCAGTATGTCAATGACATCATCTTATCTTGTCCGTCTGACATCTCTTGTCAGATGGGCCGAGGGCTATTATGGTCTCAGGGTGAAGACCACAGGAGGTACTATTCAGCTCTTGTCCTCGCGCCAGCGACTTATCTACTACCTGCGAATTAGGCAGCGGAAGGCCCTCACACCAGCATTCAGCAATGCAGCGATTCGGAAACTCACATCAGTGTTTTATGACTCAGCATACAAAGTAAGCATTTGCGATGTGGGAAATGCAGCATCTCCGAGTCTGAACTTGATACTTTACAGGCCAAAGGTGCATGGGATACTGCTATAGAATCGAGCAAAGATGTCGACGCTGTCATCGAGGTTCAGAACTGGTGCGTAGCTTTCCTGGCTTGTCAAGTGTCATTCCTAATCGAACGACTCAAAGGATGAGTCATATATCGTACGCGAAGATATTTTGCCATTGACGTCTTGAAACTGACGCACTATCAGTCTGGATACGATTGGCATTGCTGGTTTCTCCCATGATTTTGGCTCGCTTGATGGAAAGCGCGCCAGTGTGACCAAAGTGTTTGATACTTTCGGGAACAACCAACAGGCCTCAACAGTGAACAAAGTTCTTCGCCTGCTCGCATCACCATTTCCTATCATCACCAAGATGCCCACCAAGCGGAGCAATCTGATGAAGAAACTTAGCGAAACCATGGAAGAAATATCTAACGATTTATTGGTTCGCAGCCGCCGAGAAAAGGACGTGAATATGAGCGGGAGAGACGAGGAGAAGTCCATCATCGGATTGTTGAGTGCGCTCTCCGAGAGATTCATCGTGGTCTCTTGATTAACGTGGCCATCAGTTAAATCTGAAGGCCAGGATGCCGAGCTTCGTATGTCGAAGGAGGAAGTAGTGGCTCAGGTCCGTGGAGACTATGTATCACAACCATTATTTGTGAAAACTGACATCCTGCAGATGAAGACCTTGCTTATCGCGGGTTATGAGACGATATCCAGTGAGTCGGTTTTTTGTCCGCTGCTATCACACTGACTTTTCATCGACAGTCAGTCTTACGGTAGGTTGACTTCGTGATTACGTCTGTGCACGCTATTCATATGATGATCAGTGGGCGCTGATCGAGCTATCGCGACACCCCGATGTCCAAACCAGACTCAGAGAGGAACTGCTTGCGTTTGGCGCTGATCCGACATATGACCAATTGAAGGCCAGTCTCCCATACTTGGATGCCGTTGTCCATGAAATTCTGCGCATCCATCCTCCGGTGGGAGAGTTCATTCGTCTTGTGAGTATGCATGTCTACATGCGAATAGATATTCACAATAGGTCTACAGGCAGCGGCAGATGACGTTATTCCCTTGAGTGAACCTGTACGCACGGAGTCCGGGAAAATGACGGACAGTATATCCATAGGAAAAGGGACATTTATCACGATACCAGGCGCGGCAATCAATCGCTCATCGGCCATCTGGGGACCTGATGCAAAGGAATTCAAGCCTGATCGTTGGCTCACTGAAGACGGGATCACTGGGAAGGCCAAGGAAGTCCAAGGTCATAGGCATCTACTGACATTTGTCGACGGCCCTAGGACGTGTCTTGGAAAGGATTTTGCAGTCACAGAATTCAAGGTGAGTGATTCGAATCAGCCAGTTTTGATGTTACTCACTGCAATGCAGACGGTTTTATTGGTTCTGGTGAAGAACTTCGTGTTTGAGATGCGGGATGGACCTGATACTCAAGTCGAAATTGCGAGGGGAATTTTTCCCCGTCCACGGGTTGTTGGAGAGGCTGGTATTGGGGTACCTTTGAGAGTTCGTCGGTACGAATGATTGGTTGCACTTCACCAGTAATTTTTCGTCACTTATTCTCGACTGGAACCGTTGTATTCATATCGGAAGAGGATTGCTATTGTAATATGAGCACTATGTAGTTCTGTATATGCCATCCTTGCTATTCCTTCTACTGCCAAACCACGTATTGCTTCTATCCGTTCAAGTTGGTCCTGTTTTCTCCAAAGTCAAACATTTGCGACCATCAAATTCTCCACGTCTGGTTCGAGTACAGATAGTCTATAAGGTACGGATTGTGTACAGGCAGAGTCCAGACAGTTCAACCAGGTCCAGATAGGGTCTGGTCGTTTTCTCGTTTCCGCAGTGATTCCCGATAGGATAGAAGACTTGCACTTCGCGCATATGTTCGTTTGTGATTCAGAACCTAAGGTAGTAACCCAGCGCTTCACGAGGATCAATTTGAATATTGTCCATGCGGTTGTCCGGGGTGTTTGATAATTACGAAGTAATCTGCTCGCCCACATGCGACTATGATGTGATACTCAGCAAAGTAACTGCATATCGTACTGACAAGACATGGGATACAAGGAAAACCAACACCAGGGCCAACGATCTTCTGCCCGAAGTTAAAATGTATGCAAGTGATGAAACAAAAGCTTGCAGTCGTATGCAAACACACCGTCAATATGTCAAGAATTTCTCGAACCCACATACTGGTACCAAATCACTAGGAGGCCTGTATATTGAATGAATCTCGTTTAACTGGATACCACGAGTAGCACAGGTTCTCGCCAGCTCATGTTTCCCCCGGAATTCAACCATGGCCGAGATCCAGGAGTTCACGGGGGAGCCTGGCTCATAATACATGTCCAGCGACTGTAAAGAGGGCTGCCAACCCGACTGCAGCAGGAACAGGACATTACACGCGACAGAGTTGGAGAACGCCAATGTCTCCAATGATGATTGTAAATTGAGCAAAGGTTTTGGTTCTAGACCCCATCCGTCGATGCGAAGGCTTCGCAGTCCTGTCAACCCAGATAGCACTTTGATGGCCTCTGAGTCGTTCGTCGGTAGACAACGAGACTTAGTTTTGACGTGAAGCTTCTTCACAGAATCCCCAATGACCTCGACCAAATGACACGAGCTCGCACCTACTTCCTCCACCTCTAAGGACTCGATACTTTCGGAACTGGATGAGAATAGCCATTTGCACAGGCTGGGAGATAACTCTGTCCGAGATATCGATATGTTCGAAAGCTTGAAGGTAGGCGGGGGAAAGTAAAGTCCGGGAACATGAACATCACCGTAGCTTCCTTCCATCTCGAAGGACTCGAGATTGCATAGATGAGGTAGGAGAGGGGCAAGGAATTGTAAGTCCTGCCCAGATACTTTGAGCCTCGTCAAGAATGGGTACTTAGGAAGGGCCATGATGTTGGTGAAACACAGGGGGTTATGATCTCCTGTCAGGTACATGAGGTTCGGGCAGCAGGCAATAATCTCTCCAGCGAGTGTCGCAAATTCTTTGTCAGTTGAAAAACGAGACTTGAAATAGAGGGCGTGAGCAGGGCAAAGGCCACCAAAGCTGTCGCTGCGCACGGTGCGCAGAAGTAGGCGAAGGGATTCAATCTGAGATAGTTGGATACACCGATAAAGAATTTCTCTTGCGACCTCACACCAGGTTTTTGATACGTGACAGCAGCTGAGCAGGACATCCATCATTTTTCTCCAAGTGTTGGAAGTCCACTGTGTCAATAGTGTTAGTGAAATCAAGATCTGAGACAGGATCTCAGTTGGTAGATGTGGTGAAGAAGCCTGTCGACTGGTTTTGACAAGTGAAAGTTTGTCACCGCTCTTGATCATATCATGCATGATCTGTTCACGTTGAGTTGAAATTCGAGAGGATTTGAAACGAAGTCTCGAAGAACGGCCTACTACTGAATATTGAATATTGAATCCTGATGGTACACAAGCACAATCTAACGAATAGCTCACCTAGCGAAGTGACGGGAAAAGGGGGCAAACCAAATCTAACCAGAGTCGCTCGCTAAGCAAGCCTCCACCATAGGAGTAACGGAGCCTGAAAAAGGGATTAACAATCCCCGACACGTGAAAAAACACACTGATCAGATTCACGGCTGCCAACGACCAGCACAAATCACGCCCACTCAGAGTGGATAATATTTGAGTCAGACTCAAACAAGGATCACGTCGTTCGCAACGACGCTGGGAATCACGCGACCCATTAGCTTAGTATAAATAAAATTAAAGCCAATAAATAAACGATAACAGCTTACAAAACTATTCGTAATAATAACTTCACTCTCGGACGTTCACCCATGGTGACTCGCCAATTTATTGCTGAAACGGAGCGTCTCCCAAATCACAACCATGTGTTGCTCATAACGACTGGAAGCGTAGCATCTATCAAAGCTCCTCTCATCGTCTCACTGCTTCTCCAAGTCTGTCCCCTGTCCTGGAATACTGCCCTTGCTCATGTTGTGTACAAACGTAGTACCAAAATGTCAAAGTAGAAGTGGTTGCGACCAAGGAATCGCTCGCGTTTTACGACCCTGCAGATGTCCTCAAGGCAGGAGCCCGCGTGTGGACTGATGAGGACGAGTGGTCGGTAAATACACACGCTTTTCAGAAGAGCTTGGCCGTCTCAACGTTCATGACAGGGGTCATACAAGATTGGAGATCCGATCCTGCATATCGAGCTGAGGAGGTGGGCTGACATTGTTCTTGTCGCTCCCTGCTCGGCAAATACGCTCTCAAAGATTGCACACGGACTCTGCGACAATCTCGCAGTATGTTTCCCAGCGCATTCATGTCGTGTTTGATGACAAACCTCTTGGTTAGACCTCTCTCCTTCGCGCGCTAGCACCTACGACGCTGACTTACGTATTCCCGGCGATGAATACGCTCATGTACGAGCATCCACTCACGGCAGAACATTTGCGCGTCATCCGGGACGTTGTGCGCTACCAAGTTGTCGGGCCAATCGGAAAGAATCTTGCATGTGGGGACGTTGGTATGTAGCTCCGACTTTTATTTCTTACCGTCGCAGATAACTTGACTCTTTTTCAAAGGCCTCGGTGCCATGACGGAATGGCGCGATATCGTGAAGATAGTGGTAGATCAAATGAAACTCGTTCGCAAAGATAACAAATCATAAAACAATGGGTATTCTACGTCTAATATTGGTCTAATCTATAAGTGTTGCTTCTTCTTTGCGAATACGTGTATATGCGCTAGTCCACGAACACTTTGTAGCCTCTGCAAATGCTCAGCGTCTGACACAGTGTAGTCAAAGGCTCGTTTACTCACTGGGGGATTGACAAACCATGCAGTTTCCCACTCGCTCTCCACCCACCTTCGTTTCACAAAACCATCTATTTCTCTTCCAGCATTCCTCACCATCTCTTCGACCTCTAGACTGCCCTTGGGGCTGCGAACTAAATTCTCCATTGTGATTCCCCACTCCGCTAGAGCAGGCAGACATTCCGGTAGGGTAGATGGTGAGGGTGGAAGCTCGTCGGTGCCTGTAAACCCACACAGCCCATCTTGTTGAATCCGTGCATCAATTTCCGCTGGGATGATATCTGGATGGAAGATAGGTACTCGCGACCAGATGAGCGTGTGTTCGATCTCGATAGGGACGGAGTAAGGCCAGTCATTCTGAATGATACTGAGAAAATCTGAGTCAACCGGGATATCAGCTTTAAAATATTCGGGTGCGTCTTGGGGAAGCGGAGGGAGAGACTGATTAGATTTGGATGAAGAGATGGAGAAGTCCTTAGGTCTGGTATCGTTATCAAGTGCTGAGGGTAAGAGCGAAAGAGTATCCGGCTTTCCCCACTGGAGACGGTGGTTGATAAGGTAGTTCACTTGAGGCTGTTGAGCAATCTCTATATCCTGACTCTACGTTACCCACCCATTGAGCCATGCTCTTTCACAATCCCTAGAGACCATACGTCATATCTCTTTTGTAGTGCCCTGTCACGCTTTAGCAGCCCGAGATCCCTTTAGTGACGTTGCAAAGTCAGCGTCTTGTTCATACTGGTGGTAAAATACAAGTACCCGGAATTCACGAAAGTCTTTAGCTGGTGCCATGTGAACTTGGCTGGATAGTGCGCAAGTAGCTCTTCCCTTGTTGGAAGACCTGTTCGCAGGGGAACTTGTACGACTTTCTGGGAAACGTTGTCTGTGGCATTCAAGGGTGGCTCTATGGTCATCGTCGTGGACAAGTGCTAAAGCGCTAACTCTTTACCTAAGGCTTATGTAATTTATTGTTCATTTGCTTACACATGAAAATACAGCACTATTTCACGCTTTGCATCCTCGCAGTATGTAGTGTCCACGGGGAATTTCTTCTACTCTGGCTGCTGGCGGAGTCTGGCAGTTGCTCAATATTTTGGACCCTCGTTTCTAGTAGTTGCAGGCCAGCCGCCACAAGATGAAGCAATGCTTCGGGATGCTGCGAGTACATTGAGAGAGTATCGCGATTGCACCGTTGGGGGAGACCACGAGAATGACCTGTAGCCCATTCCCTGTCCCACCGCTTCAAGTTAGACCGGCTATGGACGCTTCCATTGTCAGCACCTGGCTCTAATCTGCGGCCTTGGACTTTTGTGTATCAAGTTTGTCCTACATACTTATGTCACTTTCCAGCTGATGCACGGGAAATTATGGTACGACGTAATGCGCATTACGCAGCTTAATTATCAGCAAACAGGACCACGGCGTGACGGTGTCATTTATTACGTACGCCAGCCATTGTCTCCGTTCAGAACTTGAATACACAAGATTGTGTCGAGCTGTCACCTGGCTTGTCTGGAGATCCTGTCTGCTGGTTACTGGCAGCTTGTGATTATAGCCCCACTCAATTCTTATGTTACAGGCTAGTAATGTAAGTCTGGGAAATAAATTGATGCGGACTGCCTCAAGTTGGTTGAGTAATGATTTAGGAGATAAATCACCGCGGCACAATCATATGATTTATCTTGCGGGTTAGTTCGAACGTTCAAAGTACGAAATCACGCGCGGAGTTTGAAAATGGCCGAGCATTCCTACGAGTAGCGCGCGACAACTTTCATTTCCGACACAAGCTCGGCCTAGTATGGGCCCCTCCACAGTCAACGGGCTTAAGTATTAATTCCTGGACTTCGTAGTCATGCCGCTACCGCTATAAATCTCCCAATAGATCAAATATCGAATTCATCGCGACAATGAAGGCCTTGCTTACTATTGCTGTACCTGGCTCTCCATCAAGCCTCTGGACAACAATTCGTTCAGCTGGCGCGTTCAATGTCGCTTGTTCATTTGTGGCACTGTGGACTTTCGTCAAAGTGATAAGGGCACTTCGATGGCGATTGAGGACGACTCAACTCCGTGGTCCACCTCGTACCAGCTTCATATACGGTGTTTTGAACGACCTCGTCTCATCTAAAGACAGTGCTACAATGTATGAACATTGGGCGCAGGAGTATGGAGTAGTGTACATGATTCCGTCTGTCTTCGGACAGACCAGAATCGTGCTAACTGACCCAAGAGCCGTCGCACATTTTTATGCCCGAGAATCATGGACCTATGTGCAGACGCCACTTTCTCAGGCGCTAACAGAGAACATGGTATGTTAATACCCTCTTCTAATATCGTCTGTCTCATCTCTTTACAGATCGGCAGAGGCATAATATGGTCTCGGGGTGAGAGTCACAGAAGGTAGTGCCCAGATCTTGTCCTCGTGCCGGAGACTGATTAACTACCTGCGAATTAGGCAGCGGAAGACTCTTACTCCGGCGTTCAGTAATGCAGCTATTCGGAAACTCACATCAGTGTTTTATGATTCAGCATATAAGGTAAGGGTTTGCAATCTAAGAAATGTGACACATCTAATCTTGAAACTCTAAGGTCAAGAGTGCATGGGACACCGATGTAGAATCGAGCAAGGATGGGAATGCTGTCATCGAAGTTCAAAACTGGTGCGTAGCTTTGGGCGTACAAACCTTGCACTCCTCATCAAAATGACTTCAAGGATGAATCATTTCTCGTAAGGGATGGATGTTTACCATACAAACCCCGAAAATGACGCAACAGCAGTTTGGATACGATTGGCATTGCTGGTTTCTCCCATGATTTTGGCTCACTCGACGGAAAGCATGCCAGCGTTACGGAAGTCTTCGATACTTTCGGAAACAACTCACAGGCCTCAGCAATAAACCAACTTTTTTTCCTGTTCGCGTCGGCGTTTCCTATCATTGTCAAGATACCTACTAAGCGGACGACGCTGGCGAAGAAACTTAACGTAACTATGGGCGAAATATCCAATGACTTGTTACTTCGTAGTCGCCGGGAGAAGGATGTGAATATGAAAGAGGCAGAAGAAGAAAAATCTGTCATCGGACTGCTGAGTACGCTCTCCAAGAGATTCATCGTGGACCCTTGATCGACCCAACGATCACAGTGAAAGCTGAAGGTCAAGAAGCTGAGCTTCATATGTCCGAGGATGAAGTATTGGCTCAGGTCCGTGGAGACCATGTATCACAGCCATGACTTACAAGCTGATATCCTGCAGATGAAGGTCTTGCTTCTTGCGGGTTACGAAACGACGTCAAGTGAGTTGATTTCTTGTCCGCTGCTATTATGTTAGCTGACTCTTCGCTGGCAGTCACTCTTACGGTAAGTCTACTGTCCGATAACGTCTGTACACGCTATTCACGTGGTGATCAGTGGGCACTGATCGAGTTATCGCGACACCCCGATGTCCAAACCAGACTCAGAGAGGAGCTGCTCGCATTTGGTCCTGATCCGACATACGACCAATTGAAGGCCAACCTCCCATACTTGGATGCGGTTGTCCATGAAATCCTACGACTTTATCCTGCAATATCCGAGTTCACTCGCCTTGTGAGCACGCTTGTCTATACGTGAATAGAGACCCTGACAGTAAATCTACAGGCACGCGAAGATGACGTTATTCCCTTGAGCGAACCTGTGTGCACGGAGTCCGGGAAAATGAAGGACAGTATATCTATAGCGAAGGGGTCATCGATGGTGATCTCAATCAGGGCAATCAATCGCTCTTTGGCCATCTGGGGACCTGACGCAAAGGAATTCAAGCCTGATCGTTGGCTGACTGAAAACGGCATCAGTGGCAAGGCCAAGGAAGTCCAAGGTCATAGGCATCTGCTGACATTTGTCGACGGCCCGAGGACGTGTCTCGGAAAAGATTTTGCGATCACCGAAATGAGGGTGATTGAGACGAATTAGCCAGTTTGGACGTTACTCACTCACTGCGATACAGGTGGTATTGTCGGTTCTGATGAAGAACTTTGTGTTTGAGATGCGGGATGGACCGGATACTCAGGTCGAGATTGTGAGGGGAATTTTGCCTCGCCCGCGGGTTGTTGGAGAGGACGGTATTGGAGTGCCTTTGAGAGTTCGTCGGTATGAATGATTGGTTGCATTGCGCTGGAGGATTCGAATACTTTCTCGCTTATCTGCGGCCTGAACTCTTAAACAATTTATTCAGATAGGCAGGTTAGTTTCATATGGACTCTGTATAGTTCTGTATGTGGTGAAAGGCTGGTAATGAAATTTACATGCATAATCAATCAGTTGAACCGTGCGCATGGTAAGTGGTAGCACTGTAATGTAAACAAGATTCGAAAGTAAGTCCCACAATATGATATCGGATCAAGTTGTTGAATCGTCCCTATGTAGTTACAAACGTAGATAAAAGCTTGGAACCGTATAAGCACCGGCATTATGGAATTTATAGGACACACTTACCGGTATCAATCTTCTGGTGACAGCCAGTTCAACTGGATACCGCGAGCAGCGCATACGCTGTGTAGCACATCCCTATATTCCGCAGCCGTAGCGATCCACTGCTCGGAGAAGTAGATGCTCATTGGCATACGATAAACGTTCAGCGATTGTAAGGAGGGTTGCCAATTCACATGTAGCAGCGCCAGCACAGTACGCATGCTCAATATGTCCTCAGAGAACGTGAATGTCTCCAATGATAATCGTAGATCGAGCAAACGCTCTTTGTTGATTTTCGATCCGTCGACGCGAAGTCTCCGCAAGCCCGCGAACCCAAATAGCGCTGAGATAGTCTCCGAGTCACTGTCCGCTATGGAATCAACCACGATTTTGACGTGGACTTTCTTCACAAAACCTCCGATGACCTTGGCCAAGTGACTCAGGCTCACGCCTATTTCCTGCACCTCCAAGCACTCTATGCTCTGTGAACTGGATTCAAGCCATTTACACAGGCCAGGAGACAACTCTGTTTGAGATATCGATAAAGTCGAAAGCTTGAAGCGAGGCGGCGAAAAGTGCTCGAGGAGATCGTCGCCATTGTGACTCTGAAGCATCTCAAATGACTTGAGATTGCATAAACGCGATAGAAGAGGGGCAAGGAGGTGGAGGTTCTGCCCAGATACTTTGAGTTCCCTCAAATATGGGTACTCGGGGAGGGACATGTTGTTGGTGAAGCACAGGGAGCCACATTCTCCTGCAAGGTACCTGAGTTCCGGGCAGCACGCAACAATCTCTCCAGCAAGTGTCGCATACTCCTTTGGCTGCTTTTTGTTACGCCGATGCGGCGAACAATACATGAACTGCAGGCTGCGAGCAGAACAATGACCGCCGAACCTCTCGCGCACGGTGGAAAGAAATAGGCGAAGGGAGTTGACTTGGGAAAGTCGGATATCCTGGTACAGAACTGCTCTTGCAGCCTCGTACCAGGCTCTTGATACAAGAGTGCAGCTGAGCAGGACATTCACTATCTCTTTCCAGGTTTCTCTATCCTCGCACCGCTTCCATCCTGGTTGTAAAATTAGGAGTAGGATTTCTGCTGGCAGCAAAGGGGAAAGTGAAGTAACGGGATGCCCGCTTCCAGGTTCGACGAGTGAAGGACTATCGTTGTCCTCTCCAATCATTTGTCGTATGTTGTCCTCTGGACGACAACAGTCAGCGGAAGCCTCCAAGTTCCAAGGACTACTTACCTGTGTCAACTGAGGCGGGAAACGATCCAGACGCGTCTATTCCGTCGCTGCTGCTCATAGTATGCGGGGTAATAGTATATCTGTGTTTAAGAGCGGGTCAGTCACCCAGCTGATGTGCGGCAGTGTGAGACTCCGTTTGATATAAGGAGATACATTTATATAAACAACTTATATACCCAGAGTTTATATTGACTGTGGAGAACACGAAAGAGTTGTAAGACTCACTGGCACGAGTTACGAGTATTATACTTAGACACTGTGACCGAGCGGATCATAAGATTGCGCCTAAATATAAAGTATACCCAGTAAGACAAGAGAAAGATCAAGTGGCCTGGGTCACTTGTGTAGGCTGCCCAACCGACGCACCAATAGGACGCACATCAATTATTAACTGCAGGCTCTCTGTAGTCTAACTTGCATCAGACTATAGTAATACCGAGGCCGCCTGGGTACCACGTGATTAGTCATGTCCGCAGATGCAGCTACTGTGACTGACTCCAGTACAAGGATAGTCTCCCATAGGTAGACCAAGCGGACCAACAAGTAAAACAGTCGTTCCTTTTGTATTATGGCAAATGTTCAGTGTGAGTCAAACGTGTATGTGACTTAGTTAAGCCTTACCAGCGACAGTTTGTTTACCAAAAGCTTTAGATCCAAACAAACAAACAAACATTATTATTTGAAGACTCCCACCGTGACTAGATTCAACCCCACGGGTACTGACAATCAACATGAGAACGGCCCGTGGAAGTGCCAAGGGCCGCACGCGGGGGCAACCACATGCTCGTGGAAGGGTGAACACATCTTTTCAAGTTAGAGATTCAAAAGCAGGTGCCACGCCTCACATGCAAATGGAACACATTGCATCAGTTAGCCGAAGTAGCGGGCTCGAACAAGGCGGGGATGCGTGAGATCAAATTGCTCGACTCATTCTTAGAGCTTACCTTTCTTAGGTGCTAGCTTGAAGGATTCCAAGGTGCAAGAGCAGTACAGAGTGTTCGTGGGTGAGAAGGTGGGTATAGCTTGATGACATTCGGGATGAGGCTGCATGAAGATTACAGCTGCACAAGTTCTGGACAGAGAAACAGACAAAGAATGGACAGGAGAACATCTTAATTTTGTTTCGTGAGTCCCACGTTCCTTCTTTACCAAGAATCTATTCCAAACTTTACTGGTCAGGAAAGCTTAGAGAAGGAATCTTCGCGTCCAAGCGGAGTGATGCCTTTGCAATCGAAGGTATGTTAATTTGATCTTGCATTAGTTTTATCATCGTTTAGATGTCCTGCAGTGTACGAAATCTCTCTTTGCCTCTCCGCGCTATTCGACTCTCCAATCCAGACATCTTCTATTCTCTCTCACCTCCTCCCCGAACTCTACACCTCTGCATCAATCCAGCCTCCGATCAGCTCCGTGCTGATATCTCTCCTCCACCACCTGATCGCAGGATATCCATCGCAAAAAACCTACTTCGAACATCTTTCATGCCTCTCGCCCAACGTGCTCGATAGGACATCAGGAAGCATATGCATGGATATCAAATCTAGCAACGAGTCTCCGCACCCTTAACTATATCAGGGTTGAAGCGCTTTCGCGGCACGATGTATACAGGCATATCCTTTCTGTTTCCAAGTCATCTGACGAGACAAACGATGAACTGGTCCGTCTATCACAAGATGCAGTGCACGCGCTCGTGGAACGGCTGAGAAGCAAAGCGAGGGATAAGGCGTGGGTGGTGCTGCGCAGTGCATATCGGGAGCTATCAGCCTCAGAAGAGACCCAGACTTGGATGACCAAATGCCTTACTGCTTTCAACCGAGCAGACGTCCGAGTGTGCATCAGGTCTTTCTTTGGAGGAGTGGATGAATGAGCGGTGCCGAGACGGTCACCTTCGGCCGAAGGAAGGGACAGTAGGAAGATGGATTGTATGCAAGGTCAGATAACTGCTACTACTCATGTTAATGTTAATCTAGTGTACGATAGAATGGTTATGATGACTTTTGACCTCAGAGTGTCCTAAGGATATTGGCGTACATGGCACAAACTCTTCTTCATCTCGTATATGAGCTTCAACCGAGATCCGTCTTGCCCATGGGCGACTGGTTCTGCAGCCTCCTCAGAGGCTAGATTCTCCTACTCTGATGTTTATTCGACCTTGCTCTTCATCTTATTCCTGAAGAATCAACTTGCCTCCGTGTGCTGCATGTCGTCCGTTTGGGAAATTCGCCCACGCTGTCTGATTACCTCCAGTAGTCTGGTAAGTCCCATCACTTTCTAGATCCAGAAGGAAGTCCCTGATACATCACAGTCTGCATGCATCAGCATAGTGGTCAGCGTACCTCAGCATAATGAAGAAGGAACGAATATCTGCCTTCCTATCTAGTCTGCCTGGGGAGACTAGATACATCATATCATTTAAGGCTGCTTTCTCCTACTACCTCCAACAACCATTGATAATTATGTGAACAATCGACAGTGCCGCGCGCGGTATGAGGGAAGCACTCCACTTCATGGCCAAGTTAGAGGGCCGCCCCGTCCGAAACAGGGACCATCGTGGAGCTTGGATTCGCGCAAGAGCGGTACAGTGTGTTGTGATAGGTGAGTAGGTGGGTCTAATGCATTGTGCCTCTTCTATATCCGCGCACTGAGGCAGCCTGTAACAGACTGTATGTGCTTCCTTCGTTTACCCTATGACGGCCAACGTTGGGACTTCCTGATGGGCCTTTTGTGCCCATTCGTGCCTGTTTTTGGTACCGCTTCGTGCCCTGCCACCTCTCCTGCCTCGCAGGTAGATTGTGTAACAACCTGGTATTGTTCTCTGTCGTCTTTTATATCGTTTATGATACTGAAGACAAACAATTTGGCATTGCAATGCCATTCATCTATGCTGATACCTATTAACTGACTAAACCATAGGTTCGACTTGTTCATCGAATCTTGATTTTTGTTTTTCGATTTTCAGTTGAAAGACGAGTGAGCACAAATTTGTACATGAACTACGTGTGTGACTGAAATGCTCATGTTTAGCAGTCGCATACGAGGAGGTCGTGTATGTTGTTGAAACCGGGGATGGGACCAAGCAATGCCCTTGCAGCCGGCTAATGTTCCAGGTTGACCTTGGCACAAGTGACCACCCTCACTAGTGCGGGACCTTGAGAGGGAATTTGTGATTAAATTGGAGTCTTCGCAAGAATGGGTCATGTCTGGTGCCGTGCACATGAACGTTACTGAGGTATTTAGTCTTCCCCGACTCCCAACGTTAGTTAAGGAAGGCTCTTGTCGAACACGATCGGTTTCTCATATCCCATCTCCCTACACCCGTGTTCGGGTTACAATTATTTGACACCTTATTTGCTAGGGGCTTGTCAAGCTGTCATTCAGTTCTCGCTGGGCCCCTCTTTTCCGTTACGCCTCGGTGGGCCGCTCCTGTATGATGTCTTGAGCTTTCCGTCATGAGGTGTTCTAGAGTTTCGCGAGGACCTCTCCATTGACATGACATCTCTATCCGGTGCCCGGGTCTTGCTACAGTAATCGAAAGTAAATAATTTCTGTTCCGCTTTGACATCGACATAAAACAGAAGCGCACGCAAACTACACACATCACAACGATATGGCTCGGTCTGCCACTTTCAACTCTTCCACCCTTGGCTTTCAAGTCATCTTCGGTCGCATTGGAAGAGCCAACGACCGAAGGAGTGCCCATCAATGAGGCTTCAGTGAGGGTAGGAGGTTACATCATTTTCCTAACTGTCAGACTCACTCTGTCCTTAGCTCGCGTGCATTCTTCAGGCTTTCAGCCTCACTAACATTTTTCGTTTGGTGGTGAATCCCAACATTTTTGGTCAGTCTGTCGAGAATCTAGGTTGGAACTTGGCACGTACGCACTTCGGGAATATATTTTATGTTTCCGAGACAACCCTCGCGGGGCATGAAGGTGAGTTCCCTTTCATGGACAGAAGACTATCACATAAAGAGGAGGTCGGTCCTCCGAGGATCTATACACCGCAAAAATGTTGTCAGTAGGTTTTGAACCAACTCCAAGAGAAACAAATTTTGACTCTGTTGTGGTATCCACTTGGCTAAGACCAGTTAGATAAACGCCTGAGGAAACCATCCATGAATCAATGTCAAGGTGTATTCTGATAGAAAAAGAACCTGTCGTTCAGCGCTGCAGCAGGTTTCGAACCTGCGCAGTCCAAGAGAAATAGATTTGGATTCTATTGTGGTAACTAATTGGCTAAGACCAGTTGAGATAACCTCTGATGAAACTATCCATGAGTAAATGTCGAGGTGTTCCGATAGTCAACCTGCGCAGTCCAAGAGAAACAGATTTCGATTCTGTTCTTAAAGGTAAAGCTTAGTAGTCACATACTGCCGGTGGCAGTACGGAATATTATCCTTCCATATGTTGAACGGGTTAGTCACTACTACTATAGTAACTATACTAGGTGCCCAGTGGCACTGCTTGTTGGACAGCCTCTTGAGCCTGAGTACTTGAGTTCTCAGCTCTTCGTGTTATTCCTTTTTATCATATACCTGGCACTACCACCTTCTCTGCATTGATAAATACCCTTAGTTACTGTGTCTGAAGCCAGCCGCAGCACAACGATCAAGTTCGTGGACAATTTCCAGTCGTTCGTTTTACATGTCACGGCCTCAGCCTTTACTCTCCTTCGAGGTAGATACCTCGGGACAAGACACTTCCCTCAAATATGACGATTTTGATTCAGAGGTTCGGAGAAGTTGGTATCATTACCTACCGCTATGTTGTACGTCCTCGCACCGCGTGGTTTCCCTCATTGACGCACTCAAAACATTCCCAGTGTTGCTTTTCCTCATGATGGCTCCCTATCCTTCGTTGTTTATTGTGCTCGTAAATCACTATCTTCGCACACTGGACAATCCCATTGCCTTCGTCATTCATTTCTTGGTCATTTTTACCCTCAAATTCCTCGCCTTTGTTTCCTTGATGATTTGCGTAGCTCGTGATCCTGGTCCAGTATTCTTTAACGCTTCCGACCAGGATCCTATCGATCAGCATGGAGATATGGGCCTCGCGGAAGCTTTGATGACCATGGGGAATACTGACGACGACTGTCGTCCTGACAAGTTTTGTCGGAAATGTTGGGTACCTAAACCGGAGCGTGCGCACCATTGCAGCATCTGTGGCCGTTGTGTTTTGAAGATGGGTGAGTTTATACACTTCAGGCAACCACGCTACTGGCTTACCATCCTAGATCATCATTGTCCTTGGCTTGGAGCTAAATGTATCGTAAGTGGTAGAGTGAGCCTGCGGTATACATTTATAACGTCTCGCTTGCAGGGACATAGAACATACCCAGCATTTGTTCACTTCTTGACTTGCATCACCGCTTTCTCCGCATATGTCACTATCATATCTATATCCGCAGTCCGGTGGTCTTTCAACAACCCACTTCTGGTTCTGGTAAGGAATTTTGAACGCGTTTACTGGATCTTTGAGACTCATGGTTGTCCAGGATCAGGCTACCCCTGTTCATGAATTGTTACTTGCCGCTGCTGGCGTGATTTTTACTCTGGTTGTTGGTTCCTTCTTGGTATACCATATCTACCTCATCACGTAAGTGAAACGCATAACTTTTATGCTTGTTATTCCGTGCGCTAATCGCAAAGTAGCACTAACCAAACTACTGTTGAAGCTCTCTCACCATTCTTACTATTGAGATATATTCCTCCGTTACCGGCGTCCATGAAGTTGTCCGATCCTCCAATGGAGGAAGAATTATCATACAATCAACGTAGAGTGGTCCGTGATGCACATAGGTTCGTGCGCATGTACGATGTCGGGTGGCGGAGGAACTGGGCGCAAGTTTTCGGATGGAGCAAGCCACAAGGGTGGATTTATCTGCTTCTTATTGGTGGCACTGGGTGAGTCGTTTTTAAGTACCACCTGTCCTTGCCAAACCCAACGAGTGGATCCATGCAGGAATGGCGATGGGCGATCATTTCCGCGTAATCCACGCTCGCAGGAGATGCTGTCCCGGCTCGCGGCCCGCCTCGAGAAGGAAGCTTGAAATAGAATCATTGGGTGCTTCTTACTAAGTATGCTGCTTAATGTGATTGCAACCTGATATGCTTCTGTGAGAATGGAAGGGACAGCAAACAGACAAGGTAAGCCCATCCAGTGTTTCTGTGACCGATATGTACTAAAACATGTCAGTGGACGTGGTCGTTATGCAATGCGCGCTGCGGAACAGCCACAATAATCTTTTGTGATTTGTCCAAAATACGTCGGCCGAGCCTGGATTCCGCAGGCGATACCCTTTCTTGCTATATCTACAACATTCCTACTTCCCATATCAAGCCTTTAGCTGAGGTGCTTATTACATCTATGTAAGCCAGATTTCAGCTTGTGATATTGTTCTACTATTCTGCGCCTCTCACCTTTCATCTGGAGTGTATCAGTATTGTTTCTGTGTGATAAATTATGTCTTCAAAACATGGAGATAAGCGGCACGCCTGTGCACCATCGTGTAACATGCGCATGGATTCCGATGAAGCATGTACCTCCGAACCAACGATTTCAAATCAATCGTGTTTGTGGAGGACCTTACAGGTAGTGTTGTGCGCAGGACTCTGCCATTCTGCCATGTGGCAGGGCAGAACATGATTCTGCCAAGTGCTGCCAGTTCTTCCAGCGGAACTGCTTCAAAATAGTTCTGCCCACAACACTACCAGGTCGTCACCAGGATCTTCCTAACGCATAAAGGTTTACTACCATGCGGCATGCTCCCGAAGTCGCGCATCGTGTCAGCAGGTCGGCTATTTGACAGGCGAAATGATGGAGAAGTGTGGCTACATTCTAAAGGTCCCCATGATCACAGATCTCGAATCAGGTGTGATCAGAATGGGGAAATGGTCCCAGCGATGCGCCAAGGGGTACATTTTGTTACTCCATCAGCTCTCACATGCACACTTATAGGGTCTAGTGGCCAGTTCTCGGACCTTACAAGTTGCCTTTGATTTGGTGCCCAAAACAATTATTACATAATCGACGCAAGTCACTCGAACCCCTGTATAGCCGATGCGTCAGACTTATAAAGAGGATGGCTCATGGAACCCTGGTCCTCCAGAACCCGCTTTCCAAGGAGGTCTTTCTACTCACATTACGATACCATGAACGCTCTTCAGATCGTCGATGTTCGACCCTATGATAAGTCCTCCTCAACTTCCACTACTAGTACCGATGCTGCCAGTGACATCCAGTCGCAGATCATCAGAGGATTAATGGCTTCCACGAACGAGAAGACCTTGCCCACCATGATTCTCTACGACGAACATGGCTTGAGGCTATACGACAATATCACTACTAAGGCACCAGAATATTATCTGTTTGGTGCGGAGGAGCAAATTCTCCAAGACCACGCAGGTCAAATCGTGGATGTCATGCACCAGCATACTGGAGGTGTTGTTTCGGGAGAGGTCGTACTTGAGCTCGGGGCTGGGTGAGTGTCTTTGACTAGGTGCTTTTGTTTGCTGCTTCATCTCGCCGTGTCTGTCGCGATGACATAATGTTCCTGATAAGGCACTGCGGATATAACCCAGAGTGCGCCTGGGCCCCTAGCGCAAATGACGCTTTCCATGTCATTTTAATACGCCGGAACGACTGCTGATGGGAGTTTTTTTGTTATAGTTCATTGCGCAAGACTTCCCACATTCTACATGCGCTTACCAATCTCGTTCCTGTCGCCCCACCTGTCGTCCCTATAACATACTACGCGCTTGACCTTGAAGAACGTGAACTCAAGCGCACTTTGATGAAGCTTCGCGAGTCTGAGGTTGGTTCTATGCTTGTCGGCAAGGTTGAGGCGCAAGGCATGCTTGGAACGTATGATGCTGGACTCAAATTCATTGAGGAAGGTGGCCTTCAAGAATCTAGCATTACGGACAGCGCGTTGCCACTCTCGTTGGGGTCTTACAGGCTCGACAGCACTCGCCGAGACTCCTCTCCAGCCTCGACAGGATCTTCTTTTCCTGATTCGTCAGACACTGAGATAACATCTCCGTCTACACCAGGCAATAGCCAGACCCCCTTACATATGCTGTTCCTCGGCTCCTCGCTAGGTAACTTCAAGCGCGGAGAAGACGCCAAGTTTCTACGGGCGTTGCCATTGGAGCCCGGCAAAGATACCCTTCTTCTCGGCTTGGATCATGATAATGATCGCAAAGATATTGAACTGGCGTACAATGACCCTCGGGGTCTCACTCGAGATTTCATATTGAATGGGTTGAAGTCCGCTGGGAGGGCACTCGGAGACGAGTCCATGTTCGCGGAAAAAAAATGGGAATACGTGAATACCTACTAACGAATCCAAACGTAAGTACTCTTTATCAATGCGATTGAAGACCAACCCCATCGCCTGTTGGATTAGGTTGTCATGAAGCGTACTATAGGTGCACTCACACGCATGACATTAACCCCCCGATGGCGCCCAAGCCGATTCAATTTTTGGAGGGTGAACTTATCAATATGGAAATCTCGCACAAAGTACGTTGCACACCTTGAATCGGATATGGGATAACTCACGAGCGTCGAGCTTAGTATTCGGAAAGTGACACATACACGCTATTCACCGAGGCCAATCTGCGGCCCATTCAGCGATGGACAGACAATACGGGACGTTATTCACTCTGGCTGTTAGAACGTCCGCCATTCGTGTTTCCGTTACTTGAGTCACCATCGGTGGTGTCTGGCCACACCGCCAAGTTTGGTATTCCCTCGATAAAGGACTGGAGCAATATGTGGACTGTTTGGGACTTCGTCACACGGCGGATGATACCTCCTGCAATGCTATTTCAGAAGCCGATTGATTTGAGGCACATCTGTCTGTTCTATCTCGGTCACATCCCAACCTTTCTTGATATCCATCTATCTCGTCTTCTTGACGAACCTCATACCGAACCTCAGGAATTTAAGGTCAGTTCAGATTTGAAATACACGATCAACGGCTCATCTCTCATCTCCAGCACATTTTCGAGGTACGAAGCAATCGTATCGCTGAGAATAAGTACAGCTAAACCTGATTGTAGAGGGGCATTGACCCCAATGTTGACGACCCGACCCAATGCCATGTTCGCCTTATTACTCCCATTCATTCGTCTAGCCTAATCCTATCCCTAGCCTCATTCAGTGGTCCCTACGAAAGATGACGATTGGCCCTCACTCCATAGTATTTTGGCCTTCCAAATACGTGTCAGGGAGCGCCTTAGAAAGATTTACAGCGATATTGCTGAAGGCAAGATTTCCTTGACTAGGAAGGTGGCTCGCGTCCTGTTCATGACGTTTGAGCATGAAGGTTTTCATGTTGAGGTAACATTGGCTCTTGCGAAGTTGGTTTGATATACTGAGGTTGCTTCAAGACGCTCTTGTATATGCTAGTTCAACGCGCAGGGACGGGAACGATTCCTCCACCCGATTTTTCTCCTCCCCACTGGGAGTCTCTTGCAGCACAGTGGCAAGCAGCACCCAAACCTGATGTAGCAACCGTTGAAATAGGCCCTTCAACTGTTACGCTTGGTATTAACGACATCGAAGCAGAAGACGCCGATCCTGCGAAACGCTGCGATTTCGCTGACCATATCTTTGGGTGGGACAATGAAAGCCCAAGTCGACAGGCCGAAGTCAAAGCGTTCCGTATTGAGTGGCGGCCTGTGACGAATGGGGACTTCTACGAGTTCTACAAGGGTGCCGGGCAAGGAAAAGTCGAGTTCCCCGCGAGTTGGGAGGATCGCAACGGAGAAACCTGTGTAAGTCGTACTCACCCTAGCTCCCACTTTTAATCTCAACACACTGCAGGTGCGGACGCTATATGGTTCAGTTCCCATAAAGATCGCCTGGGACTGGCCAATCCTTACTTGCTACAGGAATCTTTCAGTGTATGCGAGTGTTAAAGGCGGACGCATCCCGACTGAACCGGAATTGAGAATCTTCCTTGACAAATTCTCTTGTGGGTATGAAGGAGGTGCCAACGTCGGATTTAGGAACTGGCATCCAGTCCCGTACGTATACTCCCGCGCGAATGATGAACGTCATAATCATTTCATATTAGGGCTACTACCGGCGGAAGCAAGTACGGTGGGAAGGGACATAATGGAGGGGTGTGGGAGTGGACTTCCACTGTCTTTGACAAATATGATGGTTTTGTATCATCGACGTTGTATCCGGGGTAAGTATGATAGGTTATCGTATAACTAGCTGACCAACGTACTTCACTCAGGTATTCCGCCGATTTCTTCGATGAATCTCATCAAGTGGTTGTATGTGTCTTGCTTGAGTTATTTTCCATATTCTTATATCACGTTTATCAGATTGGAGGATCATACGCGACCATTCCTCGTATTTCTGAAAGGAGGAGTGTACGCAACTGGTACCAAAGGAACTACCCCTACTGTTGGGCGAGCGCAAGAGTCGCTTACGATGCGTAAAGTACAGACCACATGAATCCTGTTATAAACTCTTGGACATATCGACACTTGTAATACTAGTTATATGTACACTATCCATTATCGCAAAACCAATCAGGGCCTTCAGAGGGTTCTCGGAGTAAATGCCTCCAAGAATGAAGCTGGCTCGACTTCTTCGTTAACCTTCACCAAAGTAGTTGCCACTTGCACATGCTCTCCCTCCTTGGTACGCTTGTCATTCAGGTAATTTTGAGCGTACTGCAGCGCGCGTCTTCGTTGGGGCTCTGGTACGTTCTTCCCTAGCCAGGTGTAAACAGCTGGGAATGCATGGTCGTCCATGATATAAACACCATCAGACTGAAGTGAAGTCTTCTGTGCAGGGACAGCTACGACCTGCCAGCCATCGACATCTCCGTTGAGTCGGTATAACAACGGGGGATCGATCGGAGTTCCCTGGTTAGGCGGTAGTGGTACGTCCATTACAGGAGAAGTGATTCCCGCTGCTTGAAGGAACTCTCCTTCGTCTGGAGTCCCCTCATCTGCACAGTTATCATTAATACGTACAGAATCGCAGCACAGTCGAGTAATGCACTCACCAAACACTTGAAATTTAGCTTGAGGAACCCTCCATTGTCCCAAGTACATCATATACTCAGCTGCTTTGTACCTCGCCCAAGCAGTACTCTTCTTCGTGTTATATTGCCAATAGAGGGGACCTTTGTCGAGTACGTAGACGATCCCTTGGCGCATAACCAACCCCTCGAGAGGTATTTCGCGCACTATAAGCTGTTTCCCGTCCTCTGACCGTGTCTTGAGCACCTTGTCACGCGTCGTGATCATGGTGTATATCTTTTTATCATCTTCAGGCAACATAGTGAGGATGTTATGCCATTCCTGTCGATGCAGCCTCCATGCAAGATCATGAAGTGGGGGAAGTAGGATAAGTATCGAGGGGATTCATGATTTTGGATTTCGCGGTATTGTGTCACTTTGCTTCCGAGGATCTGATGGGTGCTCTGAGCAGTCATTCGTGTGGATTATATGATAGGATGACTTACGTTCTTCGAGCTCAGCAGCCTTGAATGCAGCTGTGGCAGCTTGATCTAGAGTCGTATGTTCTCCTTGCCAGAAATGCAGATCATATCGGAGCGGTGTGTCCTTGCCATCCTGGTACGTCTGCATCAAAGAAACATCCGAGTCAGAACCCTCTCGCGCACTGTATCGTCCCATCGCCACTCACATGTAAGACAATGTACGAATCGCCATCATAGAAAGTCCCATATTTCTTCTCGTGTGCCACCCAGTCGCTACAATCGACGATCGCGAACTTCTCTACCCTCCAGATTTGAAAACCAGGTTTGACACCAGCTTTCGCCCAAGCTGATTCTTTGGCGCCAGCGTGCTCGCGGACGCGTCGTTCGAGCTGTATATGCAATCAAGATCAAAGCGTGAGCAAAGCGGTGCTGAAACTCACATCGGAGCCTAAAAGTGAGATATTGGAGTCCCTAATGTTGTACACAGACATCATACGCAGAAATCGATATTCACGATGGTGGTAGGGTTAGAGGGTGATGGACCAAATAACAAGGCATACAGCACGTGTCTACACAAAGCGCCAGAACAGCCTTTTAACTTCATCGCGGAATGGAAATAAGCTGACAAGAACAAGGCGCCTATCCATAGTGCACTGCCATCATCACCTCACCTCGAATTATAGGGAGCAATCCGAAAGAGAGGTATCAAAGATAATCGATAATTATCTCCTCTGAATCTTCATCTTCATCTTCTGAATCTTCTGCTGAATCTTCTCCCCAACGTCTCACTGTAAACACATCTGCTTCACCCTCTACTCTCAAAATACTATCCATGTCAAGTATTAGAAAGAGTCTATACCGAGACAATGGGACTTACTGATCAAATAGTGAGATCGTCTCATCCTCCCCTTCCTCCTCCCCATCCTCCTCATCATGCAACGTCGCATGTGGCCCAAAAAGCGCTCTCAGGAACGTTCTTTGCGCCGCTAGATCTTGCGGCTGAAGCGTCCTTACGGTCGGTGGAGTAGGAAGAAGATTTTGAACAGCAGGCGACGAAAGCGTAGGGCTATGAAGCATGATTTGGCGTTCGACACCCGAAGTCACGACATGTAGCAAGGACGGATGGATCGCAACAGAATTCACAATCGATTTATGCCCTTCAATTGATTATCAGCGATAAAACCCCTAACAAACCGAGAATGATTACCATTCAATCTAGCTAACGGCGTCGATATTTCCAAAGGCACGTATCTGGTCTCCCACTTTCCTTCCGCAAACGCTAGTACTCGCACGTCAGGCATCACGCCTAGACATACGACTATACAACGCTCACCTACAGTATCCGGCCATTCGCGGGTATACCAGTCATCAGAGGTGATCTCCTTCCTGAGTCCCTGCAAATTCATCAAAGGAGGAATCTTCCATACATAAGCCCTGAAATCATCAGACCCAGCACCGTACATATCATCTTCATCCATGCCAGGACCACCGAACGCACCCGCCTAGACGCAGTGAGCTGACGCGCAATCTTGATGCGAAGAAACGAAGCGGCATACTTTCATCGTACATGAATTGGTATATGTTCGTTGGGATGGAGAGATTGGGGTTCCATCGGGGGCATTGCGACCTGTGCATATAGCCAGGGGATGTGGATCTGACAAGGCATATATCGTCGGGAAATAGTGCTAGGGCATGATGAGACAAAATTATGACCGCAAGGGGGAAGCTTACAAGGAACGTCACAGCTAATTTATTTCCTAGAGAGAATATGAAGCAGCACGAAGCAACTCGTAGTCCAAAACTCACCATCACGATCAAAAGTTAAACTGCTGCTCTCCGGATTACTAAGATACCTAGCCGACTTTCTCGACAACTTCGTGTTATACTATCATTTGTCTCGTAAATCAATCCATAGCAGCAGTACCAGAGACGAACATACCACTCTCACGATCCCACCATTCGACCGTCTCGACAACGGCCCAAAAGTCATCCTCGTATCTCGGAGACAAACCTGCCCATGCACGTCGGACGTCGCAAAAACATGCTCCATAACAGGATGATGTTGCACGCCTGTGAATGCAGCCGTATGTTGAAGCGTCCCCTGCGCAGCGCTCATTCCACCACCAGTACGACCGTCGTGCAGTATGAGTTTTCCATCTTCACTATGAGATGCCGATTCAGACTCGAATATGGGCAAGTTGGGATGTATGACGTACCTGGCGCTGAGAAATATTTCGTCTTCGTATGGATGACATGTAAGCGCTCGGACGCTATCCTAAGTAACTCCTCGACATCATTCCAAGCCTCAAAAAAGCAAGTGGGACGCTTACATCGTGATCTTCGTACTGTTTAACAAAGGACGACGAACCCCTCCCATCACTCCCACCAACCCCGCGCAACGTGGAAACATCATACTTCAAAATAACATTATCGGCTCCTCCACTACACAGCTCATCAACACAACACCTTGCACACACGACGTGATATGAATCCTCACCTGTACAAATACTGATTCGTAGCTGAGAAATCAAGCGCTAGTACATTTCCCTGTGCAGCCATAAGCACCAGTGACATAAACCACGCACAAAAAACTCACGCTAGGTCCAGTAAAAACATGCCCGGGACGCACCACGTCCTCCTCACTAAAATCCCAAAGCAACACGCGGAAATCGTCTCCAGCGCTTGCAAGCCATCTACCATCATGCCTTGAAAAAGCGAGGTAATTAACGCATGATTTGTGGGCTGTTAGTTTCCTGTGGAGGCGGCGTCAGACTTATCATGACTCATGCAGGGGTGGTTGAGGAGTAGCGGAGTGGAGCTACTAGGCATGCGCAGTCTACATTGTTATGATGTTGAATATTAATGTGATGCGCGCGTATACATACGCACGAAGGACACGCGCAGCACCTGTACCGTGCACCCCACTCCACACTTCAACGACACATACACATACCTAGAATACGGAAACCCACACTCATAAAACCTCCTGAGCGCATCCTTTCTCGCAACATGGATAGATCGTGCAGTTACCGACTCCGTCGGACAAAAATTGTTATAGGTACGACGCATGATGCACGTTCGTTTTTTTTTCGTGTGCGTGGTCTCGTCGTTTCATCAAAATCAAGCGCGTCGAGGACAGTCCTTGTCATCAATATTATGGGATTTCGGGTGTTGCGGCCACAGGACGGACGGAGCGCTGTTGTTGGGTGTGAATGATGCCGAGTACCGTCTGGTTCCGTGGATGCGATAAACTATTGTTTAGCGCGCTAAAGTCCGATCACGAATCTCGATTGCACCGCCTCGAAAAACTATAATCAAGAGCAGAGGGCATACATACAATGCTACATGGGAAAGATACAACTACTATGTAACAGACTACAGTGCATTACGCACGTGCGTACTTGATAAATAGATAGATAGATAGCAACAACAGAGAGGGATTACGAGAGAGGATTACAATCGAAAGACAAAAATCGGAATGAAAGAGGAAGGAGAATTACCCGAAAACACTAACTAAGATACTTCCTACACGTCAAGATAACCTGATCCTAGCCTATGTACGCATCTATGTGTAACACCCTCGCAAGGGTCTTTCTATGTGGGAAAACATGAGAGGGGAATGATGAAAAGGGAGGAATAAAGTATTAAGAAGTGAATTGATGTTGAATGGGTGTGTATAGATTGTTTGCAGTGGGGAATCAACCAACGCGACGAGCGCAAACAAAGAACAAAAGAAGAAGAAGAAAATGACCGAAAGCGATAACGGAGGATGGACATCACCTCCCAGACCTCGTAGCAGCCTCAAACTCCTTAAAACCCGGAAGTTCCACCTTCCCCCTCCTCTCACCACCCGTGCTCATAAACGTCCCCTCCTCATCACTACTACTCTCATCCTCATCCAAATCCATCGGGAGCCCCTCCCCCTCCCCCTCTCCTTCCTTATCGCCCACACTCTCGTTCGCGCCTAGGTTCAAAGGCGGTAAAGTAATGGGCGGCGAATTACTCCTCGAAGCAGGAACCGAGCTCGACGGAAAAACATTCGTCGTACTCCGAGCCTTGTTTTTCAAACCCGTGCTCATACCCATACCCATACCCAAATGATGCGAATTCGGCCAGCTCGTATTTCGGGGTGGGTGGCTAGAGTTAATGGGTGTCATTCCAAATGCCATGCGCACGGAATATGCAAGGTGATGGTTCGTGTGCGGGTGGGGGGGCGAATTGGGTCTTGAACCACTCGGACTTGTAGTTATCGCACCACCCTCAAACACCGGTTTAGAGCTGTGCATTCCGCCCCCCACCAACGGATATGTAGAGCTCCCCGGGCTGCTCCCACTACTACTCGGCCCACTTGAAAGTTGGGGCGTCGGGAGATTATGTAAGGCTCGCTCAGAAGCCTGGGCTTGGGCAGCGAGGGACAGTTGACCGGGATATGTTCTTACTTGTGGAATTGGCTCGAATGAACCCGAGCCTTGTTTTCGGGAAGCTGGGAAAAAGGCACCGCGAGTTGGGGGACTGCTGACAATGCTGGAACGACGGGAGCGTTGGCTGATAGGTTCATCTATAGGGCTGATAGGCATATCCACGGGGGGTAGAGAGATGGGTGACGGAGCCCTTGATGGGTTGGCTGAATGAAGATTGAGGGTGCGAAGTGGGCCAAGGAATGGGCTTGTACTCGGTGTGAAAGTGAATTCTGTAGCTTTGATGCCCGAGAACTCTGCAGGGCCGGGATATGTGGCACGGGATTGCGGATGTTGTGCGGCGACATGAGTGTCAGAATCGGAACTCAAGGGTGACGGAGAATCTTCATGTGTTACGAGATGACGATAAGCGGGGGGATGAAGGGCTGAGTTCAGGGTGCGGGGTTTAGAAGCTTCGGGGTAAGGTGGAAGTGCAGGGACAGAGCGGGGGTCTTGTGACATAGGAGTCATTTGCCATGCAGGGCCACTCATTCTTCGTTTTGCGCGCATGAATCTGTCTGAAGATCTGACGTCTTCGTCTTCGTTCCAATCACGGGTGCTTGATACACCGAAATAGCCGTCACTGGGAGCAGTTTTGAGAGATATTGTGGAGTGGACGGGGGAATTGGAAGCACTTTTTGATGTACGTCCGCGGAAGTAAATTGCCTCGGCGTTACGAGCTTCATACTCTGCACGTCGAAGAGCTTCTGCATGGCGGGCTTCGTATTCTGCGCGACGAAGAGCCTCTTCTCGTTCGAGTGCATAAAGCTCGTCCATTGCTAGACTTGACAGAGTTGAAAAAGCGGAAGGATTTGATGAAACTGGGAGATGAGTTTGGGAGCGTCTTGGGTGAGAAGGTTCATAAGAGGCAAGTGAGGTTGGCCGGGCATATGATTCATCCTAGGATAATAAGGATTATATTAAATCGATTACATAAAATGGAGAAATGGAAGATACCTCGTCATCGCTGTTCGCTCTACTTCTAGCCTTCTTCTTTACTCTGATGGAAGTTCCTTGAGGGTCTGAGCGAGACAAGGAATGTAGGTTGATGCCTGGGCCGGTGTGTTCATCTATGATTGAGATATTTTGTTTTGCCTTTGGTTTACCTTTGGCATTTGAAGCACCAGACAAAGAATTATCGTTGTTATGAATGCGCGAATGTCTTGTGAGTTCGTCTGAACGAGAGAAACGCTTCTCGCAAGATGGAAAAGTGCAGACAAAGGGTTTTTCGCCTGTATGAGTGCGAATGTGACGAGTCTGTAAGATGACGATCATATGAGATCAGCACGTTGCTCTAGAGAATGAAAAAAAGAAAGATGATAGCTTACCTGGTGTTCGAGTCTGCTGAAAGCACGACCACATAAAGGATAAGGACATTTGTAAGGACGAGGAGCGACTTTATCGTGAGATGGAGGAGCTGGTACTTGAGTCTCCATTGTGGTTAGGACAAAGAAGGAAGAAAAAAATGAGGCAGAGTATAAGTAGGCGCTAGAGTATGTAATGGGGGGGTCGCTCGGAGTCCGGGGTAGAAGGCGTTGAATCAACGTGCAAGGGGTCCAGCGTGGAATTGTGGCTCCAAAGCTGTGTTTTACAATAAAAATAATATTCTTTTCGTTATCAAGCTTTTTATTATATAATATAAAGGTTACCCCACATCTCCGCCTTATCGTTATCGACCAAAGATATCTTGAAGGACATACCATGCATGACATATAATGTATGACATGCTATTGCAATGCGCACGTTAATTACATACCCGCGGCTTTTCCGGTGCTCTCCGTGATATTTGCCGTCCCCGACGAGCGCTGTCCCCTAGTGACACACCCCACGTTGATCATCCCAACTTGAAAACAAAGACGTAGTAGTACGTGTCAAAAATACTCTCTCGTCCGCCGACACCCCTTTATCGCTTTGCCACGTGCCTATCATCGATCCAGAGAAGCTCACCCCGAGTCGTTGGTTTGCCGAGATCACGCACCCTCACTTCGTTTCTTTCTTGCTTGGATTGACACGATGCATTTAACCCTCGCCACAACGCATCTCAAATTCATTCCAGCAACCTCCCCGATTATTTACCGTCCTCACCGGGACCATGGAGCACAATGTGCTACTTGCACCTCATTCTCAGGGTTAACATCCCCGCACAAAGTCAAATGAATACTCTCGCCGGTCCCCTCAGACTCTGGTAACATTGACAACCATCGGCATTCATGCGCGACGCAAAAATAACATGGCGCATCATTCTCAGGCCGAGCGTTCTAGAACCTATCCCCGCACGGAGGGAAATGAAACCATCTCGGATCCTTCAAAAGACTCGGAAATTCCAAACTCCGGTTCAGTAGACAGCGACCACATATCTGGGTTTATCTACGTAAACCTCCTCATACGCTCATGCTTAAATGCCGCCCAGTCCACGCAATCCACACATTGTGCTACTGACGCATTATTCCAATCTTTATTACATGTACGCTCGGACCCCAAAGGAGTGTAACGTCTACAACGCAACCACGTTATCTGCATTCTAAGATTATGGCTTCTGGGAAAATACGAGACCCTCCATATGCCGAAATGTCCCTCTCATTAAAGGAGACGGTGACTCAACTTAGACTCAGATGCAAGTTTCATCCACAACGTTGACATCCACGCGTGTACATGGGAATGTTTGACATTGCTCAAATTCCTCCCAGTAAAGACATCCACGCCAAGAGCTAGCACAACGCGCAGACCGGAAATGAACTTGGCTCAAACGAGATCTACAGCGCAACATTGATATTCTGGGGACATACAAAGGGCTCCCCCCCACATGCCGAAAGGCTCTCTCCGTATGACAGATTCCGCAGCGACATATATACAACTGGCGCGTCTGGGAGTTTACGCGTTTCGCTTAACGCACGCGCGCTTCCCTTCACACCTTATCTGCTCCCTGTATCCGAGCGCAAGGCTCGTAGTAACAGCGACAGTGAGGTCATTTGTGTGCTGTATGCTGTGTTCTGTTCTGTCGCGTTGTTCACGAGCGGGGGGACAACGAATCCACGATCATGTGAGCAAGTCGTGATCTACTTTGAAGGAGGAATCTATTGAGGGACTAGAATCTACTAGAACCAGCACTACAATGAGGAAGCTCCGTACCATCCGAGCTTCGGAAAAACGATATTTCGGCCTGTTTGGTATTTGTCAATTGTCGGTGCGATTTTTATGACTGCAGTTAATAACGTGCTTCTGAAATTCTGAGCTTCCATATCCCAAAATCTTACCGTATGCGAGCCTCGGATAAGCTATGTAGGCTGCCACTGTCCCGATAGCACTGCAAAGCCTATGGTTACAGCCATGCTCATCATCATGCGCATTCCACAGATTTCATAACGTCATACTGCCAGCAGCTGCGACTGCCCCTCGTCATGTCATGATCCGCGTGAGGAGGAAAATGAGGCGTCTCGGAGCTCTTAATGGAGACGGAGACTCAGTGCCACATTGACGACCGCACAAGCACGAACACAACGTTCGGGAGGGACACCCGCGCACCGAAGTCTTCCCTGAACTCCTATCCACGCGAAGAGGAACCTGAAGCGTTTCGGAGTTCTCGATGGAGAAACAAAGACGATCGGGAACATTCGGCACGGACGCCCCGCCACTGGCACTGAAGACTCCCCCCGTTCACGCGGAGAGGGAAACGAAAATGAAGCATCTTGAAGGCCTTTATGGAGAACCGGCAGCGTCACCATGTATCTCGGAAAATACGGAACGTACTACGGTGCATTGAATGGCGAAGGCTTCCACAATGCGCCCCTAGGAATTAAACACACACGTTCGATAGTTTGAAGCGCTTCTTGGTCCTGACCCTGTTCCCTCCATGTCCGTTGTTCGGACGACGAACACTGCATCCATCCATGATACTATACCTATGATTCCGAGCGAGTTTTTAATCGCAATGTGTGACGTCATGATCATCATGAGTGGTTTTCAAAAATCACTTTGTGGTGATTATCATTGAAATTACATAGCGCTCGTGCGTGCTGGAAGGAACGATCGGGTGTTCTATCTGGTCCTGCATGGGGGAGACTGTGCTTATTTACTAGCTCTTCACTGATCCATGCTGACCTGCTTTGTCTCAGCCCCCATTTAATACACTTCTTTTGTGGTTTCGGAGCCGGCAGTAGGGGGGTGCAATGTTAACATTAAAGCACAATCACAGAAACTCTCTCAAAATGACGAATGCCAAACACCACCCATATGCATGTGCACGCGCCACAAACAATGAACTCACGAAATTTTCAGATGAAACACATGCTACTCGTGGAGCCAGCTCTGAGTCCAAAACATTCACATACTAATCATCAGGGTTAAGTGCCAGGCCTGAACCGGGCATATAATGCCGGAACCGGGCCTAGGTCAACTTGAACTTTCAATCCAGTGCGGGCACGCACTGCCGAATTTCAAGCCTGTGCAGCAGCGTGTCCCAGATGAATCGGGCTCATTGCGGTGCCATGGGGTGGGGCGAGGCGATGCGTATCTCTTCCCCCTGGGCCTTATCTACCCCAAACTTTTGTTTTGACCGGTGGGCGTAGTTTTTGATCCAAGTCTAGGCGTACTAGTCGAGTGCCGTTATATGCATATCATGATGGCACTGGCAGCTCCAGGCCCTATATGTAACACTCTAATTCGACCGAGTCGAGCCTGAGCGCGGCGGCCACCATCACGATTAACATCGGTCCCACCCGACCTCCCATCCAACCTTCCAAAAAGGGCTTTTAATGTAAGTGAGTGAGTGAGTCTGTGGGTTGAATGGTTGGTATCCTCATATACACGTAGATCCCGAATTCTGGGTATGCCGGGGTGATGGATTCCCGGTCATATGAAATGATTCAGTCGTGTCACGCCATGTTTTTTTTTTCTTTCGATTTTTGATTCATGATGTCGATGGAAACGTGAGACGGTTACGAGATAAGTTTGGACTATGTATGGGGCGGTCCTGGGCGGTCCTGGGCGGTCCGGCCGTATCATAGCTATCATTCAATATTAATGTTCATGCGGGGTTCTTTGGGAATGGGCACTGCGCACGGAAGAGGCAGTCATTTAACTCGTGCAAAACAAGGCGTAGAACACTGCACCCTGAGAAGACGTCCAGGAGGCAAGCATGTATGTATGTATGTAGTATGTATGCGCCGCGCGCGGTACTTGCTTCCAGCACCCCATGCGCAGCACCAGCACCACACTCGTGGAGCCAGCAGCTTGAAATGAAGAAGATTCCATCAGATCTCACTGTAAATCTGGGTGCGTGGTCTTATCATGCATGCCCAGAATACGACTCCTTGTCAATAAATGACTGGGTAGAACTGAATCGGGGATCCAGAAGACAACGATCGCCGGCCGGCTGCAATTTTAAAAAGCGATAAGGACAAGACAGGAATGGCTTGGGGATGGCGTCGACATCAATACAGATGGCGATTATGAACGGAATACAGTAATTTTTCATGTGATTATCATTATGACTTGATCGTGCAATCCGGAATCCAGAATCTAGGTCCCAGATAGATAGATCAACGTCGTCTAGTTCTGGTAGTCTGGAATTTAGACGTCTCGCGACGCAACCGCCTGGTCAGGTTAGTATGATTGGATAGATAGCGCGTGCAGCGTAAGACGCCGTACCTGCTAGCTCTTTCTTTTTCGATTTCTCGCCTCTCTACTTCTTCTGCGGTGAGCACCTCGAACCGTGTTCGGAATTCTTCTGCTTCTGTCCATTCGCGCCATACGCTTTGGAGGACTTTTGGGCCTTTGGTGCGGCCCCAGCCCATGCCCAGCCCTGTTTTGTCTTTCAGGCCTTCGGCTTCTTTGTCCCCACCGATGACGCCCCATTCGATAGCGTCCTTCTTGTGCTTTATGAGCTCTTCGTGGATCGCGTGAGCTATGAGCGGTAGCGCCTCTCCTGATAACCCCAGCTCGGTACAGAGCTGCAACGCAAATGCTTCAGGTGTCAGAGGTGAAAGCAAATCCCACTCTATATGGTCGAGTAAATGATGCGTCGCTATCTGCACGTCGATCTGTAATCGTCAATGAAGCAACTAAATCCATCATCATGACTAGGGAGAACACACGCTTAGGATAACACGACACTCGGGAACCTCCTCGCCCGCTTCAGCCGCAACATGGGGATCCAAGCTCAAGTCGATAGTATGGTCTGTACCTATATCCATGGAAGCGACGCCTTCGTGGTCTTCTATCTGTGCACGGATTTGGTTTGCGACTGTTTCTGCCCATGGGACGGTGGGGAGATCGAGGTCTGCGCAAAATACTTTAGCGAATGATTCGGGTTTGATGAGGGTCTCGTTCAAGTTCCAGACGAAACAGTCGCGTATTCGGAGGGTATCTGTCTCGAATTCGACACGGATAGGGACTAGAGAGGCGCGTGTTTGTGCTTGTGTTTCAAGCATGTCAGGTGAACTTGGGTATATGTGTACATTGTTATTTGTTAGACGATACTATAGTAGTAAAAATACGCACGGATAATCATGTGCGGTTGGAGCGACGGGTTTTGCTTTGATAAACCGACTTGGAGGGATCATGCCTAGATAACTCTGATCCAACTCTCCCTTGTCGTTCTGCATCGGTGTAGAGCGCCGCTGTTGCGGTTGAGGGGTGGACATCCCACTACCTGAGTGAAAAACCGACATGCCAGTTCCCATTCTCCGTGTCCTCAAAGTCGTTCTCATGCCCCCGCTAGCGACAAAATCAGAGTCATCGGATTCGATAGCACCAGCATCTGGGAACTCGTCTCCTGAGGCTGGCTTCTGCGTAGTTGATCATGCCTCCGCGGCGGGTGGAGGCTCTTGTGTTTCCGGCTGCTGCAGAAGGCGGATTGAGCACGGGCTGTACGAGGAGGGTTGTTCCTGTGCGTAGGCGGAGATGCATATGTAGAATGGAGAGCTTGTGAGACGACGGGGAGTGGATGACGGGGTGGGTTTGGGGGGAGAGGAGGAGCGACTGGTACGGGTGCGACTGGTTGAGGAGGTGGTTGGTATACTGGAGCAGCGACGATCTGTTGTGGAACTGGTTGTGCAGTAGTCTTTGCCGTGCGATGACGGGCACGGGTAGCCTTGTTCGGATTTGTTGTTGACCAAGTGTGAACATTTTTAAGGTAAGCTAATACAAGTTTGTTTAGTGAGTTTGAATAGTATGAGTTAATGAAATGAACCTTTTGATGTTGATTGTTGGGGTGCGGGTGATACGTAGTGCTGAAACTGGTTTGTAGGATTGTTAGCTGCGTTTGAGAGCTGGGTTATAGTTTGGCGCAATTGTAAATCTGTTAGGTTCGTCATGTTCGTCGGGTAGCTGGTCGAGGAGGATGCGTCGGCCATCTTGGCAACTGCCCGAATCTTCAAGTAATGGCTTGTTGAGCAGCTTACAGAAAGTTTCAGCCGTTACATAATCATGAACAGTGATGTCATTTCAACTACTTTTCGATGTCTCCCGACCATGATATCAGATACCTCCAGCGCGAGCACCGCTACCATTTTAGATGACTATGCGTTCAAAAGCGATCTTCAACTCGTCGTCGGTTTTCAGCCAAGTGGTCGGAGACGAACGACGAGTTTAAGTGTCATGCAAAGGCCGTTCTTCAGGAAACGGGATCTACGATAACCTCAGTTGACACATACGGAGTCAGTACATATGATCTATTGGGCGCAATGATAGAGGGCTCAGAGAAAGCTGGTTTGTCAAGCGGTGTACGCTACGCAGCGGCTGCCATCATAGTCCTATCAAGAGGGAGGAGCGTCTAACTCCTCTGCTTCCGAGTAAACCAAGTTGGCCCATGATTGGCTCTTGTTCTTCCTCTGCCCTTGTATGACATCTGCTTTATTCGCAAGCTGCGGCTTATGGTAGGAAAGTCAGGAAACCCTAGATCCGACCACTCTCTACAAACGGAGGTCGCCACTCCCAACCTCCGTGTTCCTAAAGTCGTTGCTGACACTGACTGCGGCGTCGCGAGCTTCTAAATTTAGGAATTTGGTGTGCTGCACCGTCTCTCTTTGTTATTTACGGGATGTTCATAATTAAAAGGCTATCCCGAAGACCCGTTGTTCACGACCCTGGAGGCAATGTATGTCCTTTAGCTGCCAAGTTGCTGCGCCCGTCCGGCTGATTGTTCTGCAGCGCAGCGCGGGAACAATCATCATAAGCCACTATACTAAGCTCGCTTCAAGCATTATGGATGACGCGGCTGGTATCATCGATAACCCGGAGAATGGATTGTTACTCGAGGTAGTACTGCGCACTTACTTTGGCAGCTACGCGTGGTGCCTACACCCCGCAGTACGGTTGGTTTTTTGTCATGAAATGTCAGATTTTTATGCCATTGAAAGGATGTCTTGCACAAATATACAGTGCACTTGTTCCGCCCTGTCCCTTTTGGTTTGGAAGGTTTTTCACACAAGTCCAATTCCGGGATCACTCTCAAAGTGGCATTCAGCCTCCCAACCCTACGCTCATTGCGCTCCATTCTGCGGTTGCCCATGTCCTATACCTCAGCGGTGCTGCAGACGTCATAGACAAGGTCTATGATGCGTTCCTTGATGATGGTCCTATGGTGCCGTTTGGAAAAAAAAAATAGTGCTAGCGAGGAAGATTTTCTTATCAGACTCTCGTTGACTGGGTTGACGACGAACAACCACCAAGTACCAACGAACCCTCACGGGTGGGACTGATCCTGCATGAGGCGGATGTATCGTAGACGTTATCTATGAACTGCAAAAATCATACATAACGTCTATGATGCGTGAACACATGTCAACATTCACTCATGGATGGTTTCGTCGGAGGTTCATCTTAAATGACTCGCCTTAGCCAAATGGTTACCACAACAGAATCAAAATCTGTATCTCTTGGATTGCGGAGGTTCGAAACCGACCACCAACAGCTTGTTTTTTCCTATCAGAATACGCCTTGAAGATTCCCTCAAGGATGGTTTCTTCGAAGGATCATCTCAACTTCGTCATGGTCAAAGTTGTTACCACAACAGAATCTAAATCTGTCTCTGGAACTGCGCCAGTGCAGGTTCGAAACATGCCGACGACAACGTTTCTTTTTTATCGGCACACGGCGGCCTTGAAGATTTACTCATGGATTGTTTCCTCGGAGGTCGATCTTAATTGGTCTTAGCTAGGTGGTTTCTACAACAGAATCAAAATCTATCTCTTGAACCGTGCCAGTGCAAGTTCGAAACTTGCCGATCGCAACGTTGCTTTTTTATCGAAACACGGCGGCCTTGACGATTTACTCATAGATTGTCTCCTCGGAGGTCTATCTTAACTGGTCTTAGCTAGGCGGTTTCTACAGCACAATAAAAATCTGTCGCTTGAACTGTGCCAGTGCAAGTTCGAAACTTGCAGTCGACAACGTTTCTTTTTTTATCGGAACACGGCGGCCTTGACGATTTACTCATGGATTGCTTCCTGGACGGACGATCTTAACTGGTCTTAGCTAGGTGGCTTCTATCACAGAATTAAAATCTGTTTCTCGGGCTGCGCAGATTCGAAATCTGCTAACGACAAGTTTTTTTTCTATCGGAACACACCTTGACATTGAGTCATGGATGGTTTCCTCAGGGGTTCATCTAACGGGTCTTAGCCAAGTGGTTACCACAACGGAATCAAAATCTGTTTCTCTTGGATTGCGCAGGTTTGAAACCTGCCGATGGAAGTTTTTTTCTATCGGAACAGACCTTGATATTTATTCGTGGATGATTTCCTCAGTGGTTCAGCTGACGGGCCTTAGCCAAGTGATGACCATAAAAAATATGTTTCTCTTGGACTGCGCAGGCTCTATTATCTAAACCTGCCGACCACAACGTTTCTTTTTTATCGGGACATGGCGGCCTTGAAGATTCATTCATGGATGGTTTCCTCGGAGGTCCATCTTAACCGGTCTTAGCCAGGTGATTTCTACAACAGAATCAAAATCTGTTTCTCTTGGATTGCGCAGTTTCGAAACCTGCCGACGTCCACGTTTTTTTTCTATCGGAACACGGCGACCTTGAAGATTTACTCATGGGTAGTTTCCTCGGAGGTCCATCTTAACTGGTCTTAGCTAGGGGGGTTACACAACAGAATCAACATCTGTCGAACCTGCCGACGAGGAGTTTTTTTTCCGCTATCGAACATCCCTTCATGATTCACCCATGGACAGTTCCTCGAAGGATCACTTTCAATGGTGTTAGCCAAGGGGTTATCAGACTCAAAATCTGGTTCTCTTGCGTTGTGCAGGTTCGAAACCTACCGAACGACATGTCTTTTTTCTATCGGAACACACCTCGACGTTGATTCATGGATGGTTTCATCAGACGTTCATCTAACTGGTCTTAGCCAAGTGGTTATCAGAATCAAAATCTGGTTCTTTTGCATTGCGCAGGTTCGAAACCTGCTGCACGCCCTGTCTTTTTCTATCGGAACACACCTCGACGTTGACTCATGGATGGTTTCCTCTGATGTTCATCTAACCGGTCTTAGCCAAATGGTTATCAGAGTCGAAATCTGGTTCTCTTGCGTTGCGTAGGTTCGAAACCTCCCGCACGCCCTGTATTTTTCTATCGGAACACGCCTCGACGTTGACTCATGGATGGTTTTCCTCTGATGTTCATCTAACCGGTCTTAGCCAAATGGTTATCAGAGTCGAAATCTGGTTCTCTTGCGTTGCGTAGGTTCGAAACCTCCCGCACGCCCTGTATTTTTCTATCGGAACACGCCTCGACGGTGACTCATGGATGGTTTCCTCTGATGTTCATCTAACCGGTCTTAGCCAAATGGTTATCAGAGTCGAAATCTGGTTCTATTGCGTTGCGTAGGTTCGAAACCTCCCGCACGCCCTGTCTTTTTCTATCGGAACACGCCTCGACGTTGACTCATGGATGGTGTCCTCTGCGCTTCGTGTAACTGGTTATCAGACTCAAAATCTGGTTCTCTTGGTTTTCGCAGGTTCGAAACCTTCCGAACGCCCTGTCTTTTTCTATCGGAACACACCTCGACGTTGACTCATGGATGGTTTCCTTTGAGCTTCGTGTAACTGGTTGTAGCCAAATGGTTATCAGACTCAAAATTTGGTTCCCTTGGTTTTCGCAGGTTCGAAACCTTCCGAACGCCCTATATTTTTCTATCGGAACACGCCTCGACGTTGACTCATGGTTGGTTTCCTTTGAGCTTCATGTAACTGGTCTTAGCCAAGTGGCTGCCGCGGCAGAATCAAAATCTGTTTCTGTTGGAGCTGGTTCGAAACCCGCTGACAACCTTTTCGTGGTGTATAGATCCTTGGAGGTCCATCTTAATTACTAGTAGGCTCAGTCATTCCGTCGAAACCTCCTTTTTATGTGATACCCTACTAACCCCAAATCCTAACGGGATGAATACTAACCCTAGTCTATCCATAAAAAAGAATCCACCCTCACGTCCCGCCATGGTCGTCTCAGAAATATAAATATATCCCCGGAGTCCATACGTGCCAACCTAGATTCTCGACAGACAACTGCCCAAATCACGAGCAACTACGCCGTGTTACATAATCATGAACGATGATGTCATTTCAAGTACTATAAAGCCATTGACAATTCGATTCCACTCCACCATATCATCATGTCCTCTCCCCCCAAAGACAATATTGCACCCCGCCCTCCTTCAAAGGTCGTTGAACCAACCAAAGTCAACACCGCACCACAACAAGGTACTATCTTCATTCGATCAACCTCGCTTAGACCTAATAAACAAAACATAGCTTCCACTTCACCTGGTGACGGCGCTCATATTCCCGCGGACCAGATTCGCGATCCCTCCGAGGTCGATCGCAATGACCCCAATATAAACGTGGTAGAGATCCCTGCAGAGAAAAAAAAGTCCCCTTCCTTCAAAGACCAAGTATTCGGTGAGTGTCTCTCTTACAATTCGGGCATACAAACTGACACGCCGGTAGGTTATGCCAAGGTATGATGCTGTGATCCGCATCGCTTGTTACTTATTACTCATTAATTACCTTGCCATTTACACTCAGGTCATCCGCGGAAAAGTCAGTCACCTGCTCATCTTCTATTGTTCTCTTTGTTTATCTGTCTACAGGGTCTTGGTAAACCAGCCGTCAAGGAGCAAGGAGAACGAGTGTTGCGAGGTGAAGAAAGCGTTCCGACGAAACGCCGAGGCTCTACTTCGGATTGATACCTTCGTCGTGTCACTGACTTTCCTTGTACTCTATCCTATCATCATCATCCGTCACCGTATATGCGGGAATCGTATATGTGGGACATTCAAGGTAATATATTTACCGATGAGGATTTATCTTCCCATTGCCAGGAAGTGTATTCAGTAACATACGAGATCTCCCGAATGTTCAAACGCTCAAACTCCACGTTCAACTGCTTCAGGAATATGCACTCATCTTGAAATGGGTGAACCCTTTGATTCTTACAGGTGAGAGAACAAAACTGGCAAATTGCGCATTATCCTCTTGTATTGAGCGGGAAGGATCGTCTGTAGCAACCGGAAGGAGATATTGGTGCACGACCCATTCAATTCCGACGCATTTTCTTAGGAATAAGACAAAACTGAATCCCGGAGAGAATATATGTACGAATGTACAAGGGTGCAAATAAAAGCGAAAGGAAGAGATGTCTTGATTATGGCAGCATTTAAGCAATTGATAATCGAAGCCTTGTGGCGCTGTCACGAAGGTTAATTCAATTCCAAATTCTAAACTTGAACTGGACACCCCCTTTCAACCGCAATACAGATAGTACAGTACCGCCGACTCAGCATTTCTTCAGTAGTAGGCGGAAACACACGGAAGCGACGCTTAAAAGCGATGAGCTTTTATTAGCCTGCTCTCGCTTGAAAATTTGAAATGTAAAACCTCGCTTGGACAACCACCATCATCATGTTCTCCACGCCCGATGAAACATCTACTTCACCTGTCTTCGATGAAAAACATATCGAAGAATCTTCCCCGCCTTCCAGAATGCACGCAAACAACCCAGTCGTCTCCAGCGCCGAGTTTATCCTCAAAGTAAGTTTTTATGACGACTAGTACTCCGAGTGAAACCCATTTCAATCAACGATGATCGCCACCAGCAAACAAACATCGTCAAAATCAACGACGACGGGATCAAAAAAGCCACACAATATGTCAGTCCAAACTTTGATCTAGTTCGAGAGCATCGCGTATCTGACCGACCCGCGCAGATTTTACAAAAGGTTGCTTCCGAGTCCTATACTCCACGCACATGGCGCACGCACCCCTTGCATATATGTCCGCCCGAGCCGTATGACCCCGACGATGTACTCACGGGTGCATGTCTGAACTGGATATTCCTCATCTCTTCTTTGAATTTCAGTTTTTGGTCGGAAAAGGAAGGCCAGCCGGATCGGTACGGCGTTGAATGGCGGACTAGTTGGGGGTAGCGAGACGATGACGATTCACACCGGATATTGGAGCTTAGTCGCCGCTCTGAATCGAGGTGGGCAAATGCATCATCATCTTTTTTTTTTTATAGAGTCCGAATCTGGACCCAATAATCGTCAGCGTTAGAGGAGGGAATACCCATCATCGACCCTAGATTTTATTCCTCCCAGACACTGTGCCCAGACTCGCTAATCGCGCACGTGTTCCGCGCTGCACCCCAATCTACCGAAACAATGCCCCTGTTTAATGAGCGTCTAGCGATCATGCGCGAAGTCGGTGCTATACTCTGTAACGTAAGTTTTTCCCAATGTGAACATATGCATGCTAGTTTGTTTATGGACACATTACATATAGGATGATTTTGGAGGATCATACCTAGGGTTTCTAGAAGCCTTTCAGAGAAGACATGAGAATCAGGGCACGGCGCTCGACCTCGTCCAATTCGTAACAGATTCGTTCCCAAGTTTTAGAGATGAACGAATGTTCAACGGACGACGAGGCAAGTCAAATTGAATCATGATAATCAACTGGCGTCTATCAATTCCACAAGACTGACGAATCTATACTCACTAGTACATTTCTGGAAACGGCCCCAAATCCTAGTAGCGGAGACCTGGGCAGCCTTCTACCCTGAAAACCCCTACACCCCACACCCCATTTTCCCCGGCCTCAGCGGAGCACAAATAAGTGCCCTAACGATGTTCGCAGATTACCGTGTCCCCCAGATCCTGCATCACCTGCGGATCCTCGCCTATCCCCCATCGCTCGAACACAAACTGCGCACCGGCACGTATCTAGAAGCTGGATCGAGAGAAGAGATGAGCTTGCGCGCGGCAAGCATCGTTGCTGTTGAACGTGTCAGGAGTGAGATGATAAGTTGTGGATCGGATTGGGATGCGAGTTGTGTATTGATTGATTTTTATCTTTGGGATTTGGCCAAGAAGGTGGAAATGGGGGAAGAGCGCGCTGAGGGGATTGAGACGGATGGGATTTTGCCAGCGCATAGGACGAGGAGTATTTGGTATTAAGTTTTTTGGGCTCATTGCAATTGATAGATCTAGACTTCACTTTACTCGTGTTCCCCTCTTTCGTCGATACTATAATACTAGTAGCGATAGGGTTTAAAATTTACTCGCATTTTTGTAAACACACTGACATACTAGAGTTCCATAAATACTGTCCGAGATAAGCTTCCAGCATCACTGCCTTTTGGAGTAATAGTTTAATTAAGCAGACGACAGTCTCGACAGTTACAATTTCAAATGTAGACGGGCGCGATGACGGTGGGCCTTTGATTGGTTTGCACCGAAGGTCTCGGTCAGCTTGCTTCCTACGATTGCAGCGGTCTTCTTGACGGCATGTCGTTCAAAGTTCTGGAAGTTCCTGTCTATGCAGTGATTTCGGATGAACTCAAGTATGCGGTTTCTAAGATGTTTAGAATAGCTGGACGGACATGGGCATGTGATGGAAAGGAACTCAACGCCGATACCCTGGTAAATGACGTACATGTGAATTATGGGCGACGTTCTTATCAGCTCGGTATCTTGGAAATTCAAGTCCATCAAAACGCCTACGTACGTGTATGGAATGTATGACGCAAAGAATGACATGAAACTCGGCTAGCGATAGCGTCAATTGATATCTATGGCGCAGCATGTAAATGTCATTAATGTTGATTGCAAACCACAGGGTCATCATGAGCCATAGCTGAGTTCTGGAATAATCCCAAATTCATCTGAGGAAGATATCGATGGAGGACCAGTTTGTCCGCTGAATCCGGCAGAGCTAAATCCACTTGGGCAGGGATCCGTCGCAAGTCGGACAGGAACTGTGAGCCGCAGTTCCTTGAAAGGTGATTTAGAGAGGTCGGGCGGAGTCATGGTCAGGACTACACAATCCTTTATAAATAGGTCTCAGCTGAGGTCATCACCAGAAATGTAAAGCAAGTGCCTACCTTGATGGAAAAACCGCCCGCCTTGAAGCCTCCGACCTTGATGTCAGGGCTGATGTAAATATCTCCTGAGAATGCAAGCCAGTGTGCACCGTCACCCTATAGAATCATGTCAATCATCAAGTACCCTGTGCTAGATGCTCTGCATGTCATACTGCGTGTCTGAAGGCACCTTCGCCAATACAATCGACTCTCCAGATATCGGTGCGGGTGCCAAGTATCAAAGCATTGCTGTAAAGCGAATGTATCAAGTACAGTCACACAAAGATCACTGAAAGAACAAACCGAACATCGACAGTCGTCTGCCTCAACAACTGTATTTTTGTGTGCTGCGTTTTCAGAGGCGTGGTTACCACCGGTCCCAAAGGCATAAACGCAGCAAGAGACATTGCTGAAGACGAAAACATAACGTGGAAAGGAATGGGCTCGTGCATGCAGAATGTTCGACTGGCTGGGAGATACAACTGACGCCCGGGAACCATCAGGATCGATATATACATTCATTCACAGCATCGACCAACCTTTACCATAATATCCTGTCCTCCCTGATTTGCGTGAATCAAAGTCGGAAAAACCTTCCATTGCGAGGGTCTCGATTATTCCCCATTGACCAGGCACCAGAGATGGTGGTAATGCGGAAGATGGACGAGTGCGAGGAAGGTACTCAAACGGAGTCGAAATCGTCCTGCAAATCGTGAAAAGGGGTTAAGACGATCCCACCTAGAAACACACCAATCTCCGCCCCCCAACAAGGATGACTTGACTGCATGTGGTATGATGTTTGGTTTCACAGCAATAACGCTTATACTATACTTTACCCTCGCGCGAAATCCAGGCAGGCCGGATAGGTGGGACTCGTGGCTTGGCGGGAGGGGCTATGCTCGTGGTTGTCAAAATGGGCTACTCAAACTTCACGCCACTTACGTACATAGGTTTTTCCGCCGTCCGAAAAAGTGGTTGGAAGAGGGAGACTGAATGGGAGCGAACGCGGGCATGATGATTCGTAAATTCTGTCCTTGACCCATAGAATTGTCTTGTTGAGAAACAGTTTGCAGTTCGCCGCCCCGCCTTCGGCCACTTCTTCCATCAAGAGGGTACCTTCGATCTAAGGGGATTGTATCAGAGTGGCCCCTATTCATCCAGCTAATCCGCTCACTTGAACTTCAACACTCGTGATACCATCTCGTTTGTGGACGTCGAGGGTACCCTCCACAGATGCGCCATAACCATAGACAGGAAGTGTGAGGTGGCCATCCTGGCCTGCGAGCCGAAGACTCACGCCACCATTTCTAGATTGTTTTACAAATTCACGCGGCGACCGGTTGGGATTTAGACGCGTATTATGAGTTAAACGGTATTCATGAGCCCGAGGAGCAGCGGTATACGTTGGCGAATGGACCTGTGATGAGGGAGTAGGGTACCCGGGGAGAATCACATTGGTTGCAGTGGACATGGTAGTGCACTAGCAAAGTTCGTAAGGGTCACTTTCCTTCTCGAGGATCGAATGTAATGTGGAACCGTCGAGCACCATGCGGGTCCTTGGCTATACTTAACCCTGGCTTCCCACTCCTTTCGGCGTTCACAGCTAAATGAGTATTAGATTCGGGGAAGGTCACTAATAAGGTTCGGGCGCTCCTTCAACCTCGAAGCTATGTTTCAATGATGAAACATGGAAATAACCGGGGGCCGGACGCAGTTCTCGATATTGTAATTATGCTACTGGGGCTCGAATGGCGCTAAACATGTAGAACGAGATTTTTTGTTGTGGACAAGTTTGGATGACTCACAAGAAGCAAGGGACATCATATGCATCTGGTGGCTGTACACTTAGAAGCGTGGCCATATGTATATCCCCACATGGGTATTCGGGTGACAACGGATAAGCCGCTTATAATATCACAACGTGAGCTCAGAGCTCATTCTAGATACATATGAGTGTATAAGTCGTACACTATGTTGTCCATACACGAGATTTCAAGAGAGATGCCTAAAATCCACCTTTTCCACGAACCCGCGCGATACTCCCCTGGATTCCTTTGACCACCCCTCGAAATCCCGACCCAACGCCAGTAGAGTCTGTAAGTGGGTTGCCATATTTATCACGGTATATGCCATCTTTCTCCAATTCATGTAGATGCGTGTTCTGATTTCTCCGGATGCCATCAAACCATTCCTGACATACTGTAGGGTTGTCAACCATAACGTTTACCTCTTGGCTATGATACCAAGACTGCGTGTCTGAAAATTTTTCATAAACATCGGTGAGAGGCCCATCGGTGAGATATACCTTGGTTTCCATTGCCTACGATCCCAACAGAATCATCAATGGTCATTAGTTTCACCTGGAATCAGATAAGGGTTCTGCCGGTAGCTTCAATAATGATGGGACGAACATGACAGTTCCGTTTCTGCGCGGATGCATTGACGGGCTTGATTTGATCCTTGCCTGAAATGATCACAGTTGAGTAATCGAAAGACACCCTCGCGGGAGAAGTACATGCCCGTATACCAATAGAGTTTGAGTTTCTCTTTCTCCTCGTCAGTCAACTGTGTGAACATCGTCTTGGATACTTCTTCGTTTGTGCCTCCCTGTCCAGGAAGTGCTTCCCCACCATCATTAAAGCCTACGTCTATATACAGTGTGCATTCGATGCCGCGCCTGACTGCATTCAAGATGCCTTCAACCACGGGGACTGCATTTAAAGTCGGACTTTGGATGAAAACCTTCCTCTGGGCGTATTTCAGCCCTGCAAGCCAGGCTGCATCCTGCGCGTTGTGCAAACCACTAGCGGGATTTCCAGGACTCCCATTGGGTGCACGGTTGACCAACACCATGGGACATTCTTCATGAAATGTGTGAAGAATGTGCGGCGTGTATTCATCTCCAGACGATGCTGGTGGCTCATACGGTATACTGGCATGTGTATCTGGCTGATCTCCGGCATCTGCATGGTATCAAATCAGGGGACTTGGATGTGAAATGATGACGACGGCTCACTGAGGTGCTCTGTGATTGTCTGATAGGTGCCGGAGATAAATGGGATCCCTGCATCTAGAGACCCAGAAGAGGAAGGATCTTCCTTTCCTCCTTTATCCACGTCTCCGTCGTGTATGCCGCCGGCCTCCCGTTGCAGTGTTTTGAAAAGTTCCGCCCCTGTGCTGCCATCCAGAATCCAAGTCGTGGCATATTCATTATCCATTCCAAACTTGTAGCCTCCCTCAGGCGCCCGGTACCGGGTGTTGAGCAACGGAAGCGGTGGGTGCATGGGTCTGAACCAACTGATGAGAGCAGTATCATACAAACTGTCAACAATCGGGCCCTCCAAGTGGATCATCATCTCCATGTTAGGACGGTCTTGAATATTATTCGAGTTCAGGAGCGCCATTTTGCGATCCACGATCATGAACTTGCAATGGAATGTTCCAAAAACAGGTCTATGCATCATATAGTAACTCGCATATGAGAGACAACCGGGAACGCTCACTGGTGAAAATTCACTAATTCGAAGTCGATTCCTGGCATATCGCTTCTCTTCGGGAGCTTTACTTCATCACTGGCCATTTCTGCGTCGTCGACAATAACGTGGCTTTCCGTGAGCATCTTTAAATTTGCACGGTCATACATCATCTTCACCACGACCTTCTTACCCCTTTTCATCGCTCTGCGCGAGAGTTCGAGCAAGGCATCGCATATTTTGCTAGCGGACTTGGATGCTTGCCAAAAGTTCGTTGCCAAAAATACTTCCGACTCAGCACGGACGATGCAATCATAATGATGCTGTATGATATCCGGAATTCTACTCAACACATTAGCGGAAGACAAATAAGGAAATGAATAACCATGTAATTACACGGAAATAATGCTCAGGTTCACGACACCTCTAGAACCCAGCAAGGGGGGCGATACCACACCAGCCCAAGGATTTGTATCGAGTGTAGCAAGCACGTCACAGTAGATCTTTCTATGCAATGAGTCAAGATTACATATCTGCCGCACTTTACTCGCCTTTAAAAATAAGTCACTTGGTCTACTGCCAAAATTTCCGCACTCGGCAGCGCGGTCGAGATCAGCTTGCGTGGGTTCACTAGGTGTAATTCGCTGTGTCTCATTCGCATTTCCACGCTGCAGCACGCCCATGAATGTCTCCAAATAACCACCGGAGGATATGGGCTTTTTGTGATGCTCTGCATAGAGCGTTTTCGCAAGATGCCCGGGTGATGATGCCGGGGAAGCTGCGAACGCTGCAGTAAGCGTCGTTTGGGAGTGAGTTAACGAGTAGACTTTATCTGAGACAGTCATTGTGGTGCGGAGAAGAGTGCAAAACTGAGCGCAGCATCAGATGCATCATGACGACAAAGTCGACGCCCATAGCTATTAAAAGAACTGGCTCCAAAAGCTCTAAGTAGTACTAGCACTACGCCACGATCCTGTTGTGTCATTGCGCGGATGCAATTTGCGTGCAAGGTCACGTGCGCGGGCCCCTTTCGAAATTCGACTCTCCGCCGGCCCCCATTCCTTTGTTTGACGAACTCTGAATCTACCAGCGCTACACTTGTATGGGAGTCTTAGAAAATGAATATATAATTCGCATGAAGCCTGACGTTGAACCTTTTAAATTCAAAGTGAACCCTTTGCAAACTTATCAGTGGAACACGAAAACCATTTGATCAAGCATACATTCAGCAGAATTAACTGTTCCATGAACAGAATTAATGATATAACCTATGAAGCCCACATAACCTGTACAGCATGAATATGTATGTATGTGATCTTGGTACACTGGGTACCAGACTTATAAAAAAACTATAAGTTAGCAATATAGCACGAAGTAGTAGATATAAAGATATAGCAGATGACGATATGGTTGTGAGTATATATACAGTGCAGTGGCCAAAACACAATGTGATGAGAAAAATGAGTTCATGAGCGATCGATCCATGGTTCTGTAGCAAGTCGTATAGGGATAACGCGTTGAAGTGAAAGGTCGGGTCTCAATTCACTAGGGGGGAGCAGTAAAGACAGTACAATGTAGTCCTGGAATCATTTCATGAGTTCGATTTCAGACTGTTTAAAGAGACGTCAACTCACCGAAGTGCTAACATGGCTGGTATTGAAACCAGTGTTCAAGACGGGAACTTCACACCGAAGGTCACCATTCCAACTCCATGTCACAGGCTCTGCTGATTCTGATATTACGGCTTTGGAGGTGGATGATGATTGCAGCATCATCTGTCCGCGACCAAGAACTTGGTCGTGACTGAATGACGTGCCTTTAATGTCGACGGTAGTCTTTCGTAGTATAAACACATTTAAAACTTCTTCTATTTCCGAGGGATTTTGCTGAGGAAGGAAGACCTTCGCAAGACTGTGCAAGAAGAGTGGCGAAGTCTCTAGTCGCAGATGGAAAGGTATCTTTTCCGAAGCAGTGAATACACGGACGGAAGGAAAGAAGAACTTGAAATAAACTAGTATCAGTTTCTGAATGGTCGATCGCGAGGACATGGACTTACATGACAGCGTGCCAAGAATGCTTCGTTTCCTGTATCAACGGACGGCTTCGTGATCCAAACGTTCTCCATCCAATCCTCAGGCGATTGTTTCACCTCGCTGAAGGAATTTGGGACTGGTCTTGATGGCCGTACTCGGGGACGGTATCTAACGTGAATGCTCATGTATACCTCCCTAATGATGAAAGTTTCAGTTTCGAGATGCATCTGGATCTACTGCGCACTCGCCTCGAAAGCTTCTTTCCAATCATTGGGACGTTTCTCGACTTTGTGACAATGATCTGCAGTGTGTAAACTATAGCCACGCGTCGCGGTTGTGATAGCTCAAAGGACGGCGGTAAGCGGAAAGGACGATCCTGGCCACGCTCTCGATAGGAGGTTGGAAAAGACATTGATAATGGCATGATACTGGGACATGTTTGTCCGTTTAGACTGGAGCTCTCCCATAGTGTCCGCTCCTTTGAAATGATATTCACTGCCTGGGATGGTTGCCCTGAAAGGTAGACACGACCTTCAAGCTAATGGGTGATATTAGAAATGACGTAGAGGAACACCGAACACGACAGATCGCACATACCTTCGCTGCAACAGCTACAACTCTCCGGCGATTGTCAAGTGCAACTTCTCCTCGAATAGTACTCCCAAGACCATAGCATGGATGACGGTCCTCTTCACGACAGTCCCTCAATCTGAGGGTCATCCCTCTTTCCCGGAAAGTAAATGATGCATTGTCTCCACGTTGGGTGCAAGGTGATCTTTGTATGCACTTCTCACCAGGAAGTAGTTTGGAAGAATAGTCAGGTGCAGGCTTAGATGGCGTATAGTCAGGTGCAGGCTTAGATGGTGTATACTCTGGTACGGAAAGTGTCTCCATGTCTACGGAAGATATGTGGGGCGTTTGGAGGTTGGACGGATACCAATCATAGACAGCAGCTTTATACCCATGTTAAACCAGTGGTATTGACGGTTGCATCAAATTCGGACGAAACGTGGACCCGAGGACAGCTCCAATGATTCAGCGGCTATGAGAACGGTGATGCGAAAGACGGGTAGATGCCTCACCATACCAATCTGAGCCGGTGGCCGGTGAGATCGCTGTAACAACGCTATGGACCTGTGTTTCTTGCTATGCTTATTCAACGTAAGGGAACACGTGAGTAACACACGAACAAAGATGATGTAAGGCTTGGCGCGGCGTGACCTAACTTAGGCACCGATACTCATGAGTCCTCGAGGAGTTTTTGTGTGACCCGTTCCCTCCCTTTCCCCATACCATACTAAAACGAAAGCTCCCATTGGCGGTGGCTGCGCTTCGGCTGCCATCAATGACGCAGCTCTGGCCGCCAGAGCCCAAATGCCAAAGGATCATACCCATACCCACATATGGATGAAGATTTCTAATGACGGCGGCGCGACGGCGTGTCATCTCAATACATAATTCTGAGTCATGTATCAGGGGCATGCACAGTGCCTTGCTTGTGCTGAGCGCTGCAGCGCTGATTGGGGGCGAGCCTTGTCATGTCGCAATTCATTTTGCAGTAGTTCAGTGATCCGCCGGAGCAGCGCCGCACATAGCGTTCTATTTTGATACTAGTAGTCCGTCTACCTGGCCGAGGTCCACAAGTAAGTTGGCTACACTTTGAATACAGTTCCGACGGGAACTTATATTCTGCATGGTTGGTAAATCCAACATAACACTTGAAAAGAGTCTCAAAATCTCATGGTTGGTGACAAAGAACGTGCAGGAAATATAATATTTGTAAGACGACAGCTCCCGAGGTATTACGGTGTTGTCACCTGATTAGGAAACCTAAGTCATTTCTACAGCATATATAAGCACGAATAGCCGCCGGCATGACGGTGTTGTCACCTGACTAGGAAACATAACATAAATTAGTAAACGGGCTAGAAACTTGTGAGAAAGTGAACTCACTATGTACGAAAGCTCGACCAATATAAGAAGTCATAGAGTAGAGCGTGCGGAACAGAGCAGTGGGTCGATCCCGCAAATAATCGGCCCCATGCTACCACGTTACTGCGTGATCCGACCATGGGTCTGTTACCAGACGAATCGGATGACATTGTTTTGAAGCAAGAAGCGGGCAACTCATAGGTTGCAGAGGTTCGAGGGAGAGCACAATATAATCCTAAATATATCGTCAACAGGGATATCATAAGAACCATGGTTCAAGTCTTACTCTGACCGAGAGCGGACTTGTTGCGAAGCTTGCGACTGTGACATCTTCGGTACATCGCAGTTCGCCATCCCAGTCCAGACAGTCGATGCCCTCGCCAAGGGGAACGTTGCGATATGAGTGATGATTTTCAGGTAGAGGAGCGGAGTATGTCAATTTGCCTTCTCCTAATATTCGATTGGACGATCTTTGTTCTTCGAAGACTTTGCGAACCACTTGGCGAAGTAAGTAGACGCGGATGGTGATTTCCCCTGAGGGGAGTACAGGGAGGCCGTGATCAGGTGCATATTTTTCAACGAATTGGGCTAATGAACTCGATGGGGCACGCAATTGGAGGTGGAACGGTATGGTCTCAGACAACGGATACACCTGTACTGAAGGAATAAAGAGCTACCATAGCAGTCAGGACTATGAAAAAACCATAATTTGAAAGGCTTACAAGACATTGCACCGGCGCGAGCCCGGAACTCTTTGTTGCATTCATGGTGGAGAGCACTTGATGCCATTCTTCGGGGGAGGTCTTCACCGTGGTCATGAACGGTACGTCGCTCGGAAGCATGGGTGTGTGCGGGCGAGAACGTGGATGATAGCATACGGGTACAACGAGACTGTAAATTGTCGAATCAGGAAATGTGAATTTTAAATATTGTTATTCATACTCACGAATCACTAGAGCGGAAAGAAGATAAGAATCTTCGAGGTCTTGAGACTACGACGCTAAGCGTGTAGGAACACGTGCCATCTGTCGCAAGTTTATCCTCAAATGAGGGGGGCAAAGGTCGTGATTGACATCCATCCATGAAAGCAGAAGGAAAGAATATTGTAAACGGTAGGATCTTGGGACAAGGCTCGGTGGATGAAGAACTCCACAAAGAAAACAAATCGGATACAACTGATGTGGTGACGGTTGTCCCTGATGTCTCAACACGAAGGTAACCCTCAAGCTATTGGGGAAAATAAGATAAAGCTACTTTGAAGAAAGATGTAATCCCTACCTTCAAGGCGACCTCAGTGAGACCTTCTGAACTTCGCAAAGACACGTGACCTCGAACGAGTCCATTTCTGCCGTAAATGGGCGTTATGCTCCCCGGTCGCTGATCCCTTAGAACAAGTGTGATGTTGTCTGTTATCCTACGAAAGACTCCAGTATTCTGAGTTTGCAGAGCCTGGCGCCGAGTCTCCTCAACTGTTTGTTCTCCTGGAAGAAGCACTGTCGAGTATGACGGCGATGGCGGGGACGGAGTGTACGACGGTGATGGTGGGGAAGGAGTATAAGAAGGCGGAATAGACTCCATTTTGGTTTCGAGGTATGGGGCGTTGATTCTCTTTCACGCCTCGATCGATGGTGTTTATAACAACGCGAGTACCAATTCCAGTGCACACGTACGCGAGACTTCTGACCGAGTCATCCTGTTTCAGACCCTGGAAGAGTCATCTAGATGTTGCACAGTCCGGCACCGCAGTCTTTAAAGATAGTCGTCTAGCTGAGTAGACTGCGCCCAAGGTTTGATGCACGGATCTGCTAAATCTGCTAATAATCGACGGGTGATCAACAATTCCCACGTATATGTCGGACACCATATACGTACATGCACGAGTCACTCTGACACTCTCCCTAAAATTGCGCAGTCGACTTCGTGAGCGTGTATTAAGCTGTGCCACCGGCATTCAAAGATCCAGGCTTTCTTCGTGAGTATCGAAGTTTGAGTACATCACAAAAGCAATATTATCCATGCAATGTATACGTACAGGTAAAAATGGCGTAAGCTATGCATGGCAATGCAACAATAATTTGAATAAAGGCGCATGCTGCCGTATCATATATCTGGATCCACCTTCTCTTCCCTAGGCAGAATGGGACCAAGATCAACGACAGTATAGAAAGTGAATGTCTTCACTTCTGGGGTCTTTGCAACTGTGCGGGAGGGCGTCCCAACACCATCCTCCGAAGGAAGTGGATCGTCGGAACGATAGGTATAAGAAACAAGCATATTGAACTGTAAACTGAAACTGAATACAAACAAAAAATTCACAAACGCTTCTGTAAACACGCACCTTTACGTGGCCCCGAGCTTCTTTGCCGATGACAACCTCACCCCCCACAACCGTAACATTGGCCCTCTTTTCTAAAACTCCTACAGTCTTGACTTTCCCTTTGCCATCTTTGTCTCGGGTTCGACCCATCTCCAAACCAAGCTCATCGTCTTCGAGCCCGAACATGTCGTCGTCATCATCATATTCCCATGCTTCAGCGAATGCAGCGACAGGGAATGAAGAGGTTGGCAGAGATATTGCGAAGGGTGTTCTGCGAGCCTTCTCCGGTGCAGTACTGTCAGCTACTGCAGTGACATGCATTCGCTGCACCGAAAGTCGGACTTGAATGGGATCGTAGAGGGGATTTGTCAGAGCCAGGTGGAAGGGATACGATTTTCCAGCCATCATAGCACCCGCATTCCTGTCATCCGCGACATTGGGTACCTTAGCCTGCGGACGTCTAGTGGCGTCAACCGCTTGAGTATGTGGGAGGGCCACAGTCATTGCTGGCAAATAATTGGCTGCCACAAGCTTGATCTTGTATCGCACAGACTGCGCTTTCTGTTCTGGTTTGATGAGGATGTGCCTGCAAGTCGGACAACGCTTCGAGACTTTGGAATGGAGTGGAATCCGGAAAGGTCGTAGATCACTGATCAGAGCACTCTCAGTTTAGTATCTTCTCCTACACACGCCCAAAATACACACACCTTGTTCTGAGCGAGGTGGTCCAGCTGTTTCCCCACCTTTGCTCAAGAGACGCGATTTCCTCCGCAGTTTCCATGCGTCGATGTGCCTCGACATCGGAACCATCTCCCTCCGACCCCAGCTGACCAAGGACACTAATATCCATTCTACTTTTGTACTCCGGCATTTCATCCTTATTTGCCGTTCTGTCTCGGCCCACACGACTGCGAGCGGGAGGGTTGTATTTCCCGACACCAGGAACATCACGCGCAAGCGCAGCGGAGGCAGCGGCTGTAGCAGATGAAGTGGGAAGATGGTGAGAAGAAGTACTCGGAACATGAGACAAAGAAGAAAGAGATGATGTACGGAGGAAGGGTTCAAAATGCTCTTTCAGTCGCTCAAACTCCAGGGATTCGGGGGCAGAGTCTTCGAATTTCTGCAGCTGTGCTATCAGATAGACGATTAGATGTAAACTGATATGTAGGGGGAGCAGCGCACCAGCGAGTCCAGTTGGCTTTTCAAATGTTACCCCAACTTCGGCAGAGTCCCATCTGCAGTGGTTACAATAAAGAAAGAAGGGAGGTTCTCCAACGTTACTGAGAGACACGGAAGGTCGACCATCGCCGCCATCAGGAGGGTCAGACGCGACTACTTGCAAGGTTGACCGGCATATAGGACATGAAAAGCAATTTCGAGCACATCTATTACTTATAAGCAACAGTCATGACAAGAGGATAAGAGCAGGTTACCTGTTCTTTTCCGCGCGAACGCTTGCACTTGGGACTTCGAAAAGGCAGTTTGGACAATAGTAGCCACTGACTTCGACGGAAACGCAGCGATTGCACCGAACAGCGTCACATTCCTCGCAGAAGAACAAGCTATGCAAAGGGTGGAAACTAGCAGAGGAGGACGCCATATGCGGGGGCGGAGGCGTCTGAACTGACTCTCCAGACTGGCATGGACAATAATAATGGATTGTTGGTGCCATGAATGTCTACGTTCTTGTCGACAGCGAAGACAATTTTTGGTGTGGTGCCACGGTGAGATCCACTCTCAGAGCAATCGAAAGGTGTTGCACCTCACCAGGCCAGGAAGACAAATGACAAATGTGGATGGTAGAAAGATATATTGGACTGACTAGAATCACTAGTGCTTCAAGTCATTCTGGTTACTCTCTGAACGTAAGTTACACCCGCTATTATGAGAGGCATGCAATAGATGGATATCAATTCATAAAAATAAGTGACTTATTACTAGCTAATTGTTCAATTGATCAAGTATGCCGCGCAGCGGTAAGTAGTCCCAAAATGGTATCACAGGAAAACTAGGTATTACGACAAGACTCCAAGCCCGCCCGCCCGAGCCACGTACAATCAGTAGTGTGCATCCCAAGCACTTCTGTATTCAGGAGCGTGAGCTGGGTTCGCATTAGGCGCCAAATGCATATCATACGCTCCTTGCGGCGTGGGGTCGTAGAGCGGACGGTAGCTCTGCGGTGCGTAAGGAACCCATGCGGCTTGTGTAGAAGAAACGCGCTGCGAGCGGCTGCGACGGCAGCAATAGTATACGCAAATGGCCAAAAGGCAAACCGAAATAACAACGCCAAAAATAACACCAATCGCCCATAGCGGCAGCTTGGAGTTTGATGTCGTAGTCGTAGTGGCGGTCGTGGTCGTGGAAGAATGTGAGTCCACTGACGTGAGTTCATCAACATTTGTGTCGTTGTTCAAGCGTACTCGGATAAAATCCACAGAGGCATCACTAGCATTAGTGATTGGCAGCAGTTGTATGTACGGGGCATTGGTGCCAGAATGTGCCCCATCGACAAAGGAGCCGAAATCGATCAGGAGGTATGCATTGCGCACTGTTAAGTTTTAAGACCTGAATGTCCTAAAGTAGTAGGTATCCAGACTCACAAAAGGCCATGCCGAGGACCATATCGTACATCACCTTGCCATCCTCCGTATCATCGTATGAGAATGGTTGGAACTTGTTAAGGGGATTATAAAGCTGGCAAAAGTCAAGTGGTCACAGACTCACAGCTCCAACGCACTGGTTGTTGCCTCGATCAAAGTTGAGATCAAGCGGGTGGATAGGGAATTCGATTCCAGCAAACAGAAAGGTGGCATTAAGTTCTTGATCACAGGGCAGTGTCCAGATTTCTCCTATGCCCGCGATGCTCGTTAAGGCAGCACCGGGAACGTTACCGTAAAGCGCCTCGGCAACGTACCTGTCATGACATATCAGAGTAGATGAGAGTTTTCTACAAGGAGCTTACGAAGGAACTTGTGGGAACGTGAAACCTGTATCAAAGACAACAGTTGCGTTATTAGGATAGGATGTATTTGTCACTTGGGTCTTAATGGTAATAGGTTTGCCATCTGGACCGATGATCCCATTCTCGTCAAGTAATGACATCCAATGCTGATTCCCGGGGACCATGACCGACGCAACTGGGTGTCGAGGCTGGGTCTGAATATCCTCATACTTAGTCAACACTTCTCCGATGGCGAGGTCGCCTGGATAAGGTTCGTCGGGGTCATGAGAGCGGTCGAGAAGAATAGCGACAAAGTTCGGTATGGTGTGGTTAGAGCGGAAGATTCGGTCGAGAGGAGGGTCTGCGGCCGCTGTCCCAGCGATGAATCTAATCACAGAGCTCGTGTATGGCCCAAGGCCGATAAGACCATTGATGGATTGCGTAAATCCGTCCGTCGAGTTTGCAAATACTTTGTACTGATCAGCAGATATGATAGCGGAGAGGAAGCTATACGCACTGAAATATTGGGCATCAATCCGGTAACCGGCGAATTCCATCGTGGCTGAGAAGACTTCCCCTTGAGGCAACGGAAATGAGCAATGGCTTCCCATTAATATTGTACAGAATAAACAAACAACTCACCAGCAGCATCTCCAGAGGCATAGCCAAGTTCAGTCCGGTAGTGCTGGTCAACTGCACCAGGAACCTGAGAGGTTACAAAGAGATCAGAGCTAAAGGCAATAGCATTGTCAGGATTTCGAGTTGAAAAATCGTCACTTGAGATTGGTTAACTTTCCTGCCGGTATCAACCAGGACACCGAACAATTGTCCATTCAAGGTGATGTTTGTTATGTAGTTGATATTCTGGTCATCTTTCAAAGTGCTTTGGAGGCCACTGATGCTTGTCCTTCTCTGAAACTTGGACCTAGAAATTCCAGTCTTGCCGCTCAGTTCGAGGTGAATCCCATTTACGATGTTCAACGTGGCCAAAAAGCCAAAGGGAAAAAGGAGCGGAAACAACCGCATAGCACTGGGAAGTACAGAGAAAAGATGAAATAAGCTGAGATGCTGAGTCGTCACTGTTATATGAGGGTTACCTGCATGTTTTACGTTGACAACACTGCCTGGAATTGATCGGGCGGGCGAGAAGAATCCACGTGTTACATGTACTAGTACTTAGGCTCACCATTTCCGACCGCATCATGTCATTAGTTGTTGTGCATGCTCTTCCTTCAGTTCTTAATTGTTTGTTATGAGTTACAGCTGGCAGAGAAGGAACGGCCATCTTCATTCATCCATGGGGAGATTAAGCGCCAGTACCCTTGGCATCGACATATGTACTATACTGTCTGATAATGCAATGTCGCTCATAGCCACTCACGTAATGAACTGTGAATGATCATTTCCAGTGCATGCTGATCTATATGGATGGAGTTGGTGAGAAGAGAAGACGCTTGGAAGTCGTTGACATGAGAGCTAAAAATTGCTGTGCAACACTGCAATTGATCCCACAAGATTTAGAACTCATCAAAACTTGGAATTGCCAAGTCTTACACATTTTCGTTTCCATCCTCTACGCGCGTGCAGGCTGTTCCCTAACATATTCTTCAACGCTTTAGTAGCGTTGTGATGCACTCATTTATCACACTTTCCTTTGTTTCTTCGTTGTGCTCAACGCTTTCTGTCCTAGCTCTCCGAATCCCTTTTGATGTCCACATTCAAACACCTGCTAGCAACCCGACCACCCATTTCCCTCGTCAGTCGTCTTCCAATGGTATAGTACCTGTCGGGAACACGCAAAATGGTTTCTACTACACAAATATCACGCTCGGTGGTCAAAACATATCCGTGATGCTGGATACGGGAAGGTAATCATCGAGAAATTTCATATCAGTTGCGGGTATTTGTTTATTTGCCCATTTACAGTTCTGATCTATGGGTGGCTGGCCAAGTATCTGGAGCAACAGACACAGGCAGCTCTCTGAAACTTTCATACGCCGTTGGAACAGCTGCTGGTCAGTCGCTCAAAATTATAGGTCTCATGATTCATTACGTCCATAACCAGGCGACATCTATACCGCACCTTTTGAGCTTGCTGGGCAATCTGTCAGCGACCAGGCATTCCGTCCGTGTCCTTTCTTGCATTACCGCTCGTCTCCTGACATCTAGTACAGTCCTTGTTACGAATGTATCATCTTTCTCCACAAATATTCAGTCGGAAGGGTATGACGGTCTCATCGGCCTTGGCCCAAATACTGGTTCTTCGATATACAAGAAACTCGACGGCAACTCGGGGAATAACCCACTTAACAGGATTTTCCAACAGACGTCCTCCTCCTCCAATGACTACATAACTATGATGCTCAGCCGCAAAGGAGACCCAGGGAGTAATATCACTGGCCAGTTCACCATTGGAGAGATCGTTCCGGGATTCGAGAACATTACCAGCATGCCACAATTACCGATTGAGAAGGTTTACGAAGTGACTGATGTCGACCAGCATTGGCAGATTGTAACAAACAAGAATAATGGCATTATTGGACCTGACGGACAGCCGATTCAATATTCATCGATTGCCCCGAAAGCTCCTGACGGCACAATAGTGGGAGTTTTAGACTCTGGCTTCACCCTGCCTCAAGTGCCCCGAACGATATCGGACGCCATCTATGGGCGTGTACAGGGCGCCGAATGGTCGGCTGCAAGCGAGGCTTGGCTAGTCCCTTGCGGGCAACTTATTAATGTCACATTCAATTTTGGGGGCGTTTCATATCCTATTCACCCCCTCGACGTATCGTCGAGCGACTTTGGAGTGACCTTCTCAAATGGAAACCCCGCTTGCCTGGGAACGGTATGTAATAGCTCTGCATAACACGAAGTTATTCTAAACCTGGACCTTCCAAATAGTTTCAACCAGTTACCTCTGCATTTAGTCTTCTTGGAGAGTATGATATGATCTTGGGAATGGCTTTCCGTAGGTTGTTGACCTGCTCTAACAATACTTGTCTGACACCCTTACAGTGCGGAACACATACACCCTGATTAACTATGGAAATTTCATCACCGGCGGCTCAAATTCCAATAATCCCTACGTCCAATTACTCCCCCTCACGAACATCGAATCTGCTGTCAACGACTTCATTCAGGTCCGGCTGAACGGGCAAAACACAATTAACTCTCCTCAATACGCCCTGCTTCCTGCATCACAGGAACAACACTCTCCCGAGAGCGAAGCGGAGAAAAAGCAAGCATATGAAGAACTGGTTCTAAGTCGATGGCCTTATATCCTTTTCGGAGGCTTGGTGTTCTTGATTCTGCTCATAAGCTATTGCGTATGGCGTTGTTGCTGTCGGCGCAAGCGGATGGCAAAGAAAGCTGCCAAGAAGGCTGCCCAACAGAAAGGCGATGCTGCTTCCGCGGGCGGTTATATGAGCGGTCCCTACGCGCAGTTGCATGACTCCCAGAGTACGGCGAGTCTCGTTATGAAACCGATGCGTGCGTCGACCGTCGATTTCGAGGAGGACTACGGAAAGGACGCATTTGCGAGAAGTTGATGATCTCTGCCAGACGAACTAATATATGTAGTCTAATAGATTGAGTCCACTTCTTCAGTTGCAGGGCACTAATAGTAGCTGGCTACTTCCGTTCATTGTTTGTATCCGTATCTTCGGTAAATGTTCAAATCTCAGATACCAATCGTAAGTCCATTATTTCAAGAAACTGTCATTATAGTAGTACACGCAAGTCTGACTCATGATGATATGTATGCTACAGCTCGAACCATTCCAACCTATTGGAAATAAAATTACGTCTTGGAATCACTAGATCGGCAGAATGCTTCGTAACCAAAACTCCGCCCCCTTGAGCACGCAATTGCCACTGCTGCCGCTAGCACTCATGTAGACGACATGAGCCAGGCCCACGGTCATTGCTACTGAAAGGAGGCCACCGAAGGAAACTAATATTGGGTCATACAGTGCCTTAGGCCTGTTTCGGCACTGAGACAGCTGAGTGCTGTGGTTCCTGGACCCGCCCCTCCCCTGCTAGTAAATCGAAGATATTGACATTCATCTTGAAGGCCAACAAGGCCTCTTCCAATACAGCCGCTGGCAAATCAAACGTTCAGAAAATGGAGAGCAACCCAAACACGATACACAAACCTTTCAACGCGGTATCATCACCAATACCAGTGTTCATTCCATCTTTGTACCATTCCTTGATTTTCTTGATATCCCCTATGTTCGCAGGTTCACTACTGTCCAATTTCTTGAAGTCGTATAATCGTGTCCCATATCCTCGATCCACGTCTAGGTCGTATGCCTCGGCTATACGTCGTCGTATGACTTGGCCACCGCTCATATCACCGAGATAGCGGACATAAGCGTGTGCAAGTAAACATGTGGGATCTGAAGACTCAGAAAGTTCTCGAAGGCGCGTGGTATATGCCACAAAAGGCTTTGGAGGTGACGCCATCAATGACAGTATGCAATGGATGTATCTGCCATTCTGCTTCAGGCACCCCAAGTAGATGTGATATGTCTTGGGAGATACTCGGAGTGCGGGCAAGCAATGTAGGGTTATACGTTGGTTGTAGCGTTGGGTACGACGCATGCGTCTCTAGACCCCGCTCGAGTTCGCTGAGTGTGAGTTAATACACCATGTACAGGGCGACTTGAATGAAGCTTACGTGTATACGTGCCACAGCATCATTAAGAAATACACGTATTCCTCTTTGTCTAGCTCACCGCTGACGAGCCGCATGCCGCCTTGATTGTGCCTTGCGGATTCATGAGCCTCGGACGTGCCAATGCGAAGGAATGACGCCATTGGGAGTGAGAAATCGGAATCATTGCTGATCTCCATTGCCATCAAGACGGTAGAATAGTGGGAAAGGTTCACGCGGTCCAGAGGAGGTAGCCTGAACGAAGTAGTATATATACGGGGTATCAAATTATCTAAATTGCGAGTGGCTCGCCAAGAGTACAAGACCCGAAAAGATTACATGTCGATGCCGTGACGAGGTCCGAAATGAGGCGCGAGTTCTGTCTCAGTCTGCTCTGGACTACTACGTCCTGGGTCCGTGGATGACCAAATATAGGCACTTATCGCGGGGCCTGCGAGGACCTTGAGGTAACTGAATAGGATGTCGTGGGGCGGCGCCTGGGGAAGGGAACACAATTAGGGACTAATAGCAGTGTTAGCGCGAAATGGTGGAGCCTCTGGAGGCAGCCAGTACTGGTACCGTGTTACTAAAAATGGTCGTCCGGGGTTGTCCGAGCCTGCACAGAACTCTGCTCTAACCTTCCTGTCCACTGTCCAGTTGTAAGCCCGACGCGGCCTGCTTGATTGGACACCGCGTACTATTACTTACTTAGCCAAGGTTGGGCCAACCAGTGTCTTGTAACGATTGGATGATAGCAGACTTGTAACATTACGGTCGAATACCAGTATGCTGTAACTGCTTTCTCGAGAGGCTACTGGCGGTGAATGTGGCACCTCAGTGGATCTTCAGTGCGTAAATACACACTAACACACGATTTGGCGCTGAGCTTTCGAACCCTCATATACATACCTATGGCCTCGCAATGCAAGGTCCAGTCTCCATTTCATTCTTTATGATACATACATGCTACAAGACTCGTAAACCCTCGAAATCTAGGTGCCAAGCTCCCAGCCACCCACTTCCATACATATGAGTATTCCTTAGACCCAAGTCGAGCGACGGCAATTGTTTTTCTTTCAAGATTCGCGGTCACGACTCCGCAAAAATCTTTCGAGGCACGTTAGTTTGAATTGACAAGCATGCAGACAGTACTCACATGAGGAGCTCTGAGAACTGATGGCGAAGTCGGCATAGACATCGACCTGGTACGTCGATGTTGAGAAGGTGCGGCGTTGTTTGAATTTGCAGCCGACGTAGAGTACTCTGCATCATTTGTGCTACCAGATGTACCTCCGTCGGTGCATATTATCCTGCGCTTCGATTCAGCACTTGAATCTAGCGATGGTTTTGCAGAGGATGGCACTGCCACAGACGTCGCCGATGATTGTGTCTTCAATTGCACAACACCATTCTCTGATCAAGCCCCGCGCTTCAGTGAGTAATTCACGTGAATGGTACCAGATCAGAAACTTACCAGAAGTCCAGACTTCGGTCTCATGAGCCAGCCTGCAATTCTTGCCGTCGGGGCAGTAGCCCGCTGCGAACGCCTTGCAAGGTAGCCCTGTGGGACATGGCTCAGTAACTGCTACTGACTATGGAGTATATACTATACCCACCCATCATTACACCACCACCAATCACTCGCCAGGTAATAGGATAATAATCACGTGCCATTAATTCTTCCTGAAGTGAACGCGGTTTCGGAGGCAAGTGAGATGACGCTGTCCCATAGGCCTGATTATCGGCTTTCTTTGCTCGTTTACCTTTCTCTACGTCATGAGAACTGTGACGGTTTGAGCGGAATATATATATATATATCACAGAGAGAGCACGCACAACCTGCATTTATTACCTCCAGGACAGGTTTTGCGTGCTGAGAAAAATTTACAAGGTTTAGCTGTTTTTTTTCGATGAGCAACCAACGATGGCGAAAAGTAACTACCGGGGTAACTCACTTCTATATAGGGTTGGTTTCTCCTTTCCCTGCTCTGCTTTCCTGCGGGTGGCTGTTCGAGGTTTCGAACCGGTTGGACTATATCCACGATTGTAACCTGAGTATGCTACATTGCTACAGCGTGTGCCCGTGTTGTTGGGGTATTGTAAGCTTGGTGATGGTTGTGAGAACGCAGAAAGGAGATATTCTGAAGAGACGGGGTCTTCGATGGTCATGACTTGGAATGCGGCGTTCAAACCTTGATCAAACGGGGTGGAGTCCGACGAAGAGGTGGTATTACTGGAATTGTCAAAAGCGTCTCTCGCGTCGAAGCCATAAGATGCCACATGCGGGGCTACCGTGTATGTAGCGTACGCTGTGCAGCCATGACCATGGCCGATGTTTTGATCACACCCCTTATGTGGTGTTCTTGTGTGCACCTCGTGTCCGTTAGGGTAAGCATACTCTGATGGTGGGATTCATTGCATATAAGCCCGTGGGAGATGGAGCAGACACTAAAGAGACCATACCCTGTGGCACACTCTCCGGTGACGAATGCACAAAATAGCATGCTGAACCACGTCGACAATGTCCCGCATCGTAGTAGCGACATGTTCTCGTGTGCACAACATTTTCGGTAGGGTAAGCATACTCTGATTGCGGGATTCCTGTGATATAAGCCCGTGGGAGATGAAGCAAGTACTATAGATACCATACCTTGTAGCATACTCTCCTGTGGCAAATGCACAAAACGGCACGCTGAACCACGCCAACAAGTTCTGGCCGCATAGTAGCGACAAACCATCGACGACTTTACATGAATTTTCTTCTCCTTAGCTGGTATGTAAGGAGACTGCCCCTCTGCGTCACTGCCTGTGCCATTGTTGGCACTCATGCAAGCGCCAATGTCCTCACCGAAGTTAGAGGAGATGCGGGAAGCCTTGGCCATTTAGATAGCAAGATAGAGCGAAAACGCTGTGTCTGTTAAGATGCAACGTCGCTTAAGTCTGGCCTGTTAATAAGAGTCTGCTAGAGGGTCCACGATCCACAGTCCCTCCCATAAAGACACAAGTGGTGGCCGAGTGAGACAAAGGGGTTCATAAGATGCGACTCTTCAGTTGTGAACAACCCCCGTACTTGAATCGCGTTTCACCAGACAATGGTTAAATCCGAAACCGGCTTAGCCCCGGTCTGGTAGAGATAAAGAGGGTCATCGACGCAAAACTCACCACCAGTGCAGTTAGCTTTCTAGCCATGTGCTCAATCTCAAATTGTTATGAACTCTCTTGACTCGCGTAAAAAGACTCACAAGGGAATTGAACAAACACGTTAAGGTGCAAAAATAACAACAATAAGAGAAAAACCCATACTGAGGCTATAGCTGCGGAGCTTGGCCCGCATACGTTCCTGTTTTGCCAATTATCCAGCTTGATGGAATACATAACAAAGTGCCTCCATGCGTACCTTATCTTTTTGTCCCCTGGGCGTAAATGAGCAATGGCCGCCATCGGACGGCCACCTGGAGTCAATTGCCAAACCACAAGCGGTCTTAATTTGGTAATAAGTTTTGGGATCGACCCCACCGCTTACGTTATACAACGTTACTGATTATCGGCTCAAGTTACATACTTGTAAGAGCTAGAGTAACACATCGGTATTAATATTGACGAGCAAATGGTACTACAGCTGAAAAAGGTGGTACATCGCAGTGCGCGATGCGCAGAGCGAACTAGAAGAGAATCCGAGAGGCCGCCTTATCATATATCATACAATAATTCAATACAATCCATCATTATTCATGTCATGAGCCGGTTACTCCCGCTGTGGTCATGAAGCAGGGGTGTCAACTCCGTAACGGGAGGCGTAATAACGGACGAAGATATTGCATCAGAATCGGAACTCTGTTCATTAGCAGGTGCAGCACGTGACTTATTTGCTTGGGAAAGATGCCAGGGCTGGGTGACATCTGCTTTGCAAACAGGACACTGCAAACAAATAAGAACCGCCATGCTCCAAATGACACAGACACAATTACTCACCAATTTCTTCCGGTTGATCAACCACGAATCAACTTCCTCCAGATGGAAGATGTGGTGACACGGCAACTCCCGGACACGATCTCCTTTGACAAATTCCGATAAACAGATGGCACATTCCGCCTGCGACTCGCACCATGGTATCGGCGCATGGCTTAATGCTTCATGAGATGTGGAAGGGGACGGTGAACTATGATCTGAAGGACCCGACTCTAGATCACTGTCATGTGCCCCGGTTGAATGAGCTCCTTGTGTCGTGGTTCCCTCATGTTTCTCCCATGCGGTACCATTCCAGACCCGCCATGGAAAACTTTTGACAATATTTTCCGGAGCACGATCACGTTGTGCTGCACGAGCCATGCGGATGCGATGGATGAGAAGTGTGACGAATGTGAGGCAAGAGGGGAGTATTAAGATGACGATAAATGTTAATATTGGGCTGGATGGCCGGCTTTGAGCAGTAAACTGCGAGAGAAACATTGAAACTCACGAATACCATTCCCAAGCTGAGTATTGAGTCGTGATCATAAGTGAAAGCGTTTGTAAGCCAGCATGAGAGGTCGTAGACGAGTTTATTAACAGATATAATTCCTTGTAATCCGACCATTTGATGTAGGTAGAAGCAATTTCGATGTCAGAAGCATCCTCTGGAGCACTTCAACTGTTGTTCAATGGTTGCATGAAGAAGAGAGCGTACCTGTACTATACATATTGAGGAGTTCGTCTGGGTGACCGTTGATATCAGGATCTTCGCCTCCTACAACAACGGCCTTGGCACCCAGTCTCTGAGCTTCCCTGACCTGATAAAATATTAGAAAATTGAGTCGAGAATACTGGACCAGCACATTCACTTTCTCAACAAAGGAGCAACGGCCTCTCTGCACTAGGGCGATCCAAGACTCGCTTGGATCTGGTTGGTGGGGACCACTTATACATAGCTTCGGGCACCCCGAATTCGAATATCGGTCCACCAGTGAGATATCGTTACCAGAGCATGAAGTCGTGAATGAAGACAGTGGAATGACATAGCCTAAGAGTGGATCCTTGAGTTCCCGGCCAAAAGCCGCAGGCCTCGAATGGAAGGTTAGAGGCGGTGACCGATCCACCACAGAAACGGCGCTTTCAGCGCCCCAAACCCAACCCCACAACCAACCGCCCTCTTGGGAGGTCGCGGACAATTTGTGGAGGAAGCTCAATGGATGCGCATAGACTTGAATTACAAAGAAAAGCAGCAATAAGACTAAGGACATGCGGGCCATCGTGCAAGCCTCCTGGGAACGAACGGAAAGACGACGACAGCGATAAGTTGGGTTCTTGAGTTAGCGGAACTAGGTATATGGAAATGACATCGTGCAGAAGCAAGCGTGTTTGGCAGGCTGGACTTTGTTCGGAAAAGTCCGAGCATTTGGAGTGTCGTTCGATCAACTTGGGCCACTTCTCATTGGACCCCATAACGAGCTCACTGTCGTGGCGCAGCGTAGGTCTTCAAAGGTTTTACCGCCTGGTGCCTTGAACGATGAACTGCCTCAGGTCTACATGTGTACAACGCTTCGTGACCCCTAAAGTGTACAGATGGAGAGCTCGGTTCAACCGATGGGCAGCTCTTTTGGCTTGTGTTCTGACTTCCCTTCCAGACTTTGGTTGTCTTGCAATCAGTAATTCTGGCTTAAAAATCGTCTACAGCATCTTTCAAGAGCCTCCTCATTCTATCGTTCACTCTGTAGCTTACAGCTTGGTTGGGCCAGCGTTACCGGGTTGCGCGTTGTCCGGTGTTCTACTGCGAAACCTGTTTCCAAGCCCGTTAGTGAACGTTAACATCTGGCCGAGGATGCTACTCAGAAAAACCCATTCAAGTTCTCCAATGAAGATATCACAAGCCTTGTTGCCTTTTCCACTTCTGTTCAAGAGCTCGAGAGGCTTCAGTTGGAAGTATTCACGTCATCATTTGTACTCAGCTGTCTACGGTATCCATCGGTGGACGGTCTCCTCCTGCTTTCACTCTGACATAGAGGAAGAAAAAGATTGTCAAGTGTTAGATTTTGGTATTTCACCCTTCGTCATCGTTCGTTCTTCGGATAGTCCCGACTACGCGTAGACTGTCCTCTCCTTGTTGTCTCCCGCCATGTCGTAGACACTTGATACAGCGCCGTTCTCCAGCTCTAACATCCAGTCCAAGAAGTCACGAAACTACGAGAGGGCTTCTTTTGCACGAGACTGCGAAAGGGCTTCTTTCGTAGTTTTTCCACTCTTGAACTGAGAGAAATTCATGAAACGTTCTTGCTGTTGCTGCTGTTCGTGAGTTCCTGCTCTAAGAATGTAAGCGCAGGCATCCCCATTCATGCCCTACTGGCTCGTTGTGAGCACATGTAGTCAGCGGTTTGGTGTCCTATGTGGCATACCACGATCCCGGCGAAATACTTTGAGATGTATAAGGAGGAAGTCTCCTTCATTAGATATGCGACCAGGACTAGGAGCCTACGACACTTCATTTCGAGGCTTTAGACTCTGTCCTGGTGGTAGGAATGAACATTATCTCCGTCCCCTCGACCACAAACAGCCTATAATTGACGATGTCAATCCGATAGTTTTCAGGGACCAGAGTTATGGGGGCCAAGTAGTAAGGTCAACCTAGTGAAAACCTACGGTACAGACATGGGTCATTTTGAAAAGCAGCTGATTTGGAGCTGTTTGACTACAAACCGACACCTGGAACAAGGAGGACTGGCCATGCGAACAATGCTTGGAGAACGATCATCATTTCCACCTTTGGTACTTGAGGAGGAGTAGGTCGAGCGAAAGCTTCTGCCTTTCACTATTTTCGCTGTCTTTTCACCCCCTGTCTCCCAGGAGAAAGCTTCTGCCTTTCACTATTTTCGCTGTCTTTTCACCCCCTGTCTCCCAAAACTACTGGCATGGATATAACTGCCGTACCCAAACACAAAGTCACATCCTTGAAGACTATTAATGTGAGTTCTTGCGAGTTGATGTAGTCGGGAGCCGAACTTGTTCTGGTTGTAGCACTGGTGTGAACCTATCATGGGAGATGACCCTTGAGCAACGTGAATTTTCCTACGGCTCTCGAATCATGGTATAGTCAACTGGTATTAAATATGTTACGGGGGACTGGGTGTTCGTCCTGCGATGCTGAAGCCGGGTGGACTTTGCTCTAGCAGCAAGGTTGGTGAAGTTGGTGCATCAAGGTGGTCTGTGATAGGAATCCCTGACAGACTTCCAAGAGCGGTGAACGCATCTGGATCAGCCTGTTGGGAATTGTGTCAGTTTTCACATATATAGCTTAGAGCATCGTTTTACTTTAGCCTGCATGGTCTACTGTGAGACCCGAAGTGCGCTGAGTTGGGCTAAGGTTTGGATGATATGAGTCTTGCAAGAGAACGTCAGAGGACATGATCGTACCTAACAGAAAGAGCCGGTGGTGAGGCGACGATAATGTACGTCGTACGAGCGAATTGTGCTGTTGGAGTGCTTGCTTTATGTGTAGGATCCGAGGCAATTTGAAGAAAACGTTATACAATAAGCTGGAAGTCGACTTAGTAAGTCGATCGGGTTTGTTCTTGAACACCTTCCTGTTTCGGATCGTAACTTGTTACTTAGTACGCCTAATGAGTAATAGATAGAAATTGTTGTTCAAATTGTAGCATAAGTAGTCGATAAACAATAAGTCATCGCAACATAGTACATACTACATAGTGTGGCATATGATATTCATATCATCTCCGCGTATTCAAAAGCAAAAGGATCATTAACACTAATACTCCTCATCCGACCTCTCATCAAAGTCCGGTGTGATGTCTGTCGTCTCGTTCCACGCTTGACGAAGTTGGAAAACTGCCTCCATCACAGATCCCCTATCGCCGTTCCGATTTTTAACTTGGCTGTTCAAGCCTGCGAACGAAGCCGAGCGACGAATGACACGTGATCGGCGTGTATCAGTAGTATGTCTGACTTGGTGGTGAACCAGGGTAGGGGGCCTTGCGCTGTCCTCCATGCGATCCAGAAGTCTCTCCCAAGCAGCTTCTTCCTCGTTTTCCTCTTCCATTTCTTGTAGTATGGCTCCAGTTACCGATGACTCTCTTCGAATTTTCGCTCTCGGCGGGGCAGTCTGTTGACTCTTTTTGCGGAAGATCGAAAAGATCGAACTACGAAAATCCTTGTTAAGCCCTGATTTAGAGGGTACGGAGCGCTTGAGGGTCTGCTGAGGCGGAGGAGATTGTTGTGCGTCAACGGATTTGTTCCGTGGCTCGAAGGGTCGCCGGGGACCATGAACAGACGTGTCTCCGCATTCATATCTGTCTTCTCTACTAAGAACGGCAGTCGTGACTTCTTCAAGTGTGGGGAGGGTCTCCGTTGGCTTGGGGGGATGTGGAGACTGCTGCGACACGGAAACACGCCTCGCGATCGAAACACTGCGAAGCTGGCGCTCCGACTTGTGCCTCGTGAGCGCATGTTCTGGAGCGGCCGAGTTGGCGCATGCTTTCCGCATGACGTTGCGATAATGGCAGTCACCTTGACCACCTACTAGAGTGCGCAAGGAATCCGCGCGAGCACAGGCAGGAGAGCAAAAGCAGAATTCATGATCTTCCACCGTCGGTTTGCCGCAAAAACATTCTTTGACACCGATATGGACCGATGCAAAAGCGTTGGTGAATATGAGAGGGTGCATTCTGAATGATAACTTACAACCACCGCCACATACAAGGGTTTTATAGCCATTGAATCCTGCACGTTTTACTGTGGCAGAACGCTCATAATGGGTGTGGCCTGTGGACCAATGTAGTTGTGGGCATTCGGGAGTGTTCAGTGGCTGTCATTGTGTAAAGTGAGTGTAAAACGAAACTGTAAAGAACACAATACCCACCTAATATGGGAGATGCCCACAGATGTCTAGCATCCAAATGGGAGTTTCCTTTAGACTAATGACGTTGTAGATATTCGGGGATGTCCACTGGCTATTGATGTATAAAGTTAGTCCAAAACTGAGCTATAATGAATTTGAACTCAGGATTAGATGCATTTGTGATTCGTTGGCGATTACCATTACAAAAGAGCCCTAAATGGGACTCGGATGGACGACAAAGTCATACTAGTAGATCTGGTCAACGCGAGCAGTTGTATGCCCCGAGCCAAAATACCTTAAATCTTGCCACCCTTGTGAAAATGAAGTACGACTGCAACCTCGCTTTGGTCGTCTATTGAGATGGCGCTGGACTGAACTTCCCGTTCAGGGTCTGTCTATTGAACCAAGTATAATTGAACTACAGAACGATCCGAGGGGGTGTGTCTCAGCGAGCATGATGTCACTGGTAAGACCTCTTGAGTCAGCCCGCTGTTTTTAGTGGTGCTTCAAGTTGTTGTGCCTACCGAAATCGATTTAGACCAAAGATGTGTTTTTCCTGGAGCTGATCGCCCCGACAACGAATGATCACTATCAGACGGCCGTGGTTGCATAGAGTTTCAAGCTGAGGCACGGTGCGAACGATTTCCTGAAACATAAGTGGTCTAGTCTGCTAGTAGTAGTCCGTAGAGTCAACAGCAGAAAGCTTGTTGCCAAAGTATAGATGCGAACGACCATCGTCTACGGTCTGCCTAGAGCTGCACAAGGGAGATCAAGTTTTCGCCCGGTCCTCCCTCCATCGCCATAATTATGAGTTGTGGAATTGAGTGACACAGAGCTACACAGGGCCGAGCCTCTGGATTGGCGAGATGGATTGAATCTAACGATGATATATTAACAATACATAGTATGTTGAAGGGGCCGAGTCCTCGCCTCGTCGCGATCCGCAACTTGCAATACTTTTGTGGAAAGTACCGAGACTGACCCAGTCTTCCCTAGACAGATCATTAATGGAGAAGAATGACGATTGCCGTTCAACCTTCTTACTATGAGACTGACAACTACGCCAGGGCCCTAATAATCGATGATCTCCGTGTGCTGAGTGCTCAAAACTGTGGAAGGTCCAGAAACCCACCAGTTGGAGTCGCAGAATGGGATGTGAGATCATCCGGTTCCGTGATTCCAAATGATGTGATCATTACGACTGGTCGAGATTTTCTAGGATTGTCTTTGCGTTTCCGAGCTGGGTTCCCGACATGGAGTCGCTGGGTGACTAGGAGAGTATATGATATACGTATTGTAAATAGAGTCTTAACACGGTTTGTGTTGTGCCACGTTGGCTTGCAGCAGAAACAACCATTTGGAAGCACTTCTACTTATGACTATCATGTCGAAGCAAGAGTGGCCGGCTCAGGATGAATTTCGTTGCTTATTAGCCGCGGGCCTTCTTGAACGTAACCACGATCAATCGTCTGACATCGTTCTTCGGTTCTTGCCCATGCGTGCGTATGCCATCGTACATTCTGGACTGGAATTATAAGGACAGCGTCTGCAGCTTTTTGCAGACCATCTTTCCCCAGGTCATCATGTGGCGCTTCCTCAGGCTAGTTTCTACGCTCGGACTTTGCGTTTCAGCGTTTTCCCAGTCAAGCACGGTGGACTCGTATACAAGTACCGAGTCCCCCATTGCCAAAGCTGGTGTACTTGCAAACATCGGCCCCAGTGGTGCTAAGTCGTCTGGAGCTTATGTGGGTTCTGAAGATACCAAGTATTGGAACTGCTAACCGAGACCCATGCAGCCCGGCGTGGTCATCGCCAGTCCTAGCACCACTAACCCAGACTACTTGTACACATGGGTCAGGGACTCTTCGCTCGTTTACAAAATGCTCATTGATCAGTACACCTCTGGGCAAGACACCACCTTACGTGCTCACATTGACAACTTCATTGCCGCCGAAGCAAACATACAGCAGGTTACCAACCCAAGTGGAACTGTCTCCACTGGTGGCTTAGGCGAGCCTAAGTTCAATATCAACGAGACTGCATTCACTGGAGCGTGGGGTCGCCCCCAGCGTGGTATGTATGATCAATGTATTATGTCCTACTATTGCTAACATGAAAATAGATGGACCTGCGTTGCGTTCAACCGCCATGATCACCTATGCAACTTGGCTTATTGCTAACAATAATGAGACATACGTCACCGACTCCCTCTGGCCCATTATCAAGCTCGACCTAGACTACATCATGAATAACTGGAACGAGACGACGTGAGCTTTGTATAATTCAAGCACTCTTTTCTCGAGACTCATGCAACGGTCAAGTTTCGACCTGTGGGAGGAGGTTGATTCCTCTTCATTCTTTACTAGCGCTGTTCAGCACCGCGCACTTCGTCAGGGCTCCGCTCTTGCCACTGCGATCGGCCAAAGTTCAGTTACCAGTGGATATAATACCCAGGCCAACAACATTCTCTGCTTCCTCCAGGTGCGTACAATGAGTTTTTCATTTAGTAATTTTCCCAAAGCGAACATCTCAATAGTCATTTTGGAACCCCTCACCTGGTCTCATGACCGCCAACACCGGAGGCGGCCGTTCTGGCAGAGATGCGAACACAGTGTTGACATCCATTCATGTCTTCGACGTTGAAGCTGGCTGCGATGGTGTTACTTTCCAGCCCTGCTCCGATATTGCTTTGTCCAACCTCAAGGTCTATGTCGACTCCTTCCGTGAGATATATGACATCAACACTGGCATACGCGCTGACCAGGCTGTTGCAACTGGACGGTACCCTGAGGACGTGTACCAGGGTGGTAACGTAAGGTCTCTATCCTACTCCTGATCTTATTTCTCAACTGTCCGTAGCCGTGGTACTTGGCATCCTTTGCAGTTGCCGAGCAGCTCTACGACGCCCTCATTGTGTGGAGTAACGAAGGCTCGCTGACAGTCACAGATGTCTCTTTCCCCTTCTTCCAGCAGTTCGACACAAGCATTACGCCAGGGACCTATAGTTCCTCGACTCTAACTTATAGTACCCTCACAACAGCGATCAAGAATTTTACAGATGGTTTCGTCGCTATGGCTGCGAAGTACACGCCTTCAGATGGAGGACTGGCTGAGCAGTACACCAGGAGCGACGGCACACCGACCAGCGCTCTGGATCTCACGTGGAGCTATGCATCTGCGTTGACTGCGTTTAATGCAAGGGCTGGTAAAACATCTGCGAGCTGGGGTGCAGCGGGTCTCCCAATTTCCCCTGCATGCTCTACTAGCAAGGCCCTAACTGTTCCAGTTGTTTTCAACGTCAACGCTACTACCGTCCTGGGACGTGAGTTGATTAATGCAGCGAACGTGACCAATTTTATCTAATTCTGTTGCCTATAGAGAACATATACTTGACTGGCTCTGTCGGTGCTCTGACTGACTGGAGCACCACCAATGCTATTCTCATGTCCTCAGCTGACTACCCAATCTGGAGTAGTGCGTCAGATCTATTTTCAAGTGCAACATGTACTGACACCAAATCCTAGCGGCTGTCACTCTTCCGGCGAACACGCAAATCCAGTACAAGTACATCATCGTCGACAGTGGTAATGTTACTTGGGAATCTGATCCCAATAATGAGTTCACGACGCCCATGTCTGGCATTACAACCCTCAACGACGAGTGGCGGTAATCTATTCACGAGCTATTCTGGACACCTTTTGTTGATGGTAGCACAATAATATTGATACCTATACCCAATGACTTGTTGCACATTGCAATACAACGTGATGACCGATGTCGATGAGCGCTTGAGTGCGTAAGCGCGTGTCACATGTTACGTAAAATGGCGAAGTACTGCCTTGGCCGCTGAGCTGGCGCAGGCTACCATACGCAGTTCACGACACACTTGATATCTTCCTGCAAGTTTTCATCATGTCCATGCTAGACAAATTTAAGAGGGGTGCGCAGAAGGCGGGAATTCAGGCCACGGCTCTCGTCAAAGAGGGCTCCTCGCGCATGGCGAGTGGCTCTAGAGACTTCGTGCAAGGATTCACGCTGCCAGGGGAAGCTGAGAAGGCAGCAAAGATCCTCGAGAGCTTCCTTGGTACGCATATTCCTTCCAATGACACTGACAACATCATTTGCTGAATGTTTTGCTCCCCACAGCTAACCCCAATCATCCTGAGTCTGCGCTCAACTCAATACCCACAGCCGTTCTCCAGCATGCAAGAGGTGACATTCATCCAATCTCAACTTACCCCACCTCTCACTGACCAATGCGCTCAGGCCTCGCCGTATTCCAAGTACTTAAGGCTGGATTCATGTTCAGCGGGAAAGCTGGCTCTGGCCTGGTCATCGCACGGCTCCCGGATGGATCATGGTCTGCGCCCTCGTGCATAGCAACCGGCGGACTCGGGTGGGGCCTCCAAATCGGCGCGGACATCACAGATTTTGTGATCGTACTGAACAGCGAGGACGCAGTCAAAGCATTCAGCATAGGCGGAAACGTCACCATTGGCGGAAACATCAGCGCAGCAGCGGGCCCCATCGGCACTGGCGGGAGCGTCCAGGCCACCTTGGCTCACCCTGCACCCATGTTCTCATACTCGAAATCGAAGGGTGAGATATCTTCCATCTTCATTTTGGTCGTTTTCCATTTTGATTTCATTTGATCGTAATGTAATTGTTAATGTGATGTGCTGATCCGTGCCATAGGTCTTTTTGCTGGTCTCTCTCTGGAGGGCACTGTTCTTATAGAGCGCAAGGACGCTAACCGCGACTTTTATGGATCGCCTGTGCCTGCACGCGATATCCTCGGCGGGCGTGTGCCTCCACCCGAAGTTGCATCGCGTCTGTACGAGATCATCGAGGCTGCGGAAGGACTGGATGAGACGGGTGTCCCGCAAGCTGCGTACGTGCCCAGTGCTACTGGCCAACATATGAGCATTGGAAGCAATCATACGGTGTTTGATGCGGAAGCACATTAATGATTGGTGCTGGCTTTGAGTAGGGAGTGGTGTATATATGAGCTCCATACTTTTCCTTGTATTGATTTTTCCCCAGTTCTTTATGGTGTACATCTTATACCTGATTGCAATTCTATCGCGTTAAATCTTCTCATTAATTAGTCTAGCTATAGGAGGGTAGCAAATATGATGCATATGTGGTGAAGGTGTCGATATCCAGTAACGTAGTAATGATAGCTCTCGAAGTATCTAAAGTAGCTCGACTTCAAATATGTATGAAGTTCAAGCATCTGGCAAGACAAACGTATCCCAGAATCCAGCGGTTCCGTTGGTTATAGCTGTATCTGCAGCGTCGAGGCCCAGCAATCGCATCACGAGGTTGTAAATCTCGACATTCTGGAACCCTGGCATTACGTATTCTCCTGTACCATCGCACTCTCCTCGTGCGACCACGGCAGCCTTCGCACCCTGCGAGAAAGGCCCATGGGCAACGAACATGGCATGCATCGACGAGTCCTCGTTGTCATAGCCGTGGTTCTAGGAAGGCGCAATGAGTTAGCCCGATGACCTACAACACAGAAATCAAGCAATATGGAATACGGCAAGGTAAACTCACTCCAGTTGACATTCCATCTTCGCCGTCCGTACGGTCAGTCAGCGCGTAGCCCACGCGCGGGACAATCCACACAGGGGCGATGCGGTAATTGCGAGAGAAATGGTATCGTTCTGGCATAGGCTCCACTGTACCTGCAGACATCTTACCGTAGTTGAATGCGTCGAGGTCTACCAATGAGGTGCCAGGGTCGGTAGAGAAGCTCTCAGTCGTAAACACATCAAACTGATCTGGGTGGGTAAGTGTGTACTCGCATAGACGCTCAAGGGCCTCGGTCACGTTCGTGCCAGGAGCGAAGCGTAAGCCCATAGATGGCCAACCTGAACAACGCATGGTAAGTAATCCGCCACTCAGTCTAAAACATTCCGGCAAGCAGCAGACTATATATGATATCACTTACCGTCCACCCTGGTAACACCTTTCCACGGCTGACCAACAATCTCGTCAACATATACCCAAGTTGGGTGACTGGTGTCCGTCATCCCATGGTCACTGACGAAGATGATATCAACGATATGCGTGAGGTTACGCTCGCCTAATGCTTGGGTCAGGTTCCGAGCGAAAAGATCGACAGCTGCAAGACTCATCTATAGTAAGTAGCAAGTTTGGAAATAATAATGATAAGCGCATCAACCAACAGGATCGACACAACGCTTACATTAACAGCCTTAGACATCGGTCCTGTTGCATGGCCAGCTTGGTCTAGCGACGGTTCGTACCCTATGAAACAACGGCGTCAGCATGCCACAAGGGAGAATCATGAAATTGGAGGGGACGAAATGACAAGCAGAAGAAATAACACCGTCCCGCTTAGAGCAAAAGATATATTCGTCCAGAAGTAGAGAAAGGAACAGATGCAAGAACACACCAAGAATAAGCTGCGGCCGCTCTTCCAGCGGGAGGTCAATCCACTCTAAGAGATTGGAAAGTTTCTTCTCGAGAGCGTAATTATTCTGCGTTCCAGTTCAAATCACATCACATCCTTTTTCAAGTTTAAGACCACTCTTACCTCCCAAGGTAGAAAATATGTCGAGTTCATGCCCGAGGATGTAGACCAAGGGCCAGGCCTGGTCGTATGAATACAAAGTAAAGTATGAGGCAAAGGGGGAAACTGACCACATGAGGTTTGCAGTGATGATGCCCGCACGTTCGGCAGTTTCCCACATCTAAGTTGTACGAAGGGCAGGAAATGCAGGGGGCGGGGAGACCGATGTGTGTCAGTCAAATGATGAGGCGGACGTGCAAAGTTACAAGAGGTGAAAGGGAAAGTATTAGTATTAAGCGGGCATACAAAAAAAATGGGTGGATACTAACAGGTTCGCCGAGCCACCAGCTCGGGTTCTGCGCGGATTCGACACGAGCATAATGGAATGTATCTCGGAAAATGGGGTCCCAGAAGTTCTACATAGCCGATATGTGAGAATGCCAGACAGTTGAAGAAAGTGATAAAAGACGAACGTTCGCAATGATGCCGTGCGACTCGGCGTAGAGGCCAGTCCTAGATGCAGTGTGAGTTCATGTCGAGCAACTGATACGGGTGATATTTACATCAGTGACCAGTGATTTCTGGAACAAACGTCATTCAGGCGCATAAATTACTCTAACAAATTATGACTCACGGAAACGTCAGAGTCTGCAGAGAAGGAAATGTTTAGTACTAGAGCAAAGAACCGAAAGGGAATACGCACGGGGAAAACAGGCTTCATGTACTTTGCCCTCAGACCTTCCCGACTGATATCTAGCAAATGTGGGGTAAGCCCACGATCCAGATAATCCGCACGAAGACCATCGATCGAAACCATAAGCACTGTCTTCTTGAACTCGTGTGTTCCATTCGAGTACAATGCGTCCCTCCCGATTCTCGTGTCGTATCGAGTACGGGGCCAGAGTTCAAATAGGGTGGCAGCGAGAATAAGCGAGAGGAGAACACTGAATCCAGCAAAACGTTTGCGTTTGTGTGAGGTCGCAGGGGAAGTGGGTTGCTCCTCGAGGTCAGGTTGGACAACGTCTACGTCGTCAACATTCGAGAGTAAACCACGTCGTTCGTCTGGCGTGCCTAATTTATCAACATCATGTGTGCTTGTCATCGTGCAAGACGCCGACGAGAAAGTCGAAAGAGAACTGAAACAGTAACTGAAACACACACTGGCAGGTCTATAGTGGCCGCGTAACTCGACCAATCGCCGAAATCGGCGTGAATGTATGTGGCTGTGTTCATTTATTATTGCCTAGAAGCCACGTTCACAATGACATGGATCCTGGGCTGGACAGTGTCCTTGCTCACCTTCATCAAGGCCCAACTCGTGATTCTACTCCTTCGTGTTCTTTCTGCAGGCCCTATCCCACGTCATGTGGCCTTCGAAATGGACGGTAACCGCCGCTTTGCACGTCTCACCGGCCGTCGCGCAGTCGAGGGTCATTCAGACGGGTTCCATACACTCAAGCGGGTACATCTTTGATCCTGCTTCAGTCGTGGAGTTTCTTTAACATGGGTCACAGATATTAGAGATATGCATGCGTCTTGACATACGCTGTGTCACAGTCTATGCCTTTGCGATCGAAAACTTTAATAGACCACCCGACGAGGTCGGCGCGCTCATGAAACTAGCAGAAGAGAGGCTCGTAGAAATTGCACAGAATGGGTGAGATTTTACGTTAAATACATTGCAGTTCAAGTGCTTGCCCGCCTGACGTCACTGCCTGCGATAACTCTTCAGTGCTCTCTTAAGCCAGTATGGTGTACGCCTCAACGTACTTGGCCATCGCGAGTTGCTACCTATGCATGTGCAAGTCGCAATTGATAAAGCGGAGGGAATGACGCGTCAGAATAATAGGTATGTCCCCCTTACCCTCGTCTTCTATCCTGAACACACTCCGACAGAGCAATATTAAATGTCTGCGCACCATATGCCTCGCGGCATGAGATAACGTTAGCGGTACAATCCGTCGTGCAGCAGGCCCTTGATAAAGAGAACTTTGATTCTTCGTGAGCACAGATCTTTCCTTGGCCGTGGTTTTAATTTGTGACTTCTCCCGTCACGTGTTTCATGCTAACCAATACACGCAGATTGATCACAGAACAAACTATCGAGGAAAACCTCATGACTTCGCTTGGGGGCAGCCCGCCGCTCGACATTTTCATTCGCACGAGTGGCGTGAAGCGATTGAGTGGTTTTCTGCAGTGGCAGGTATGTTTCTGTTCCTTCCCTGTCTTTCGTATGCCTATCACCAATCTCTTTTCATTTTACTTGTTTGTCTTCCATCTCCCATTTCAAAGAAGTGGTCATTATTTTTCTTGACGTCGGTGAAAATGGCAGACGTATACTCACTCGAAACGTTGTTTTCATCAAACTCATTCGTACTTCTCAACAGTGCTGCGAAAACACGCAGATTCATATGGTAAATACCTATTGGCCCGACTTCGACCTCTGGGATTTTGTGCCCATTTTACTAGATTACCAGCGGAAGGTGTGGGCACGATCGAGTAGTTGAAGGTTTAATAGGTGCGAGGCTTATCAGAATTCCTACTAGGTGCTTGCCAGTGTAGTGGGCATTGTAGTACCAGATATTCTTATTTTACCGTGTCATTAACTAACATCGCTTGGTCAAATTCCTTGTTGTTTTCTACCTTCGTGAGCTCCTTTGTTGACTGTACTTTTACTCAGCTTCAACCTGGAGATATGCAGAGATTTATGATACGGCAAAGTTGCAGACGTGGCGTGGTTTGATTTCAACTGGCACTGGTACGGAAACAATTCAGTGTATCACAAATATATGTACAACAATATCGACGCGAAACTTATAATTAGGCCAACGATGTATGTATTCTACTCTTCCGAGATCCTTTCGAAAAACTGTCTAAGCGTATCTGACAGTACTTCAGGCAGTGCCTCAACGCTTCGTAACACAACGTAGTAATCAAATGGGAAAGAATCCAGATACCTCTCCACCTGAAGCTCCATGCGCCCGTTGATCATCGTGTAGGCAACTTGATTCATCGAAACGATCGAGTTCTGTACAGCAGAAGCGTCTTGTGTTTGCCCTTGCCCAGAAGTGGAGGTCGAGTGCAGTGAGTCAATAATGATGAACACGATCATGACGCGTTGGCTTGCTGCCCGTCTCAGCACCTGCCGCAAACGCTCGTGATCCTGACAGATACCGTCCGAAATGATGATCTCGAGTTGCCATAGTTCACCTGCACTTGCCGACCCGGTGGCCCTTCTTTCCCTGGCGCTCTCTAGCACCTGGAGGCTCGTCTCTACCATATCCAGGACGTTCGTTGCACGCTGTTCAAATCTGAACGCGCCGAGCGTTTTTGCACCAGCAGCATCCGTAAATGGTCCTTCGTCGAAGCCATGAAGTAACTCCATGCCCTCGCCGAATCTAGCAATTGCAACGTCGCCGACCTCAAGTTTTCCCATGGCGTTGCTCACGAGGGCAAGTGTCTGATAAGCAAGATGTACGCTGCGAGAACTTGCCATGCTGCGGCTGTCGTCGAGTGCAAGAAGGACTTGGTACTCGCGCTGGCTGGGGGCGCGTGCGCCGAAGCCAGATCTTGTCCTTGGTGTAGTCAGAGGCGATGTAAGGGATGATCTTCTTCATGTTGAGCCTTTTGCCTGTCCGGTAGTCGCCTTTGAGACGAGTGGCCAAGGTGGGTGCAAGGATAAGGCGCAATTGTTCGCAAAGAGCGTAAGAGAGGTCGTGTGTGAGGGATGTGTAAAGCCGCCAAAGAGACTCGGCGTCTTCGCAAGTATAGCCTGAATCCTGCCAGGTCCGGAGGGCCGCCTCTATGTTTTCAAAGGAGCTGTCTGGACCGGACTGTTCCATGTCTTCATCGACATCCGCTTGTGAGGACGAAGGATCGCGGCGTGAGGAAACATGTTCGGGGTCTGCACCAGAGCGCGTTTTCAAACTGAGTTATAGCGCCTTCGATGTCTGGACGTGCTCCCTCAGTCGCTGGCTCCGTATGCAATGAGGCCAATGGCTGTGGCGGTGGCGCGAGCTCATCCGTGGGGGGAGCATCGATGTCCATGGGTAGCGCAACTGCCTCTGTTTCCTCATCAACAAGCCTTAGCTCATTCAGCTTCGCGACCTGCTCCTCGCCTGCCGCACCCAGAGCCTGCATTTCCTCGTCCGCATCTGCATACTCCACCTGCTCAGCAGCTTGGTCTGCGGCAAGAGGGGAAGACTCCCCGCCGCCCAGGATATCTTCGAAGCGCTGTTGTACCTCTTTGAGTGCATCACCAAGGTTGCGGATAGGGTTCGTAGTGACTTCGGTGTGTTGGCGGGCATAGGCTCCACCATGCTGCGTGCCCTCCGCTGATGTACCCGGTTTCGTGGCAGTATCGGTAGAAGACCGTGGCTTTGAGGGTTCAGCATCATCTCTTGGCCTGGTCACAAGTCAGATACAGGTTTCTGCATAGATAAGTGGACGTACTTCGATTCTTCGGAAGTCTCGTTGATACTCTGTTCAGCTGCTGCGGCATCGTCCTTCATTTCATCACCAGATGCGTCGCCAGCCTGCCCTTGTTGTGCACTATCATTAGCCTGCGGCTCGTTGTCCTTGTTCCCAGCGTCTCCGCTTCCAGGCGAGACATCTGGCTGAGCGACAGCGCCTTCCTCGACGTCTTCCTCTACATTGTCTGCATTGTCTGCAGCTTTGGGAGGCTGATCTGGCAGCTGGTTTTCTTGCGATTCAGGCTCCGGTACATCCTCTGGGGACTCGTGTTTTCCGAGTTGGTCCGTTTCCTCCATCTCGTCGGCGTGTTGTTCATCTTCATCCAGCTCCGTATCCATTTCATCTCCCATATCGAGTCCTCCTTGATCCCCTTGTTCGTCGGGCTCCAGAGCCATGTCATCAGGCAGATCCAGGGTGTTGGCATCGGGAATGTACTCATCCATGGGCGCGCCATTCGCATTTGGGGCCTCCGAGTTTTCGTCGGGTTCTTCGCCTTCTTCGATCTCCTCACTTTTTTCATCCATCGTTCCATCTTTCTTTTCCTCCTTCTCCTTGCCACCCTCTTTCTTTGATTGGTTGTGCTCATTGGCTACAACCTCTGACTCCTTCTCCTGCATTTCTGAGCGATCTTGAGGGACCTGGTCCTGGTCCGCAGAATCTGATTCCGCAGATTCGTCGCCCCATAGCTTTTCGTCGACTGCATTCGGATCACCTGCATCAAGTTTCCCCAGCTGCTCATCCGGCTCCTCCTGCTCATCGCCATCATCTTCTTCCTGATCTCCGTCCTGAGCTCCATCGTCTGGCACATCTTCCATCTCCCCACCAATATCCTCGCTCATCTCGATGGTATTATCATCAGCTCCGTGCGCCTGGTCATCTTGGGCTTCACCTTGATCCCCCTTCAATCCTTCAACCTGACTTTCATCCTCGATCTCCTTACTTACGTTCTCCAATCCCGTTCCCTCACCTAGGCCCCACTCCACCGTTAGTCTCGGTGCCACCTTCGCCGTCACCTGAATCAGTTGCATCCGGGGGCAAACAAAAGCCTTGCCTAGCGATGGTATGCATGACAGAGGAAACGATGAAGTCAAGCTTGAAGAGGGCCTTTGTCCACTGACTGTGCACCACGAGGTGTTCTCCCACGAAAGAAATGTAGCACTGGAGAAAGGGAAGGAGGCGCCGAAGGCTTGCCTGAATGTCGGATTGAGAAAGGGAGGAAAGATGGGTCGTCATAACATCCAGCCGTTCCAAGAGGACTTGAAGGTCCAAGGATTGGGTGAAGCATGAAATCGTGTGCAAGTCCTCACGGATGAAATTATCCTGGGCTTCATCATCAAGAGGCTCGTCGGTAGATCCTTCCGGACATCTTTTCAAAAGGGATTGCACTGTAACCAAAAGCGTCTCGATTATGACATCCGCACCCAATGACTCTGCAGCTCCGGATGCTGTCTCGGCATCTGTAGAAAGGTATTGATCACGAAGCCAGTGCTCGATGGGAGACAAGATGTAGCTGAGTCGTGGCTCCGTCGTTCTCATCTTTTGGAGGTAGTCGGGAATGGCACGGAAATGTTCATCAGCTTCTTTAATAGTGGCGTGCTCAACTGTTGGGCAAATAATCAGCTTGTGACTATGTCTGTGAGGAAACTACCCACCGCCAGGCAGCACCGTAGGCATTGTGCACTGGCTTCCCTGGAAAACCTCCGAAGCACGGTCATGAAGAAGTCGTGTCTTGGCATAAACTGATTGGACCTCAACCATGACTGATGGTGCAGCGCCCTGGTCTTCCTGAATCTCGATGAAAAGGCGGATTCCTTGGAGAAGTTCTTCAAAAGCATGCACGGCGTTGCCGAGTGCTTGACATAGATGTATCAGACGAGAGGGCGAGAATCCTTTGGTGACAAGTAGAGGTGCTTCGACGAGGGTCTGAAGGCGCTCCGCGCACCGTTTGATGTTGATGAAACACTGAAAGGCTGTTGACAGCCTGGAGACTTACGGTAAGCAAGGGTGTCATCAAAAATCTGTTGACTTACGAAGACCTCGCCTTAAGAGCTAATGAATAACCAGACTCCACGAAGGTAATACCTCGAAGCAGATCGCGAGTGCTTATGTCTGAGTGATGATGAGAAACCAAGACTCTGACTGCCGGAAGAGCACCACGAAGGCGGTCGAAGTAATACTCCCCCTTCTCAACATGTACTGAGCTTTCTGGAGGCATCGACGGTTGCTCTCGTATCCAGCATTCATCTCTGAGCTCGGCGAGCACTTCTGGTTTGACATTGGCAGCGAGACCAGCACGTTTGAGCTCCTTCAGGAGATCGCTCAAAGCCTTCCTCTTGCGAACCAACAGGCCCTTCACGTATTTTTCTCGTTTCTCCTTAGAAAGATCTAGGGGCACGCCTTCTGCTGCTAGGTCTCGTGCGGTGAGGATGATTTCGACCGCAAGTTGGTCAACATGATGAGGGAGACGTCGGCGTAGGAAAGCCCGAATACGACTGTTCATAAGCCCATGGAATCTCGCGAGTGTCTGGTTTAAATTGGCCAGGTGAGAAGGAGTGGAATGGGTTTCGTTCGGTTGTGGAGAGTCGCCGCGCTGCAGAGTGCATGCTATGGAGAGCGGATCTCCCGAGTAATCCAGAGCATCTATTGACTGGGTGCATTCAGCATCACCAGCGAATGTTGGCAACATGCGCCCAGCGATGGGCTGACGCAAGATCTCCCGGAATTTGCGGATCAGCTTGTAGAGTTGATGATGCGTTCGCTGAGCACTTTGCTTCAGGGCTTGAACATTGACGTCTTTCCAGCTGGCGAGCTTTATGAATGCCTGAACATCTTTCTCAAGTCCTCCTCTTTGGTCCGCCAGAGATCCGGCTAGCTGGGCTGCAAACAATTGATAGTATCTCCGAGTGGACGCCAAGACAAGTTCGACGCGTTTGAGAGCATTGCGCTGCCATCCATCCAACGTAGACGCGATATGACCGACGATGACCCTGAAAGTCTCGAGGAGATCCAACCTGACCTGGAATTGACCTAGAGCGCTGGAATGCATGAAGTCGTCCAGGAGCGATGGTAGTTGCCTGAGATATTGTTGGAGAACTCCAGTAGCGGGGCCATCCTCATGAGCTGCACTAAGCGTGCCACGCACTGTGAGATCATACAGCCGGAACCAAAATTCCGACACTCCTTTGACGAACGAGTCAGACTGAGACTGTAATAGCACTTTCCAGCACGACAGTTCCAAGCGTCTCCATTCTACGACGAGCATTGTCAACTCTTGCTGATGTGCCCTGAGGCTATTTCCACGGTGTGCGTACATTTCCCAGCCGTCTGTCTGCAGTATGATTTGTTCCAGGCCGGACAACAGTTTGGCAATGGGACTGTTTATGTCCAGGGCCAAGAACGCATCGCAGCGGTCTTTCAGGTGCTGTAAAACCATCTGATCCGGCCAGTCTTCGACGAGCGCGATCAATCGCATTCTAAGAGAGTCCACCGTTGCAAGGGCCTTCTTCGCCTCTCTAATATTCCCGTCAGTGTAGAAGTTGAAGAGCTGTCCGGTGATGCACTCTTGAGACTTCAGCGTAAGAAGATGGTCGTGAACCAAAGAAAGTTGTTCGTGCAACGAATCATCGTCAAGGGTGTCTGGGAGAGTGGGATATCGACTGTCGAGGAGCGTGTTCAGAACCGACCGACGAGATGAATTAAACCTCGTATTGGGACCTCCAACACTGATACCGATACTAGCAACTCCAGCGAGTCCGAAGTGCATCCCCAGCAGCGTTTCGGCTGCAGAAACACTAAAGAACTCAGAGGGCTTTTCGTGAGTCTTGTTGGGTATGCCGTCAGGACTAGCGAGTGCGTCCTCAAATGTCGGGAACAGCTCCAAAAACTCTTTCTGTTCCGCTTCAACTTCTGTGGAGGCATCATGATTAAGGGCGCTACGTCTGTATAGCGATGAGTCATCATGTTCCTTCTCGTCTTGGCGAGTGCGGTCCATAGTCCAGAGTCTGAATGCCTGCTCATATGCCGCATGGACAGCAGCAGCGTGGGGAGCGAGGCCCGACATGGCAGCATGGAGACCTATGGCTGACACATGCAGTAGGACTTGGTCAGAAGCGGATGCTCCGGATGCAGCTCCTTGTTCAAGTTGCGTTTGTAACAGTTGCGCACTGCGAAGAGATGGATATGTCACCAGGGAAGCAGCGACTATGTTCTGTTGAGTATGCTGTGCGTAGGACATTTGCTGCGCAGAACAGCGAACAAGTCGGATTCCGAGACGGAGGAGGAGGAGCGCCATGTGGATAATTTTTGCAATATCTCTAAAGTCGTGGTAGAGATTGTCCATCCGTTGACAAAACCCGGATATTGATTCCTGCATCACAGATTCGCGCGCGAAAGCAGAAGGATCGCCGGTTTCAAGAACGGCAGTTAAATCATCGACCTTGCTGGGTTGGATGACTTGACTTTGAAGCTGCGAAACCTCGGACCAAAATGCGTGAATGCGGTTACCATCAGGTCGTCGGGGAAGGTTTGAGGAACCCAAGGGAAGATTTTTGTGTTCTGCTTCGGATAAAGCATCGAGATATTGTATAACACTGTTGAATAGATTGCCAGCAGTTCGGTGTTCCCATGCTTTATGGAGAGACGACTGGGTAGACATAAAATCAGTCTCTTCTTGCGAATATTCCGCTAAACGATGGATCACGGCTGCGGGGTCTACCGGAAGATCAGGAATGAATAGGTTAAGAATCACTCTGCTGAGGGAAATATAGCAATGTCCTAAGCGAGCCATCATCACGTCTCGTGGCTGGCGGTCGGTTGCGAACCGTATGAGGTTGGGGCGCAGAAACAGATGGATAGCTGCTTTCAAGGGCTCGTGCTTGGAACTTTCGAGGAGAGACAACATTGTCATGGGGAAGGCGCTGCTATTGACAGGAGATCTAAGCATGGTTTGCCAGCTAACATCATCAAATGATGAAGCGAAGCAAGATGTAACCTGATGGGCGATTAGAGGAGAACTGCGATAGTGACCGCCGGTTCACTTACGGATAAAATGCATTGATACATGAATGCTGACAATTGTTGTACCCGCGACTCATGAACAACACATTGCATAGAGAGCAGCCGTAGGTGACGACAAACAGAACCCTCGTGCCCTTCGAGGGAAGATAGTGAAACGCTCCGTGCTTGACTAAGCGGTGGATGAGCACATGATACAGATAGAAGCAAAGTTTTATACTTCAGTTCTATGGAGACCCGAAGAAGAGTCGGGCAGAGGAGAACATCCGGTCCATCAAGAATTTCCTGCGTAGGATCTCGTAAGTCACTGAATATGTATGCAGAGGTCACGTTACAATCACTCACAGCCTGGGTCACACTTGAATTCCACAGACTTGCAAGCCATCGAGTCTGCAAAGCAGTCAAGAGATGCGTGGGAACTAATCAAGAATTCAGTTCATGTCGCATGTGAGGGACATAGTGGCGCGCTTGCCTCCCCCTCCTGCGTCATGCGCCCATATGAAATGCTGATACGATGCAAAGCGAATGAGATCCTCGCGTGGTTCCTCACATGCTACGTCAATCAAGCGTTTTATGACAGAAGGAATGATCTATAAAATGTCATCATGAATATCCTGCAAAGGCAGCACCAAATCGCAACTTACCGATGATGATGATGATGACGATGACAAGGCCTCACGAATGTCACTCAACCAGGGCAATTCGCATATAAGGAGAGAGGGGTCGGCATGTCGCTTGAAAGAATCATTGCCCCCTTGGAAATTCAAAGCAACCTAGAATTTTCATTTCAGCAGTGTGCGCGCTGGAAGAATAATCGGACCAAACCTTTTCTTTTACCGTGTGTGCCAATTCCATATCTAAGTCGATGGATACTATGCTCATGAGCGGAAGGGTATAAAGGGATAAGACTTCTAGAATTTGTCTGCGGCGGACTATTGGGGATTGATGATGAGAATGTGCCGAGCGTAAATAAAAAAATCATACTGTGCTGATTTAAGCCTTGATGTAGTTGCCCAGAGGCATACTCGAGACTTCTGATCTCTGGAAGCGAGACTTCGATAGTCGTCGGTGCGAACAAATGCGTCCACATGTCTGTCAAGCCTAGTCCAGAGGTGGGGGAAACTGCCTCATCCAACACAGCAGAAACACTTGCGAGACGTTCAAACGCTGGACCCCGTGATTGCAATGCGGCAACGATTGACCTAGAGCATGCCTGTATTGAGGAGTAATCGACATATGTGCCCGTTCCTGATCGTCGGAGTTGCCTGGAAATACTAAGTAGTTTGAGGGCGAGTTCAAGGTCCACCAGCTAATGACCGTTCAATACAACAATTAGCATAACAATGGCAAATTGAAATCTAACCTGAACTTGAGATCTTCCAACGATTTGGTTGAAAACCTCCTCAGCTGCTCTACGCACCTCTTCCAAAACTTCACGAATAGCATCCAACAGTCGTAAGTATGTCGGATGGTGCTGACGTGTTGGTAAAGTCATCTTGCTCGCACCTATGCCATGCAGTTCTTGTGGCACCTCAGTTCGCTCGGTGTCATCGATAAATATTGCAGCGATTAAGTTCAAAGTTTGAAGGAGCATCAAGTGTATTGGGTGATGTCCGTTTTCATGATTGCAGAACTTGCATGGCGGACAGACCATGAAAGTATCCACTGGCTATATTTCAACAGACGTATTGAGTACATGCAAATAGTGCGGCGTGCACTAGACCCAGCACGGATGTAGCGAACACTAACCAGAGCTGTAATAGCGTCATTCGTCACTCGGGAAGCGAGGAGATCTTTTCGCCACTCAGCAAAGAGCTTGAAAGCTCCCGAGGAAAGGGCATCGTCCAAAATAGACTGTGATGAGCACGGAGGCATTGCCAGCTTCATAAAGCGCCGCAACGAAGGAGTCACATTCAAAGAGATGGTCCTTAGTATGAAATGAATCATAGCGCGCAGGTCCGGTTTGGATGGTCGAAGGAACGGTGCCAGAGTGATCAATGAAGATGTGGAAGACTCTTCTTCAACTAACCCAGACGGCCATGAGTCGCTACCTTCCCCGCGATGAGTGTAGTAAATTCCTCTGCGTGCAAGCTCGAGTGTCACAGCAAAAGGAGGACCTGTGTCTAACACGGTCGTAGGAAGTCGGCGATGAAGTCGGAGGCGAAGTTCGTCTTCTGAAGAGAAGGAAGCAGCCAATGACACTTCAATACCACGATTTCGCATCGCACGCGATAGCTCGCCATATCGAGGGTCAGATGTCATAAACATGCGAAAGTTGGGATGCGGTTTGAGCGTTTGTACAGCACCATTGACATATCCTCTCTCGCTGAGAACGAGAACTCCACCAGGTTCACAAAGAGAGTTCAGTCGATCGAGGACGGAAGGATTACAGAGATTCGCGCCGTCCAGAACTATCCAATGTCCTTGCTTGATTGCGCGTACGAGAGGTCCATCGACCCATTCAAATTGGCCACTTGATGTCACTGCGGACGATAATTGTTGAACGCGATACAATAAGGCCCGCGCTTCATCCGAAGAATGATCGTCAGCAAAGGATGATAGTACTTGTGCTGCAGAACGGAGCAGGGAGTTGGAGGATGGAGGAGGTGATGAATGTAACTCGAGGAGAAGCGAAAGAAAAGTCTGGTGATCAGTGGCACAGCTAGACAGGCATCTAGAACGACTTTCGCCAAAACCGATAATGTCTTTAACGAGAGCAAGTACCCGCGTATGATGGTCCATTTGCTCGAAACCTCCAAGAATATCCATGGTATCAGTGGAACTCGTGATGGTTATCTCATGAAGGATATTCCCTGAAAGGTCAGCGACAGTACGGATGAGTTCCGACTTACCGCTGTCGTGTCGTCCTGTAACAACGACTAACCACGACCTTGAGAGACATGCCCCAATGGCTTCTAGCATAGCTAAGTGTGCTTGTAGTAGGCACCTGGGTCGAACGCTAAGGGTATTGTTACGTCGCTCTACGAGGTAGTGACCGACACGGAAGTGTGACGATGATATGACAGGATGCGGATTATGAAGGATAGTCGGACTAGATGGAGAAAAGGTTTGATCGAACAATTGTTGGGCGCAGTTACGATCGGCGAGAGTCCTGAACCTGCTGAGGTAGATGACTCGCAAGAAATCTCGAGGATGATGTGAAATGGGCGATGATTGCAATAGCTCTCCCCAGCGGAGAACATCGCGAAGGTTGAATTCCCAAGGACTGCCATCGCGACCAAAAGTCCTCCTGTGTACAACTTCCTGGTTCAGGCGGTTGTTGTATGCGATCATGGCGCGTAGCATGTCCTCATCACAACCCTTGAAACGTTCTCGGCAGACAAGAAGAAGATCCTCGGGAGATAGCTCCTCAATATAGACCTTCGTGAACCGGTCCAGAAAAGACTTTGGAAGTCCCTTGCGACCTCCTCCCTGTTGGAGTGGATTTTGTGCCGCGAAAACACGGAAAGCGGGATGCCGAACGAAGGATCTCCCAAGCTCGGGAATGTAAACAGTACCTCGGTGGTCTAGAACAGCATTAAGCCCCTCGAGGATAGCCTGGGGTGCGAGATTCATCTCATCGAGGAGAACCCAATGTCCTTCTTGCATGGCTGTCAAAAATTCGGCATCTTTCCAGGCGAATTCTCCGGGAGAGCCATTCTCAACGGGAAGATCAGAACCAAAAAGATCCATGAGATCCGTTTGGTCGGACAGATTGATCCGACAGAGATGATATCCTGAAAGCATGGCAAGAGTAGCGATCAAACTGGTTTTTCCGACACCTGGACTGCCTTCCAGGAGGACCGGCTTGGAGACCTGACATGCCCTGACCACTCGCATTGCGTTCTCACGAGCAGTCGGCGCCTGCAGATTGAAGTTATGCAATACCGATATTAATGGGCCTTTAGGGATGGCAAAAGACCCAAGTTGCACGAAGTTCGATGCATCAAAAGCGTACGACTGTTCGGCTTCTTCGAAAGGCATGAGCATCTGCAGCTTCTCAATGGCGTCATTCCTCAGCTGACTCAGCGCATCAGACGAGTAAGAAGCTAGCTGTGGCAAGGATCCAAGACCGTCGAGGAAAGTCATGTGAGCCGCATGATGCTGGGATATTGTCAACAACCAAATTGCCTGAACACACAATTCCAACATACGAATATTTCTGCCGGTAACATGGAGGTTTTCTGCGCTGCCAGAATACGCAGCATTAGTAAATGTCACCCAAGCCTAGAAAATACAGATGAGCACGAATGGCCGACACTGATGAAAGGGACGCCTACCAATATATCTCGCAGGGAGCAAATAGCAGGGTCGTGAACTCTATCCCGAAGCCAGTCAGTAAACTGCAGGAGCGGACCCGTGAACGGCTTCATGGAGTCGTGCTTCCATGAGTAGTCGACAATCAACCGCAAATCCGCCTGACTGGTTACGGCTGGTACCCAAATCTCCGTGAAGCGGTTTCGTAGAGCAGGAGATAGCTCTTTCTTCCCATAATCACCGCCGGGATTCATGGTAGCAAGCAACTTGAAATCATTGGAAGCATGTATGGCGGGATAATCACCATCAACACCGCCACGTTCTGCAAGCACGATCGTGCGGCCAGGTTCCAGGACGCTGTTCAGACGTTCTAGAACAGAATCATCGGCAAGGGAGATCTCGTCGAGAAGGAAAACGTGTCCTTCACGCATTGCGCGAACTAACGGCCCATCATGCCATTCAAACAAGCAGCAGATCCGGTTGAGGTTCTCCTGAATATCGCGTAAGGGAGTCAGGAACGACGGGTCCAAATCCTTGCCCGCCTTAAGGAGCGTGTTTATTCGGGACAACAGTTGTTGGGAATCAGAAGGTATGTCGTCAATGCCCGCGCGCTCAAGGATGGCATTAGCATCACGGATGATATTGGCCTCGGCTGATGCACGGTTGCGTACAGGTCGCAAGCCACCGATAAGGTCTGCGGTTTCTGTGTTTTGGTGGCAGTTTAGTGTATACAAATGCTTGGAGACGACTTCCGCATAAAGCTGACAGACAGATGTCTTTCCGGAACCTGTCTCTCCCACCAAAAGCACAGGTTCATTGAACCGTAGAGCACGTGACACCAGGACAAAGAGCCGTTGCATCGCACTCGTCCAGACGACCTGCGAGTCTGGCGGTATGGGGCATCCTAAAAAGGTCTGTGCATCCCCCATTGTGGAATGAATATCGTAGATCGTCCGCTCGTCGATGCGGACTTTCATGATGGATTCTATGACCTCCTTCACCACGACTTTGTCGTCCTCGCGTCGTGCACGTTCCGCAAGTAGCATATACCCATTCTCTGCTAACTCCTGATAACCCACTGCATCACGACCGGCCCACCTAAAGAGATCACGAAGAGTTGCAAAACCTTGCTTGCTCTCGAAAACGCGACTCGACTGACGACGTTTTCTGCAATTCACGGAACACGCTGACGATTTTCTGGCCATAGGAAGGCGCAATACGACAACGCTGGCAGAGAATAGTTTCAAGCTCAGCTTGGGGCACATCCTGGAAGTGAACTTCGAGGAAACGGTTTCGGAAGGCACGAGACAAAACCTTCCTCCCTGCATATAGGCCAGGGGGATTTTGCGTTGCGAATAGCATAAAGTGTGGATGTGGGCGAATGACCTCTTGTGTCTCCGGAACGACAAGCTCCCGGTTGTCATCTAGCAGCCGATTAAGAGCTTCCAACACGTCTGTAGGTGCCAAATTCAGCTCATCCAGTACGATCCAATGTCCATGTCGGAGAGCATGGACGAGCAAGCCATCTTTGAACACGAGCTTGCCGGTAGCAGGATCAGAAACGTATGAGCCGAGGTATTCCTGCACGTCAGTGTGCTCATGGTTGTTGATGCGGATAAAGCGGTGGCCGGTTCTGCGAGCGAGATACTCCACTGCACTCGTTTTGCCTGCTGAGGTGGGTCCTTCAATCAACACAGGAAAGCGTCGAGTCAAGACGATTCTTGCGAGGTCGATGAGCTTCTTCTCGACTGATGGTGTCATGATATATTCCTCCATGGGATCCTCAGGGAGTGGTCCCTTCTCTAGATGAAACGGTCCAAACTTGGTGGATTCTTCTATAGACCGCCCAGGAGAAAAATTCGGTTCCCTAGCAAGCAACGATCGAGGATTGCGGACACCAGCAAGGATATGCTTCTGTGCAAGGGCGGTTACAGTTTCCGCGCTTCCCCCGTCTAACACCATAGTGAATGCCATCAACATCCCCTCCCAAAGCGCCCGTCGCAACCCGAACAGCCCTGCAATATCTGCAGCAAACGTCAGGGCTCTCGCAAGCGTGCGCATACTGTAATGTGGCTTCTTGTTTGAGCCATCTGCGAGCTCTGCACCCTTGACAGAGATGTAGAACTCTGCAACATCCATCACAGCACCTTTATCACCGACCGCACTTGCTCCAATATACTGTGAAACAATGCTGATAAGAGTTTCGCGATCTGCATCGGGGGGAGGGACATCAATTTCTGTGAAGCGCGCACGGATGGTGGGCGGGAGGTCCTTCTTGCCGACGTCAGTAGCGGGGTTCATGCATGCGAAGAGACGGAAATCAGGATGCCGTGGGACAGCAGACAGAGAGCCTTGCTCGGTAAGCGTGATGGAGGCTGTTGGACCGCGCAGGAGGCCTGTAATACATTCTAGCGTCTCGGGACTTGCCAGGTTGATCTCGTCAAGGAGAATCCTAGAAATCGTATGAGAAGCGTAACCGTTGGTAGCTCAACTGCAACATACCAATCACCAGCGCGTAGAGCCTTCACAAGTGGACCCTCCACAAAATCAAACGTGAATTTGCCTTTCCCTTGTGCATGTTGAAGATCAAATTCATCCACATCCTTCTCAAACCGTTCCCAGTCCGATTCAGAGACCTTCATCTCAGCCTCGAGTTTCCTTCGTTTCCTCGGCGCGTCAGGGTCGTTCTCCCTAAAAAGTGGGATCAGACATGGAGTAAACCAAATTAAAGTCAATACATACCCTACATCTCCTTCAACCTTGCCTCGAATTCTCTCCCTCGCCATCTTCCCACTCTCCTTCCACATACCAACAGCCCTCTTCCACCGTCCTTCCCTCACAGCTTTCCTCAAACCGTCCTCGAAGCCCGCATTTCGCTTGCGGCTGAACGTTCCCCCCAAATAGCTCACTCCAATGTTCCATCAACTCGCTCCCCCTGACACGTGCGTCAACAGGACGAAAACCTCCCAGAAGATCCGAAGCTTCTGTCTGGTGTGAGAGATTGAGGGAAATCAGTGGACGCCTCAGCAATGATGCAAGGTATGTTACTGCGCTCGTCTTACCCGTACCAGTCTCGCCAGTAAGCAGGACGGGCTCGGACAGCGCGAGTGCAGTGCTGATGCGCGAGAGGAGTAACAGAGCTGGCTTGTGCAGGGCGAATGGTCGTGAGGATGCACCAGTGCTCATGCCCTTCACGGGACGAGCGGGGAGACGTGTGCGCCCACAGCGTGCGGCGAGCACATCCCCGTTCACATCTTTCTCAATTTCGAAATCCGATGTGTGTCTCAGAAGCAACCATGCCTGCCGCTCTGCGTCTAGATCCAAGTGTGCCCCAATAACAGAGGAAACCCGCGCGGAGTGTGCACGCGCAGACGCAGTGAGAGTGCCCGCACCGAAAAAGACATCACGGGCCTCGAGGAATATTTCTTCACGAAGGCTTGGATTGGGGAAGATGTTTGAGAGTGGTAACTGCATGTCGTTACCCATGTCCACATCCACTGTGTGGCTGGACGGCAGGAGGCGCTCAACTCGCTGACAAAACTTCTGAAGTTCGCGTAGGCCAACAGGACGGGAAGATGATGTTGAGCCGAGTGCTTGCACATCACCCCAGACCTTGATAAGAGCCGCAGCAGCTCCCGCAATCTTCGGGAACCTGCTTTCCATGATAGATCTAACCTCTTCTGCGTCTGGTGCGTCCACCATCACTTCATGCCATTTATGTGAACCAAAGAATGTTGGGGGAGGCACCTTCTTTCCGTGCCCAACAGCAAGCGATCGAGTGGCAAAGAGGGCAAAACCTTCACGCGCCTCGACGCGGCCCTTTCCGGGGACCTCTATACCTGCGCGGTGTCCAATCCAATTCCCAAGGCCCATACTCTCGACAAGTGGTTTCAGCAGGGCTAAAACTTCCATGCTAGCACGATCTATGTCAGAAAGCACCAGCCAGCGCCCCTCGCGCAGTGCGCGTACAAGGACACCATCCTTCCACTCAAAAGTCCCAGGTTGTGTTGGTGAGGAAATGTACGAGCCAAGAAGAGCCCGAGGGTCGAGGGACGCGTCGGCTAGATGAACGGTCACGATGAGCTCGTTGACTGACATCATCGGGTGTAATCTGGAAGCGAGATATGATGTGAAGAGCGATTTTCCAGAGGAAGGTGGGGAAGATAGGAGGATAGGCAAGCGAAGAGAGATGTATGCTGCAATCTCACGGAGAGCAGCGATAGCGGAAGGTGTTGCAATGATGTCTGAAGGAGAAGGCATGGTTGGAGATGACTTGAGCATCAATAAACCATGGATGTTAGCAACCCAGGGACTAGCAGAAGCATTAGGCTCATTTTGCGATGATATAGCAGACGACAGACCTCAAGTCTGTCTCCGAGAGAGGCTCCAATACATCCTCTGCGTCAAGAGAGTAAAAATCGGAACTTTCGAGAATAGCGTCGCGTGCATCATGAATACGCTTTATTTCCAATGTAGGCACGAGCCAGCCGTCGGTCTCAACGACAGTCCCGTCGATAGTCTGGCCATAGTTAATTGGACAATCAACGCCGCAAAACTCGCCGAGGACATGGGTGATAAGCCTCTCGCGCTCAATTTCTGCCATGCTAACATGCGACGCATAGCACCGAGCAGCGAGCAACCGTATACCTGTGTCAGGGTGAGGCGGGAAGAGTAGTTTGGATAATAGCGACCCGTCCCATAGTAGATGCTTGGGAAGGAGACGATTAGCGCGGAGAAGGCGATAATATGCAAGCAACATGCGGTGCAGACGAGTGGTTTCAATTTCAGCAACAGAAGTAGCCGCAGCTATGAAAGCAAGTGGTCCTTTGGATAGACATGGTTTTTGCAAGAAAGCATATAAGCATCTAGAACCAGACGTGAGATGAAAAACACAAGTGCGATAACAAAACGCACGGATATAACTCCTCATGAATCTCTATGAGGAGACAAAATGCGATGAACCTGTCTTCGATATCGTCATCGTCGTGAAGCCATCTGGCGCATAAATCAATCAAAAGAGGTCTGAACAGATCGGCGATAGTCAGAGTGAGAGCTGGGACAGCTAGCAAGCGAGATAACGTGGATAGAGCGTTGGTTGGTATGTTCGCTTCTGTTATATGTTGGATATGAAAAGAATCGGGAGGCAGAAGAGCGCGGAGGGCGCGTTTTTGTTTTGCAAGATTGATCCTGAGCGGGTCGAATTTGTTTTCCGCGGTCATCATGGCCATGTGATTTATAAAGAAGCTTTTGGCTGGCGCATGTAGTATTTAGTTTCTGTTGCTGATTATGTCAATCTCACCGTGCTCGCCGACGTAGTCAATCAAGACTCAGGAGGATGGAGATGGAAAATACTGCAGCCACGTGACTTTCAATAAAGTTGCGCTTCCATTTTGGGATTATCAATTTCACCCTTTGCCAATTCACCCTTGTGTTTGTGAACAACACTCACAACGATCGATTGCGTATCGCTAACCATGGCGGCATCTAAGACGATCCTTGACATTCGTGGCAAACAGTTGAAGCTTGAAAAAGCTGCTGACGTTGCCCCCTTCATCACTGGCGTCGACCCTACCAAACTCACCGCTATCCACCTTGGAGGCAATTCTATCGGCGTGGACGCTGCCAAAGAATTTGGTCGATTCCTCGAGACTGCGGACGTGCTTCAAGTGCGTGATATTATTCATGGAATTCATACCTAAGGATCGTCCCCCACTGACCCGTGTACAGCTTGCAGACTTGGGAGATATCTTCACGGGACGTACTATCGAGGAGATCCCTGCTGCTATACAAGCACTCCTCGATCCACTCTCACACAAGACCTCCCTTCGAGAGATAAATCTCAATGATAACGCATTCGGAGAGCGTGTTGTACCCTTCCTTACACCCTTCCTCGAAACTAATCACTCCATACGCGTCCTCCGCCTCAATAACAATGGCCTCGGGCCTGCTGGTGGCAAGAATATTGCAGAAGCTGTGTGCAAGTCTGCACCAACAGATGGCTCACGATCAAATCTTGAGGTTGTCATCTGCGGCCGAAATAGGCTAGAGGATCCAGGTGCTACCGCCTGGGCTAAGGCGTTCGAGGCACACAAGACACTCACAGAGGTGCAAATGCCCCAGAACGGCATTCGTATGGATGGTGTTGAAGCCCTTGGGCGAGGTCTTGTCGCATGCTCTGAATTGCAGATTGTCAATTTTCAGGACAATGCATTCATAGATGTGGAGATGGATGAAGAAGGCCGGAAAGCTGTTCGTGCATGGGGTGAGGCCGTCAAAACCAGCTGGCCAAAGCTACGCTTCCTAGACCTCTCTGACTGCATGCTCTCGAACGGGGAAGGCGAAGTGCCACCACTCCTAGAAGCTTTCAACGATGCGAATACGAAGAACCTACAGAATCTTCAGGAGCTACGATTGCAGAACAACAACCTCGATGCCAAAAGCTACGAGGTCCTCGCCCAAGCCGTGACGAAGTTGACCAAGCTGAAACGGCTAGACCTGCAGGACAATGATGACGTTGAGGATAACGAACATCTAGATGACATCGCCGAACACCTGAAAGCTCACGGCGGCAAGCTTATCCGTACGGAAGAGGACGAAGAGGAGGAGGAAGACGACGAAGATAATGTCGAAGAGTCACCAGAGGAGGCTGAGGAAGCGGAGGAAATTCCTGCTCCACTGGCAACGGAGGAGAAATCAACCTTCGAGATGGTTGCAGACACACTCGCCAACCTCATGAGCAAAGTGCATGTTGGTTGAACCTCAAATTCTAATGTGTAGACCTTTTATTGTACGCCACAACTCCCGGATCGCAAATTACCATGTATACCAATTCTATCGTACAATAGCAGCAGTTAAGTATCTCGGTTTTCGAAAGGGTGTCAGAAGAGTAGAATGTACGCATTGTGTTCCTAATTCTAAGTTCCATTGAACCGAAAAAACCCTATGATACTGAACACGGTGTCCGGAAGGATTGAAGACGTACGCATGGGATAGCATCGTCATAACGCCTGCGCATCAGCTTTCAAACATCGACATCGGTTTTCCTTTTTCGTCTCTGGCATCCCGGACTCAACTATATAATAGGCATGCAGGATTAGTACATTATACTTCTATTTTCTCACTGTCTCATAGTGGGACCATTGCGAACTCGATACAATATTGAAAGCATACATTAAGGGTGTATGCATTATTATGGGATAGTCAATTGTACAATCCTGCTCGTCCTAAATATGTTTTATGATCTTGTGCTGTGTTGTAATGTGCCAGAAATTTCACTATTTGGTGCTACGAGATCATATTGAACTATCCTCGTCATCCAAGCTCGTGAAATCAATGGACACAACCTCTGCCAGCAACTTCAAGCATGAATACTGCATATAATCGTCTGCCATTGTGATGCCGGTGGAAGATTGTGAAATGTACACTATCGTATCTTATGGTAATTCCATGTTAGTTAGTGGTGGCATCAGTGTACGAGGTTTTGGCAAAACCGACGCGGGAGTTGGTGGTATCGTACACAGAGTAGAAGCGCTCGAGGAATGTGTAGCCGTTAACGAAATCAGACACTGAGCCGCTGGCCGTGCCAATGTCAGTAACGATGAGATATATGGCGTTGCTACTACCACCAATATAGGTGTTGAGAGAACGAGGCCAGATTTGGGCGTTAGGGGTGAGAGTGTAGGTATTCTGTGCAAAATGGTGAACAAGAGATGTGAAAGCTGACAGAAATGGTGTACACTGCCAATATTGAAGTTCAGGTTCTTGAGGGCACTATACTGGGCGGAAGAAAACGAGGAGAAGACCAGTTAGTAAATCCACAGTAGCGCCGGTTTCAGCCTTGTACTTGGTGTAGGCATCTATCGAACGCTGATTACACCATGATTACTCGCTGCACTCCAGATACACACCGGTGGCAACGAAAATATAGGTGGTGCTAGTATCGACGATACCAGCAGTATTGGACAAGATCATCGTGGAGCCGTAAGTGATGCTCTCGTTGATACCCCAATAGGTCGATTCAGGGTTGGTGGTAGTGATAGGACTGAAACAAAACAATTACTATCAGTCTGGATTGATCTAGGTGTTCAGGTAGCTTACGTGTATCCAATGTCGCCGGTGTACTTGAAGAAGTCAGTTCCACCAAAGGTGAGCTCTCCATTGGTGTTTGTCTTTGAAGTGGTGGGCTCGAAAAGGACACTAACGACCTCCTGAGAAATGGTGCCTTGGCTGTACAGATTGTCAACGACAGTCGGGATTGCCGTGTTCGGTCCATCTATCAGGGATCCCACCGTCAAGTCTACAGGCCCGATGCCAAGGACACCGTCAACACCGGCGGTGAAGCCCTCCGAATTAGAAGCAACACCAATCGACTGCTTGGCGATGGTGAGCCCACTACCGAGAGTGACGGTGTCGGTGTACTCAGTGCCTATAGATAATCGTAGGTATTTTCAACTTATGATGTCGTTGTATGTCATACCAGAGAAGATACCAAAACCGTAGTCGATCTCCACAGGCTGACCAGTGTTGATGCTGGTGCTGGTCTTCACATATGCAGTGCCGGCACCAACCCACGTGTTTGAGCTACCGGTGTCGACAATCAAATTGTCTTAAATAATACATGAGCAGCCGCATGTCTTCTCAGTGTTGAACTTACATATTGTGGCGGGGCTGCCAACACCAACTTTTGCGATATAGTTCACAGCAACATTTGTCACAGGAGGGCTACCAAGATGGCGGCAGTCCTTAATGGCAGCCACGCGAACTTTATCGTGCTGCAAGAGGCTAATAGGACCATCGGAGACATTCAACCGCCTGGCAATGGGGAGGGTGATGAGAGAGTCGCGAACTTCAAAAGGCGTTGCCGTGATGGACAAAGCCAGGAGAATAATTATCAACAAGGATGGAGCGGGGAATATGGCTTACTGGAAAGCAATATCGTACTCAGTGGCCCATTATATATGCGGACGCAAACGCGAATGTAGGACACTTAAGCCACGTATGAAACTTTCATCCTCGAAAAACCGATGACGAAACAGTCGCGGTCCGAGTGATTACAAGTGGAAGGATTCGACTTCTCAATAAAATGTGACAAGAGGTTCGTTTTTGATCCCAGGTGGCAGGAATTTACAACTCGTTTACCCATGGTTCACTGTCTCGACAGAGACGCTCACCCATAATGAATACACCTTCGACGGCAGATCGTTGGTGCCAAGGTTGGTGTAGCAAATGTTGCTGAGGAGAGCGGTTGTCCAGGGTGGTCCCTGGTTGTTCCGGGCCTGATGATGATCGAATTGTTGAACGCCATTTGCCAGCTCAGCACAAAGCCATGCAATAGAATGATGCTATCGATAAGATGAAGCTTGCAACTTGAATGGCTCATTTATGCAAGTGGAAAAAAAATTGCCGGAGGTTCGCATCACTGCGGAGAGCCACGGAGTCCCAACTCGGTCCCTCAACCACGAAGGAAACCAGTGCACACTGCAAATAATTACTCTCCAGCTGTTCCGAATGAAATATAGGTAGAGTTGTGAGCTCTGAAGTGCGTTGTACACTACGGATCAGGTGATAGTAACCGACGTCAAGTTGTCTAACCTTCAAATTTGTATTCACGCGTAGCCTAAGAGAACTTGAAGATGATCATGAGAGGGAATGGACGTGATATTCATTAGCTCGAATCTTTGAGAAGGGTAGTTGTTATCGAGGGAGGAACAATTGAAGGAGAGGAATCAGAGGATGGAGATTGTGAGTCATGTGAACGAATATTACTTTCAGAGAGACAAAGAATCAAGGGGGCGGTTGTTGTCTGGCAAAGGCGCGCGCGTGGATTCCGCGAAGTCCGAAAGAGAGCTCAAAGTTCAAAGCAGTCCAAACACCGCTCAATACTTGCTTGAGTCATCGTCATCATGCAATATCAATGATCATCATCGCGCTGCCCGCCACCAGTGACGACGAATGCACCCCACTCGCCTCTCCGCCACCTACTGTTGGAATGCTACATTTGTGCTTTCAAAATCCACATTATCAATAGGCACCCCTTGTTGCCAATGTCCCGCCCAACTGCCCTTCTTACCCACCACCTTCCTTTCCTACCTGCCCAGTGCCCGAACACCTGCCCGCCCCGCCCTGTTCCCTATCAGCGTACACACACCTGATAGCTGTCATTGCAGGAAGCAGATCTCACTTTTCTTGCAACATTATCCCTGCGGGAAAGTTCAATCGGCTTTCTCATTGATTGTACCACTTGCGGCGGCGCTGTCCCAATCACGATCTGTATCAGTGCCCAGAACGGCAACTCTAGAAAGCCAATGTCAAGGGTACGTCCTCTGATCCGTGCGCAAGGGTTGACTGGTGTGCTAGCCTTCCCTGCCAGTATCCCTCATCTTTTGAGCACGACGCTTTCAATCCTTAGAAGTGCAGTTATTCCGAAAAATGCATTGGTCAGTACTTTTTCGATTTCACTGACAGTATCCGCAGAATCTATGCGCACAGCCCTGATTAGACTCTGGAGCGTGGGTGAATGGAAACTACCTTGCCTACGTTGTCGGGTGGAAGCCGGAAGCGCTCATTGTCACGAGAATCGTAGACAACTTCTCGAACATGATAGCAAGGCTTGCACCGATGATCTGGCGGGAATTTTGCGTACACCGTATACTATTTTTGATGCGAAGCTTGCTGAATGCACGAGGATTGGTACTCATGATCATTGGTAAAAAGTATGTCCTGTATTCTAGTTACAGCAAGGTACAGAAATATTGCAAGTTATTCATCTGCCAAAAACATACCTTGTGTCATGAAGGCCATACTTGATCAGCTCACGGAGAAGGGCTTGAAATACATGTTTGTTACTAGGTGGTTTTGTTATAGCAGACGAAGAATTGGTGTTGGGTAAGGGAAGCATCAGCAAGTGCGAGAACAATGACAGCAGCTGCCTTTTTCTTCTTGGCTTAAGAGCCTGCAAGGCGAGTGTTGATTACCATAAGTAAAGTGAAGTACAGTACTCTACTATAGCGAACCCGCAAACCAGCTGCCTGGTTGGCAGGTTTCGATGGTCTAATTTTCTCTCACATCAATCGAACCTGATCAGCGAAAAACAAACTGAACTCAGTTGCCGAGCGGGGCCTTATGTTCTCTGATATATTTACTAGCCACAGCGAATACTAGTACCAGCAAACTTGTATAGATTAGGTATGCTTAAAATGTGTAGTCCTCAAAACAAAAGAATTCCGCGTCAGAAAACAGTGTAGGGACTGTCATCAGTTGGTATCAGCATCAGTGTATGCTGTAGTCGCAACACTGAGCTGCTTGTTCCCGGTGTCAAAGACAGTGTAATAGCGCTGAAGCCAACCAAATCCGTCTGGAATGCACATGGCATTTGTAAGACCCAGGCCCCAGCAAGATATTATGGGACGTACTTATGAAGTCCAGCCCGCTCCCGAATGAGGAACCAAGGTCAGACACAATGAGATAGATTTGGCCCTCTTCTCCTCCGAGGACGCTGTTCATATTACGTGGCCAGATCTGAGCATTAGGCGTAAAGTCGTAGGTGACCTGTTCCAATAAGTCAATCGAGGTTCATCGTATGAGATCAAAACTTACATTGCCAATCTTGAAGTACAAGCTTTGAAGATTGGTGTATTGTTGCGGCGTGATAGTCAGGAGACCTGTGGTCCTGATCCACATAAATAACAGAATATCCTAGGCTCATCGAGCTGAACTCACTGGTCTTCGACGGCACCAGTTGCCGTCTGATAGGCCTGGAAGGCCTCTGCACATTTCGGTGAGTGTCAAATATCACGGCGGGATATGCGTGCATACCAGTGGCAAGGAGAAGAAGTGTAGTGCCAGTGTCCACAATGCCGGCAGTCGTATTCAAGATTGTTTGGCCAGTGCCGTACGATACCGTTTGGTTGATACCCCAATACTATTCAGATAGATGATCGTCAAGATTAGTAAGCAGTACATTTTTAGGCAGGCTGTGATTTACCTGCGAGGCTGGGGAGGTGGTGGTAAGCGGAACGGTATTGAGTGTGCCAGTGTACCTGACATATGATGTCAGACAAGATCGAAACCAAAAGAAAGATGCCTTCTAACTTGGTGCTATCGGTCCCACCGAATGTGAGCTCTCCATTGGCTACGTCAGCACTCGAGGACGGCTCGTAGGAGATGCCGAGTAAATTGGAGGAGATTGTTCCCTGAGCGTATAAGTTGTCGGTAACCGTAGGTACGTCCGTCGTGTTAGACACGGTTCCCTCTGTAAGGTCTACGGGACCGACACTGCAAAGACATCAACACTACGAATCATTGCTTTTCAGACCAAATGTTACCCCAATATGCCATCAACGCCCTCGAACCCTTGCGCGGATGAAGCCACGCCAATGCTTTGGTTCTGGATAACCAAGCTTGACCCTAAGGTCACGGTGTCGGTGTCTGAGCCACATTTAGTTGGTGCTATTGTAGCCGAAAGAAGCAATCCTTACATTCTTCTCCAGACATAGTCCCCGAACCATAACTAACATTCTAAGTTCCAGACCAGTCTGTTAACAGTATCATAAGACTCAGAGCAGCTAGCTCACTATAGTGTTACCAGTGTCGTTACTGGAGCTTGTGGGATTGTATGGCAGGTCTGCGCCAACCCAAGTATTCGAACTACCTGAAATATTGTTGACAAATAAATAAGTTCCGAGCTCTTCTACGTCACCAGTATTCCACTAACCAGTATCGATCAACAATGTATACTGGGTCGCTGGGTTTCCAACACCAACTTGCATGGTGTAAGTGACACCTGAATCGGTGACATCAATGCTAGTACTACTGCCGCTTGTGCCAGAAGGAATAGCGGATAGAGCGGTACCCAAGGGGGTATGGTGGGACTTGCCAGCCAGGAACTTCCGTGCGCGGGCGCGGTCACGCTCAAGAAGCTGCCTGGCACCACCTTTGGCTGCGCGCAGACGAGTCGCAAAGGGGATTCCACGGATAACGATGTGTGACATGGTTCGAGTGGTTTGAGATAACAAGTTGGGAAGACAAAGTGAAGACAACTGCGGTGAGTGACACTGTTTATATAAGTAGGGTTGGAGATGGGTGCTAAGGCTTCTAGGCATCACCAGTAGCCGGAGGATATATTGATAGACTGTAAAGCCCTGGCAGGGGAAAGAAGGACCCTTTCAAGAGGAGAGCCTCCCAAAAATAACCTTGTCGATTGACGTGTCATCATACTATGATGTATCGTGCCCCGAGGAACCACAACGACAATAACGCGAGAACAATCGTCATCAGAGGGAGTGGGAACCTATTGATAATTTATCAGAGCAATAATGGAGCGCCCCCCCGTACCATATCACCTGCCTGTCATGAAAGAGCCACTGGCCATGTTGCTCGCAGACAAAAGTGCCCCTGGCAGGATGCTCGAGGAAGAATTATTCGGTGAGGATAGTGGCAGAGCTTGAACGGTAAAGCAGGGTCGGTGAACCGGAGCTTTGCATGACCGTTTCTGATAGCGAAGCCTCCATCCGGTCTGAGCAAGACAGAGAAGGTTAATAATAGTTGCCAATCCGGGCTACTACGCCAATCGCTCGGTTAATCCTGAGAGCGGTTTTTCACGGTTTGGTGAGAAGTATTATGCTTTAGGCTGTCCGCAGAGATAAATATGGAGTTTTGAATACAGCTGATCTAGGTATTGGGATCCGAGTGACATTGTAATCCAGTGGTCCCCACACTTATGCACACGGCCGGCGATAGCTGCATTCCGGTCATACGGGTATACGTAGACCCCAGCAAGTCCAGCTCAAATATGTTTCGAAACTACCAGACGATGTCACCGGTTAGTAGTCTACAGCTTGGTTACCACTTTGTTCCTGCTGCCTTGACGGTGGTTGAGGTCCATAGGTAGAGTGAGAGCCATTTGGTCAACAACTGCAATACAGTACTGTTTGTCCCTCCAACCAGCTTCTAATTTACCCTGGCCCATTGCAGAGGGGGCAGTCCAAACTTCAACGTGAGCATTATGTCTTCCATGGGGATCAGTCAAAAAAACGTGATTCGCTGTATAATCCGACTGTCCGAGAAGCGTAATCCTGAGATGAGGGAATACGGGCCCTTGAATTCGACTGTCATGGTCACGGTCGGGAACCAACTAGAGAAGGGAGTCAATGTTCCGCGACTAGAATACAGGACCCAAACGAACCAATCCAATGTTCCGTGACTAGCTGGCTCTGAGTCAGGTAAGAGAGAAGGGAGATTGAGGAACATGTCCCCAAAAAATGGGATAGACGAAGGCTTGATTTCATCTTCTGTTCTGGTTAGCTCACACCATGCGCCCCATTCGGCGCCTCCTCCACCTATGATTTCAGTATCACCTCGAGTCTGGCTGCGCATGGCATTGCGCGCGAGGATGCTATGATCCATGGACCAACTCAGAAGGGAGTGAAACCTCCAGTATGCCTCATTCTATCTCGGACGGCCACAGAAGGATGATTGAGCAGGGGTAGACGCCGAGCATATGGAGATGGTGCTGCCAAGCTGCGAGAAATTCCATCCGGCACGGGAGTAAGATCGCCAAAGATAAGATGGGATGTCAGTCTGATGTGCCCCTGCTCACATGGTCAAACACACGGCAATCGCGGAGAGTGGGCGTGTCACTTACCCCCTGGGCGAGGTCCGCTGAAAGATTAGTGAAATTCTTCCCTATCTTCTGGACACTGACGCGTACTTCCGCAGCCCAACGTTTGTCGCGCGAAGAAAATGGGCGGATACGTGGATTGGATCTTTATGTACGGTCTCCAATTGAAATCGAGTGCAAGCTTCTACAACCTGCCCTAATGTGTAACCTGACGGGATGTCTAAGTTATTGCCATAAAACGACCCTTCAGAAGAGTAACATGCATAACCTCCTTGAGGAACTCTGAATACTTCCCTTCGCAATGAGCACACGACTAGATATAACTGAGAACTCACGACCCAATCACCCAACTACCATTTAACTCAGTCGCGTATGTAGCGGTTTCACTACACCGCGAGGTTTCCGAAACATACAAAGCTCGCACTAGCGGGACCATATAGTTTCGACGACTTGTCAAGTAGTTCAAAGTTGTCTCTCCTGGAAAGCCAGACTCCCAACGTTAGTGGAGTGTAAAGGGCTAATTAAGTAACAGTTCTCACACGAACCTCTGCCGGCTACACCCGTGTTCGGGCCTTTTCGGTTACAATCATTTTACACCTTTGTTAGAGGTTTGTCAATGATTCTCGCTTTTCCCCCCGTTATGCATGCTTCGGTGAATGCAGAACATGCTAGGAATAAGCAAGTCGGGGGCTGGCGTCAGCGCCACTACAATGCTATCGAGGAATATGAAACTTATAAACGATATCCCAGCAAATGACTTCGGCCCAATCATTGCTTTCAAGAGAATGATTCAAAACTTATCTGTTGGCATGCACTCACATATGAGCGTCATTGATTCGACCTCATCCTATGGTATCTGCTATCATTGCTGGACAGGCGCCCATGAAAGTTTGCAGTTCTCGACGAAAAACCATTACATGTGGTAGGCGTGGGAGGCTGGAAAGAGGACCTTCATCGGAGTTACGAGGTTCGTCTGTCTGATTGCATTCACATTTGACGGTGCAACCGTCTTGTCACTCCTACCCATGTCATAAGTACCATAGATAAAAGCTACATCCTATAGTTCCTCGGTAGTTCCGCAATTTGATCGAATCCAGGATACTCGGGAAGATTGAGCTGGAACTTCTCCTGCATTGCCCTGACAGTCGATATGGAGATCATTCCAGCGATCCAACTTGTCAACACTTACTTTGGCACGAAACGCCCTCCGAGGAAATGCCTTCCCTTGAAGTATTTTGCTCCTATCTTTGGCGCTGTCAAACTGAGCAGGACGTCAGGATTCAGCCCGACGCCTTCTGCATTTCCGAGTTCGACATCCCATCCACTTGGAATATCTACCGAGACAATCGGGAGCCCGGATGCAGATATAAGCTTCAAGGCATCGTCAAACGGTTGCCCGTACTGGCGGTTTGAACGAAAACCCGAAGATGGCATCCAGGATAACGTTCGAGGACTGGAGGACGCGAGGCAGCTCCTCAGCAGATGCTGGGGGTGGAATGATGGAGATGCCCATATTGATGCATTGTTTTGCAGGCGCTACTGGTCCCGTTAAGATACTGTATAGAATAGATAAAAACGCTCGACGATGTGGACCGACCTGATAGATGTCTTTGGAGCCTGGCTGTTAGGGGTTACATTTTGGGACTGTTACTTCACTAGGCGGATGTGACTTACCTTGGGCATGTATATCGTTGGCTCGTAACCAAACATTCCTGAGCAAATTCAGTACTAGAGTATGGGGTAGGTCACTCTGAGAACATACCAAGATGTCTAGCCGCAACTAATCCATCTCCTCCTTGGTTTCCTGATCCACAGCATACCAAGACTTTCGGATACTTTTCCTTGCTGTACACCGTAGATAGTGTTTGGGCGCAGGCTAACCCAGCCAGCTCCATCAACTGCAACGCAAATCATGCTTGAGCATTGTGTGCCGATACAGGACTGAAGCCCCGTGCCTGATCCAAACTGAACGCTCCAACCGCGTTCATAAGCTCCTCATCAATCTGTCCATCACTCGAATGAGCTCGTAGCCAACACGTGATGATGACGTTCTATGCACCTGTTGGGCCAGTTGCGCGGTGAGGAAACGGACGGACATGACTGATTTCTGGCAATGGTGGGAAGTTGAAATTCATGGAGAGTCCAAATCCAAATATAATATTGAATAATCGATAAACAACACATCAAAAGTGTCAGTGATGACAGTTATAACAAGATGCTGAGACAATAAAAATGATGACCGGTGTACAGTGAAAATGCAGTAGACCACAGTACAACAATAGCAAGAATATTAATGTCTTTGGATGGAGAAAAATTCGACAGCTCGCCCATGAGGTACAGTCAGATAGAAGCTGACTTAGCGCAAACCCGGCGATGCTCTTCCCAGTCCTTTTTCTGATGTTCAGGAGAACAATACTTCACCAACCGGCACTTGCTACACACAAGCCCATTATTGGTCGGAGTATCCCCACTGTCGGCGCTGCTCTGCGATCCTTCACTACTCTCGGGGTACTGCGACGTGTCTTCGTTGAAACAGATGTTGCAGTCGATCCAGTTGCACATCTCCCGAGATCTCACCTTCCTCCCATTTCGACGACCGCGCTTTATCGACAATACCGCTGCACCTTCGACGCCACGACGAGGAAAACGTATCATCTCGCAGTCGTCGTTACAGCACGGGTTGGGACAACCACTAGGAAAGTCAAAGAATATTTCTTCTGATGGAACAAACAGGGGGTGCGTGAATAAAATTTGGGAATATGAAGTGGTCTGATGGGAGAACAAGATGATGAAGGGCGGTCGTTTCTCGTGGAGAATGGCTCGGAAAGCGATGTCGATCTGAGGAAAGCATGGTGTGCGCCGTTGTTTGAGAAGAGTATGGCTCAAACGCATATCTGGGACCAATAAATCAACATGAACATGCGGACAAGCAATAGATTCATGGTCACGAACGATTGTACTGGATCTCGTTCTCCATGCTGGGTTTACACGTGCGCCCGAATGCATGTCGACAAACGAGGTTGAAGTATTCCGTTACATCGTCCATTTCTTGGCGTTTCATGTCTGTGACAATAATGTATACATCATCGCAGCCAAGGTCATGCATCCCTCTGAGCATCATCAGCTCAGGAAGCTAAGATTATCCTCAGTTACGATAATCAAGATCTGGTCAGATAAATTCTTACCATAGTAAATACAACAGGCATCATGGACAATTTTCGGTCTTGCATTGACCTATGGTGATATACATGTGTTGACCAGGTGCGATCCAAAGGAATCAGACGACCGGTGTCGACTGTACGACAGAAGATGTTTTCTGGAAGGAAATCTCCTTTATTCCAGACGAGGACTTGGCGTCTAAGAGAATTTGCGGCATGTTTTCGCTCCCTGACACCTTGAAACCATTCCCAATACGCGTCATTGCGGTGTTCAAGCCACTTGTCAATTAACATGTCTGTAGCATCATGATCGAGTGTTTTGCATATCAGCTCACTCATCGAGAGGGTGGGCTGTGATAGAGCCGAGTAATGCCTTTTCACCATGGCTGAGCGTGGTACAACCTCCGATAAATTTGCTTCCCTGTCGTGAGCGCAACGAAAGGAAGATGGATGGATGATGCAAGGGGCCTGTGAAATAGAGTGCTTACGGCAAGAAGTACGAACAGGCCGGCCCTAACCCGTTCCAAACTGGATGACTAAGAACTGTACGTTACAACACCTCGCTCTAGCCGTAACTTAAGCCTGTGTAAGACTGTCAATTTGCTCATGATCATACAGTCCTTCTTCGTCCAACTCAGACGGATCGCTCACTATCTGGCATTGAACGTTAAACACCTGCAACTACCAACCAACCACAGCTCAAAGTCACAGTGCTTGCCAGAGCACGATAAGGAGAAATATGTACCAGCCCGACTCCCCCCATAAGATGGTCACCAACTCTCGTTCCTAGTGACAAGCTGCATGACATGTTTTGGTATGTGCGCAGGCGGCATCTATGGCATCATTAGCGGAAACCTCAACAAAAACTGACAACTGCGAATTTTACCTATAATGAGACGCAAGGGCGAAGTTTCCGAGAGACCCTCTCCTGCGGTAAGCAGAACACCAAGGTTCTCGTGTTCTTCTATCTTCCTTCCACAAGTACCCTGCCATGTCACCACCGTGCGATATCGTGCGGGAAGATAACCATTACGGAAAATATGGTTGGTGAGGTGAGCTATAATTTCAAGCTTTGCCTCCTGGGCATGGCTAAATTTCACGCGCTGCGTCACGGCGGGCGCCGCATTTTTGTGAGTATAAACATAACTAAACCACAAATGGGGCGGACAATCGGCTTCCCAGGGTAAGGATCTACTTTCGCATCAAAATTTGGTTGCTCACCAATGATCAGCCTAAGAGCCGATTGGGGGCATTTGCCTTCGCCCTCTGTCAGAAGTTCTTCCACGGCATGACTTGGGTTGAGCCGCTGCCCGCTATGGTTCTCCCAATATGACAGCGACCGATGCTGGGCCTCAACGAATCCCTGGCGGAACAAATGCTCGAGCACATCCTCCAAGTCAGTTAACTTCTCATTCTGAAACTCAAGTTCCACCAACTGAGTCGTCGCTGGCTTGTTGCAGCGTGACGCTTGGTGATAAGTCAACCATAGCTCGTTGTGGGTCGTCATGAGCAAGCAGATAGAGAAGAAAAGTGAGAGTCGGACGATGGCTATGGCTCGAGATACGACCCATCAGCTTTTATATAGTTTTCTCTAGGCGTGCTAAAGGTTTTAGTAAAAACATTCCTTCCGCAACGCACCGACCATGAGCCCATTAGGAGTGATGAGTACCTTCTTACGGTACCGAAGTTCCGAACAACTTGGGTACGTAACGGAAGAACGTAATGCTGCTACAAATTTGCCTGACTACCCGAGCAGCAGGAACAACGGCGGAAAAAAACCTCTTGACCACAAACAGCACAACTTTCAGGCGCTCGCCAACGCCAACGTGATTGGCAACGACGGTTCGTCTACATGAAAGTTGACTGTTGCCATCTAAACCAACGTTCATTACATAATCATAACATCTCTTCAATGCGCGCTCATCTGATTCCCAAGACGTTGGTCAAGTTTTATCAGTGCATGCGCCCTCCACCGCACCAAACTCTACTCGTCCGTCACTCTCCCTGCCCTCGTCCTTCTCCGGTAATTGAAGGTACGCATTTCGTATGACCGCCATCGCCCTTCTCCGCCAAACTCGTTCCACATTATCCCGCCGACAACGCCGGACACGCCGTGACTCACTGAGTTATTCAACATCGATGTCTTAACCGCATCTCCCCCAGGCATGGAGGATGTGCTGCTCGTATCTATCGGTATCATCAAAACATGAGCCTGCGCCACCACCGCCATCAAGCATCACCATCCTCGCACTCACGAACAGCAACAATGACTTAGCCGTGTTATCCGTTTCAGGATCCTTCATTGAAGTTGGACGAGCTTTATATAAAAAGACTTGTCTCCATTTTGTTTGCTTGGAAATAACAATATCTCGTGTCTCCTTGTTTTGTGTGTTGTCTTCCTTAGTTAAAGAGCAACTAAATTTGTATCTTCCGTTGGACTAGGGGTCCCAAGGGCAGGAGTCACACCAAGATCTTTCCATAGCTTAGTCAGCGAGTAGCATAGGTTCCAGCCTGTCCATAGCGTACTAATCATCATCATCATCGCTTGTTAGCTTTGCTCTAGGCTCAGTCCACTGGCCCAGACTGGCCCCTGCTCCACCGTCTTATACGGTTTACCGAGTATAATAAGGCTAAATAAGTACTCGCGACATTTTCCTGATGGCTGGACGAAAGTAGGAAGTGGCGGAAGGGCCTTGGAGGTTAGATGTGGTAGGCGGAGGGTGACTGCGATAGTAAGGGGAGTGGTGCTGGAGGTCAAGACCTCTGCTGTAAGTGAGGTAATGCACGTATGCCGAAATACTTGGGCAGGGTAATAACAGGGCACCTACGTACTATGACTCCTATTTTACGCAAGTTTTAGGCGAGGCTCCACTAATATTGTATCAATTGAAAACATGACATGATTTTACGTCGACGCTTAAAGCGTTCCTGACCCATCAAAGCGAGCCTCCGACTCGGAGGGCTGTAGCCGGAAACGAGTACAATCTTGGATCCGACGTAGTCCGACGAGACGAGGCCAGAGTACGTGTGAGAAAAAACGGTCAAGTGCCGATCAGCGTGCGAGTCGTCACGCGCATTGATCTTTCACTACTGCAGCTAGTACTCGTAGCGTCGTCGCCTCAACTAAGCTTCAAGTTATACGCTTCAAAGCTTCAAGTTGAAGCTTGATTCGGGGCCAATAGAGTGATATCATACACTTGTCGGGGAATCGTCGGTAATGGGAAAAAAGCCTCACGCATGCCAGAACGTAAAGGCGCGCGGGAGCCTTCAAGTTGCCGCGACGTTGACAACTTGAAATACTTACTCTTCTATCACCGCCGCCGACTCCTACATGAAAATCCCACTTTTTTTCTTAGTATCCTGACGGGCCAAAGACCGTAAAGAATTTTGATTTTGAACTATTTGACAAGTCGCCATTGTCTAAATCTTCAGCTTGGCTTGGTGCGCGTGTGCTTCTAGCTTCATCTTTACTGTTTTGCTTTACTGTCTCTTTAGGTCGCTACTGAGTATCAACGGTCAGCAAATTTCAGAACGAAGCAGCATGCGTGTGATCCTCGGGTGCCATCCGTGACAGCGCCACAATGTTGGCATCTTTGATAACGCTGGGGCTTAAGAGGGAGAGACTGTCTTCCTTCTTTTTGGTCAACATAGGGGAGACCAGGGCTTTACCGGACCTGCATACTATGCACAGGTTATGTTCACACGATTTCCTTTGACAATAATCTTGCGATACTACCGCAGTTGCGTCGCTAACAACCCCCGCTTACTTGGAGCCTTCCCGTATGTTTTAGATCTTTCCGCGATAGTATCAAAGGCGCGGATATTTTGCCCTCAGGTATTTATAGACACGATATCTTTGTGACTACGCCTTCTCGCCTTCGATCACGATCGTGCACATGTACATACTCTGGACTGTGCCGTCACCGAGCTCAATAACCCCGCAACGACTTGTCTAGCAACAGGAACGCTCAACCGGCTGGTTCATGTGCTGTTCTCCCTGGTAGTTTGTAGTCACCTGTGACCTATCATGAGGTTTGATCATTTTTTTCTCTGCAGATCGAGGCACGAAGTCGCCGTGATTATTCCAATACCAGCATCGGTACGCTTTCGCGTGTCAGTCCTATTAAGCGAGTGTACGAGTGATGGGGGCTGTATTTTTCCTCTTGCCCGCCATCATCCATGTCCTCTCTACAAATCAGATCCGAGCAGTTTGTGTTTGATACGCCTCCACTTCATGGCTTGCCTGGACTGAAGATGACCGCCAAACGATACTATACCCCCTTTTCAGACTCGCAAGGACTGACACTTCTGTTTGCGCATGGAATCGGCTCGCGTCAGTAAGCTGGTGTTTTCTCAAGTACATGTGTGACTGACTGCTGTGGATTGTGTAGACAAGGAACATTGGGAACCGATGCTTCGCTATCTGTTCTCCCACCAAAACTTGCAGCAGCCAAGTCGTATACGTGAAGCCTGGTGTTTCGACTGGTTGAACCATGGGGACGCTGCTGTAATAAACAAGGCTGCACTCGAGCGCCGCTCGCCGGGGGACGTTTGTGAGTCCGATGACGGAACCCCTTGCCAATTTCCTCATATCTACACCAGCTATAGCAGAATGGGCAGCAGCGATTGCGTCCTTTGTCAAATCACCGTTTCTCAGGGGCCACAGGCTAGTTGGCGTGGGGCACTCGGCAGGTTCCAGTGCAATGTCAGTCAAACCCCGTTTCCCGCACTTTTTGCAGAAGCTGATCTCAACATCAGAATACTCTCTACACGCGCATTTCCCATGCGCAATCAACCCTTCGTTGCAGTGTTTCTCCTTGAACCTTCGATGCTTACGCGCGAATTGTGGACGTCTCACCTGATGGAGAGAGAAACATTAATGAGAAGGAGCATCAGAGCTACTCTCCGTCGACGTAGTGTGTTTGATACTTGGGAAGAGGCGGCCGATCATTATCGAAAACGGAAACCTTGGGCAGGATACGATCACGAGGTATTTGATATCTTTGCAGTGAGTGGTTTTAGTATCTACGAAATCCGGATCATCAAGCAGTTGACCGTATCTAGCAACACGGTTTTCACTCGGTTGGTGTACAAGATGGCAGCAAAGAGGAAACGAAAGTCGCTCTTAAATGCGATTTACACCATGAAGCGCTTGCTTATCAGGACGTCGAAAGCCATTTTGAAGCTACCGACCAGTATACCCGCCTTTGTCACGTGGTTCCTGTACACATTGTGTTCGGAACCGTTCATGATTACATGTGAGCAGTATTCAGCGTGGTTTTAAATTTAACTTCTCCTGATTCGCTCCCTTCTAACAGTCCATCTTATTTCCAAGACTGCATGACAGACGTCACACAGGGGAGATCTCCAGCGTCTGTGAAAAGGGTTCCTGGAGCTGGCCATGGCGTAAGCCATCCAAATTTGATGGCTGAGCGATCAATTCTCACGTATAAACAGATTCTTCAACAAGCTCCCGAAGGCCTTGCAAGGGCCGTATCTATCGGTCTGAATTCAATCACGAGGGATTCGACTCCGCATCTCCTGCATCGACTGTGATCGTCCGGAACTTTCGTGAATACCCAATGATGCATATGTAAAAAGATTACGGACTGCTCGAATACGCAAGCACTCATGTATCTTTGCATTGAGTATTGTTAGAGCAAGCTTTTCGTATAATGCAACGCTACGTAGCTAGCTATAACGTACTTACACTTCCAATAGAGGAAATCATTACTTTCCAAGTCTCCACATACCGTCCTTGACATTGACCAAGCCTTCTCTTCGAGCAGCTTCCATGAAGTTTCCAAGTTGTTCCACAGTGCGATCGTAGCCAGGTGCAAACTTGAGCATCGATTGTATTCGATCCAGCGGCAGTGAACCGAGATTTGTAAGCATTCCCTCAATGAACTTCGGGCCATTTTGCTGTAAGATCCACTGCGACAAGTGCAAACGACAACAAAGCATACCTTCCAGTACATTTTCATCTGTTCGGCCTGTTGCTGCTGCACGCTCATTACCGGCGGTAACTCCCCCGCTTCTGCTGTTGATTAAGATAAGTGACAAGGATATACTACGTCGAAAGATGGACGAACCAGGCTTAGGTACTTGTGGTCTACTTCCTGGTGTAGGACCCTCGGCAACGCTAAGCAGCCGGAAAACACCCTCCGAGTCTTCTTTTAGAACATGCATGTCTACCCAAGTAGCAAGGGCTTTGACAGCTGCATTTCGGTTGATGGAACCAGATCGGAGGACTAATTCATCTACTGTCCATACGTCTGTTGCAGGGTTAGTGTTGTAATGCGGCTTTGAATGTTCACTTACCCTTCTCAGAAAAGAGTTCAATGAATGCCGCTTCCAGGGGAGGCACGTCAGCTTCCAATGTCCTGTCTTCGAGCTCGAGTTGAAGATGAACCCGGCCAAGATGTGGTAACCAACGGAGGACCTTATCAGGTTTGAATACAGAGAATTCTTTGGCATATTGCTCTTGCAAGCTATACTAGTTCAGAACCAGGAGCAGTTACAGGTAAAGGACATACATCTGAAATTGCCCAGGCATGACCATGCCACTGGACTCAAGTGCGGGCCAGAAATGTCGAGATATAATCGTGGGATGCATGAAACTCTGTGCTTCGAATAGTGGCTTCGTATCTTGTCATGTCCATAACAACAACTTACCGCTGTCTGCGATTGCACATGTTGGTCTATGCGGCGCGAATCTGTCATATCTCGCAGCATGACTTCGCAGACCTGCAACGCAGCTTCGCCAAATCGAATCTTCAATATCTCGACATTACGACGCTGCATGCACCTTCTTGAGCATATCTACCATAGTCAGTTAGCTGGTGACTAACCTCGCGGTCAAAATTTCCATCTTTCACCGCCAGCAGGCGTTGTGCTAACAGTACTTGCAGTTCTTTAATGAACAGGTCCTTCGTATCATATATGCTGACTATAGTGCTGATGACGTCGCTGGACTTGCTCGCGCGAAAATCCGGCCCAGCATCAATGGGTTCAGGATTCCACTCAGGGTCAGAGTAATTCTCCATCTCGGGTTGTTGAAGGGGCTGAATGGGATCGTTGTCGTCGACAAGCGAGTCCCCACTCTCGCCGTCTCCAACCAAGCTTGCTACTATGCATCGTATGGTGTCAGGTCGATCTCTGACCAAACATGCAGATGTCATCAGCTGTTCCCAAGTCCAACTTCGCGTGCACGTACCGGAGGTACCTTCTTGTGGGATCAGCCACTTTAAATAGGAGTACTCCAGGAGGATCGACAATTCTGAGACACTTGATCGTCGAAACATAATGCGTCAGAATATCTTTCGTATCTGCGCCCGGGTGAAGGAGCCGCTTATTGTTACTGAAAGTTACAATCAAAGTCATTGCTGCAGTTGACAACGATGAACCACAACGTACGCTTGCCGTAGTGCCTGTACGAGGTCTGCACGTTGATCGACACGTGCCAAACACTCCTGCGTGTACAACAGAATATTAAGAATGTATTGACCACAAACATTCATACCAACCTTTAGGTCCTGGAGGGCGCCTGCAGATTCCGGGAAATCGACGATGATGTCAAAAATTTCCTTCGTCCTGCAAATGAAGCTTTCACAACTTAAGGCTAAGATAAATGTTCTCACCTTAGGTTGCAAAGTGTCTTATGCATATGGAAGTCAAACCTTGACCCTACGCCTTGCATCATTGTCTTGGCCTCATCCGCTGAGTGATTTGTGAGTCAGCAGCTTGGACGACTGAAGTGAATCACCATTGGTTGCTCCTCGTGCAAATGGATACAGCATCCATGGCACAATTTTGTCGATCATCCAACCCCGAAGGGTCGCAAGCATGGGTTCTGACCACTTTCTGGCACATGTTTCTTCTACATATGATTCAATGAACTCGTATCCTATACTTGCGATAAGGGTTTCGTAGCGGTCGATGAGGCTAAGAGTATCAAAGGCTTGCCACAGGACGCGGTCTTGAGGGTCCTGCGACTGGGATACAGTACGCTGCAGCGTTGCTGAAACAAGAGCTTTGATTCCCCGAGCGAAAGATGGAGGAAGAACAGAAAAAATGTGAGTTTGGAACGCAAGAGTGTAGGCGGATATCATTGTTGGTCCCAGACTAGGGTACATCAAATATATGTTAGCCTTGGTAAGGTACACGGTACGTACTCTGCAGTTGGTTTCCACGCGTTGTACCACTCGACCAAACGATACACAAGTGATCGTATTGCTTCTGGGTCGGAATTACTCTGTGATGAAGCATTGAGCGACACCACAATTGCAGGGATGCAGAAACTTTAACCTCGTAAAGCGTCATATATGCCTCAACTTCTCGGGTGATCAAGTGTTGGCTCTTTCGCATGTCCTCTTCATCCCTCAGAAACAATGCAACATCATAAATGAGCAGTCTCACCAAGGAAAACCTCCATCATGACAGGTAACCTCCTGCACTCGCTGACAACGCCAAATGCTGCCCTCACTTGATTCAAGTCTGATCGAGACTCAGCCATAATCAGTGAAATGCTTAGATTTACCGACCATATTGCTTTTGTGGCGCAGGATCGCTCAAATCTCGTGGTTTAAGAAACTCTAGTGGCCAGAGTCCATGCCTAAATGCGAAGTTGGAATATTTATGCATGGTAATTCCAACGACATACCTCGCTGAAAGCCAGTAAACCAGATATTCCTGGCTCGTTGCGATTAAGGCGGTTGAATGACTCTTGCCATTTTGCCGCAACTTGAGCTCGCACAGCAGCCGATGCCATCACGGTTAAGCAATAAATGCGGCTTGTACTTTGTGCAGTCTTCGGTTGGTAATATTATTACGTAACTAAATGTTGTTCGTTCAACGTTCTTTCACTGGCAGCCCGTGCATTAATCAATTCTTTCCTCGTGGCAGTTTTCATCGAACAGCCTTATTAAATATGAAGTTCACCGATGTTCCTGCCCGCTCATGAATCAATTCCTTCCTCATGGCGACGTTCACGTTCAGCGCTGATGTCCGGATGTGAAGGAGGGGAACGCATCATCTTCTGTTGACATGAAGTGTGGCAGCCCAATAATAGTATTGAGAGGAGACACATATTAGGGAAGTAGTCAGCTGCGCCCATTTTGAACGTTGAAACAATCGGTGAGCACTTGAGCACTTGAGCGTCGACGTGAGCCTATCACGACATGTGCTTTGCTATTAAACTTATGTTAACGTTCTACACGATCGATACTGATTTATAATCTAGCGGATTCATAATCACCACAGGAACGAATGGAGAAGTGTCCGTTGATTTGTGCATGCCGTGAAGCAGAGTGGAGTAGGTCTCGTGCGTGTTGGTTGGTTGGTCTAGACTTTCCTCGAGGCTTACTATGTTGAAGATATCCATGCCATTCCCAGCGCTCTACAGGACCTCGGCATCAGTGCCTTGTGTCTCCAGCAGCCTTTCACTGTGATATCATGGTTTAGACTCGAGCACTGCAACACTATGCCCCACGGCGCAACAGAGGTGCCAGCACTCTTCCAAGGGAGTGGTTTCAAGCGAATTATCTAACACATATTCGGTTCAAACTAGTTTTGAATGTAAAATGGAGACCACGCTTTGTTACGAACGTGGTGTAAACCAGGTCATTATCGAACTCACACAGCAAATCAACATCCACGGAAAGCAGGCGCTCCATTCTTACAGGACAGTGATGGGGAGTTTTACACAGCATACAAAAGGGAAGTTAAATGATTGATACTCTCACATCCATGAATAACAAGGTTCCAGCTAATTACTGTTTCGATAAAAGCAACGTTAGTCTTACGACTCGTGAGATCACGATTATCTCTCTTCCATGTCCATAACCCTCGACGACCGTGACTTTAGTTTCACTTATGACGGTTCATGGTTTCAGGGCGGTCAAGCGGGATTCGAATACGATAATACTACCACAGGAACGAATACGGCAGGTTCGATGGCCTTGTTCAATTTTTCTGGTTGGTAACAATTTTCCTGGCATTGTAGAATTTGTAAGTTTCTTGTACTGACGTAGTGCGCTATTAGGTGTCAGTGTTAGCGTCTTTGGTACCGTCGGTCCCATCAATTATGCGGGGCAAGATGTGGGAGCCCCGATCTCATCATACCAGGTTGATGATCAACCTGCAGTGACTTTTACAGCTCCTGCACAAGGAGGAACTCTGTATCACTACAACTTTTTTACTTCTCCAACATTGGGCAATGGTCCACACCAATTAAAAATCACCAATCTCAATCAGAGCAGCTATCTTTGGCTTGACTATGTTCAGTATACCCCGTTGTCAGGTAAGATTTTTCATATCACGAAACATGGCATTTTTTTTATCGTGGGCGCTAGCGACATCACCTAGCCCGTCATCTCCGGCAACTACCAATAGTCAACAACCCATCCAAATATCATCTTCGACTACTTCCGAACCTCTGACTAACACATCGACATCGTCATTGCCAGTCCCTCAGACTGCAGTACAAACTACCAATAAAAACAATGCGCCAGTGATTGGAGGTGTGGTCGGAGGGGCAGTACTGGTTGTGGCTGTACTGGCGCTGATTTTTTACCTGCGGAGACAACGCAATGCTCAAGCAGTAGTCGGAGAAACAAGTTTGTTGATTTCTAAAAATGACGAGTTCATATTTTAATTTTTATATGCGGACACAGATGTGGACAATGCTCTCAACCCTTTCGTATCTCAGGTTCGCAGCAACCACCCCTTCTCGATCACGTCGAACGCGTCTCTCGTTGGGCTCGGTGATTGGCCCCGTTCAAACCGTCCCCAGTCTTCTGTTGTCCCACCATCTGTCGTAGGCATTTGGAATGTGAGTCGTGTTGAGGACTTGGAGGCCGATACTTTCTTCCCTCCCCAGATAGCCAACGAGGAACAAGTCTACCTACATGAAGACGGTGGTGTCCGTATAACTGGTGGTCCGTTCCGCGGACAGGTGGACATTCCTCCCGAGTATCGAGAGTACTTGTGATTAATTTGCGTAGTCTTCACAATGATTTGTCCGGCAGATGCATTCACTGTCCTGCCAAAATTCAGACTCCTTAAAGTGCTGCCGTACACTTTAATTCAGCATCAAGGACCTCTGATTATGTTGTTGATCTGGCGGCCTGAGGAATTATATAACAGTGCACAACGTCCATCTGGCTGGTGTTCCAGCACTGCAGTCATTTGCGCAAGGTGGGATCTTAGTTACTCTGAGGCTCGTGCAGGGAGAATACGTGATTCAAGGCGTGAGCTCAAGCACAAGCTGAACTTCTTGACTTCGATCACAGATCTGCCCAAGACACGAAAATGATGCTCGGTGGCCAGCTTTGCGCAGGGTCGCAGGATGCATTGATCAAGTCCAATACTCGATGCGAGGTGTACTACTATCATGGGAAGGAGCACACAGTGATACAGAGTGAAAGGTTGACGGGGATACAAAAATACTCCGCAACGCTGGGTTGACGGGTGTGGTGAAAGACAGAAACAACAAACACTGGATGCATATTACATTTGCTCATGAGAAACTCCAAACCCCGCTCGTACCTCCCCCATACAACTTCAGAACATGGAAAACATTGCAAGGCTGAATATAATTGCAATAGCCAGCCACATGACCAATGATGAAGACCTTTCGAATTTGTGTTGGATTGCAAACCTCGCAACAACCAACTGGGAGGGACACTGTGCACTGTGGGTAGTGCACTCACGGAAATCCAGTGAATGGAATCACTGGATTCCCATAGGGATGCCTACCAGAATTCAGCGTGTCGCTCACTAGAATCCAGCGATTTCTATATCACTGAAAGGACCAATTTGACATACAGAATTTTCAGCAGCGTCTTCATTGAAATTTGAGTGAACATATCATTAAAATATAGCGAGAGTATCACTTGAAAGAACTGAGGCTATTGCTGGAAAAGATTGATACCGTCACTGGAAAAGATTGATACCGTCACTGGAAAAGATTGATACCGTCACTGGAACAGACTGAAGTCATCGCTGGAAAAGATTGAGACCATCACTGGAAAAGACTGAGGCCATCATTAGAATTGTCCAATCGTAATGCAGCATTAGGGCAGTGCTAATACGTTACAGGCAAATACAAATAGACATCTAATGCATAAACAGAAAGACACGAAGCAAAGTACAGCAGTTGCAATTGATCAGTGAGCTTGAAACGGCGAGCAGAGACAAAGGGCCGAAGATGAAGAGCCAAAGACAAAGAGCCAGAGACAAAGAGCCGAAGACGAAGGACCCAACAGCGGAGACAAAGGGCCGAAGACGAAGAGCCGAAGACGGAAGACCCAAGAGCAGAGACCACTTTGAAGAACAGAGATGAAGAGCAGAGATGAAGGGCTGAAGATGAAGGACCGAAGAGCAGACGAAGACCCGGTGGGGGCGGATGGCTCATCTGCGTGACTGAAACAGACAAATCATCAGTGAGACAGCACGCATAGAAAAAACTTACCCTTCGCCTTGCTGGTCGTGCACGTGAAGGTTTAGGCCGTGGTACCGGGGTAACCTGGATGCTCTCAGGCTAAGCGAGGAAGGAATTCAAGGGGAAAGTTGGTGTGAATAAAAGTTCAAGAGCGCACCAGTTCAGAGAGCTCTGATTCGTCGTCGTCTTCATATGCTGCATCATCATATGATCCAGGAAATTTTGAAGGACCCGCTGTTGGTTGCGATTTGGAAGCAACAGGCTAATGTGTAATGACACGATGAAGGATCTTCAACTCAGCTGAGGGTGCAGCTGATATAATTGTTGAAGGGAGGAAAATATGAGTGCGATATGTTCGTCCCTTAGGGGAAGTGGAGAAAGCAAATATCCACTGGTCAACTCTAGGGGGAATGCGCAAAGCGCGTGATAAGGCGAAAGCGCGGGAACAAAGGCGCTATAGGCGCGCGAAGCGCGGGAAAGTCGCGCGTCGAAAAGCGGAACTGGGTGAAAGCGGTATGCGAGCGATAGTGAGATGTTAAGATGTGTACTGAGATGCTGATAAGACAACTGATGCGGATATGGCCACTAGAGCTAACTGCTACTAGGGCTTGCGATGATTTATTCAAAACATAATAAAAACTCGGAGATGGTGACTGTCTATGATGATGGTGGTCCGTGGTAATGTGTGTTGTGTAAAGTAAAAAAATGTGTAATGAAAAATGTGTACCAAGTGAAAATAAACATGGTACGATGTTGAAATAAATGATAAATGGAGAAATGCATACCTGGGAACTTGGTTGGACATGGGAAAACACAGTGGGAAGTCAGGCGCCGTATAGCGCTTAGGCGCGGGAAAATTCGCCTAAAGCGCGCGCAAGTTGCGCAAGTGTCGCCTATGTCGCGGAAGTGTCGCCTAAGTCGCGCGCGTCGCGCGAACGTCGCGTTTATTGCGCAAGTGTCGTGTTACATGCATGATACTGTAGACTCGACCTATGTTGCAATATGTGCCATTGTGAGGCTACCCAGGATCGAGTCTCTACAACGAATATGAGCTAAAGTGAACAAGACAATGTCAGTGTAAGCATCGAGAAAGGACATACCACTTTGCGTGCGCGCTGCTAGATGATCATTTAAGCCCATGACCGAACGCAAAACATGATACTACACACCTTGGCAGCAATCTTTGCAGCTAAATCGTCATGCATCCTCTGTTCCTCCTTTCCCTTCTCGATTTCATCATTCATCTCCTTGCGGAAGCGCTCGACCTTCTCAACCCGTTTCTCGGCAGCCATTACACAGTGTTGGCATGTAATTCTTTCAATGCGTGAGTCTTCTTCGGTCATTGGATGCAAAGAAACACCTGAATCAGCGCTAGCAATCATCTCTTCATATGCCTCTTCTAGACTGCATTCAAGGTCCTTCAATATTAAGTGGATAGCGACCCAAGGTATGAGGTAGTATTCGATATAGACCTTGAAGTCAAGGGGAGCGAAGGCCTCGTTGGAAATCTGTTCATGGTCGAACATGGAAAATATCGCAGACTGGATTATCGCTTTTCCTTTCTCCCCGTAGCTAACAAGATGTCATTAATGCAGGGTGATGTCACGACGCAAAGAGTAACTCACTATCCAGGACGAGCGTGATTTGTAACCATTGCCGGTATGCGCTGTCTGCTGGTGATGGCCAGCTTGGAAAATTCTCGTTCGGCGGAGTCACTTTGCAGACCTGTGGAAGAAAGATCTTCAAGAAACATGTTGTTGAAAAAACTGTAGCGCCTTGTGTTCTTATCGTGAATCATGAGATTCAACTCAGCCTCCATTTGGAGGACTCGATCTGAGACGGTCTCCCAGGTGATGATAGTTGGCCATCCTCGTGCTTTGGCGCGTTGAATATTGAGCTTTTCTTCACGCAGTTGTCGAAGTGCTGCGCATATCTCGAGCTCCAGCCGTAGACCCTCTGATGTCAAACAGCGGTTAGTGTTCTTGAAAGAATTCCACTGTCGAAGCTGTTTGACCAGCTCAATATTGGGGTCTGCCGGCACAAGATCCCTGCAGTTATTGTTCGGACAGACCAAGGGGAGGTCAGCAAACTCATAAGTGTCATCATCATCATTGATGGCAGTGTCAATCTACGATTCAATGAGTTCAAATGTCAGCCAGTGGCGATGATAAATCACTAAACCTTGAGATGTGCCGCAGAGGCTTCAGTTGCCAGTGGTTTAGGCTTGGTCTTGGCACGAGTGCTGCGAGGAATAGGCACAGCTTTTGCTTTCGGCTTGGTAGTTGATGGACCTTCTGTTGCAACCTTCGTGGTGCGTGTGTCTGATGAGGATATTGGCTTCGACTTGGTGGCAGGTGGTGGGTCTGGACGGGTTGGAGTGGGCAGCGGCAGGTCTAGATGGCGAGAAGGAGCCTGGGTCATCCTTGACTTCGGAGCTGGCTTTATGCGAGGTGCTGGAGCTGGCTTTGCACGAGCAGGAATAGACACCTGCAAGTCACGGTAGCTTTGAGTATTAGTAGTGTAATTGAAAGGTCTTGAATACTCACATGTGCGAACTTGAGTTTTTTTTGAGGTCGTGAGTTGTGCTCCTCGTCAGTCCCTGAATCATCTGAATCATGTATGCGCTGGTGTCGTTTTCGTCGTGAAGTTGAGGTTGAAGTATTGTCACCATCATTAAGCATGTCATCAAGTTCCCCGTCACTGAGATCTGAGTCATCTGTCTGTGTGCATACACTCAATTAGCTTGCAGCTTTCAATCAAATAACTTGCATACCTCTGAGTCGTCCTCACTTGCATGCTTCTTTGTGTATTGGACATGATTGCGAAGATAACTAGCCACAAAGTCATTGAATGGCCAATTGTCACGGAACTTTGCCAGAAACTGGTGTTTGCGCTGTGCCTGAGCATGGTTAGAGTAGCATATATGCACAGAAAAGGACACAATACATGATAAAAGGAGTGTGACAGTGAGTTTGTCCTGCTCTTTGAGAGTTTTTCTCCGTGTCGAGGTATCGATTCGTATATCGCCGTGCGATCATCTAATTAAAGTATGAATCATCTCAAAGTGCTCAGTCCACACAACTCACTCTAAACGCATTATATTTCCGGTTGTCACCGGCCAATCCCATCGCTTGTTGAAGATTATACCCTCCTTTTAGCTCTGATCTCCCTGCCTGACCCTTGGGCTTGTCAATTAGCTTCTTCGCATGCCCAGTGGGGCCGAGCCTTCCACAATTATCGTTTCCTACTCACACAAATGTTACTCCTATTCCTTCTAGAACTTCAACATTTGACTCACGTTGTACATGACGAAGCTTAGTCTCAAGGCGACTGAGATTCTTTGCAACCCTGTCCATCTTTCCGACCGTTTTTCCTTTGTTGTGGGGCATCGTTGATCGCAGTACATAAAGAATCTGGTGAGTTCGTCTGATATTGTCCTTTGTTGACGTGTTATTTGGTGGGCACGTGACAATTTTTCCGAATTTGTCCAAGTCTTTCATGGTTTATTGAGTCCTGCACAATGCAACCACCTAGCATCTGATACGCTGGGTTGCATATCTTCCAGTGCAGGCGCAACCCATCCATACCAATTCATGACTGGAATCCTCGCAAAGCTTCTATCACAATACCTGACTGGTAAATAACTGCTTCTTCCCAACGAAACCAATCAAACTGACCTACCACCCACAGCTTCTCACTCTGCACTAACATACCATGCACCTCCAACGCCAATGCCCTGGACAATCCCTCCCTATCCCTGATTCCAACCCTACCTCCCACTGCTCCTTTGTCTTCTACACCTGACCAATAGGCTATGACTACCTCACCCAACTCCCCACAGGGGAACATGAGCTCATGCTAGGCGGTGGATTTGCACAAGATGGCGATGAGGGATATGAGGTGATGGGAAATACGGACGATACAACTTTATCTGGTGTGCTTCCTAGGTAGGGGGAGGGAAGGGGTGCCTTTGGATGGGGGCGAGGGGGAGTGGGCAGAAGGATGCGTGCATTAGTAGAGAACATTTGTTTGATTGCTGTATCTACATTTCGTCATCCGAAATATAATCTTCATTATACTCCTCATCCACATCCGCAAATGATGCACAAGCAGCATTGATGGTATGATCTATGATACCCCACCTTCTGCGAGTATTAACTCGGCCTACAGCAGCTTTTATATTGCGCAGATCGGTAACGATAATTGGCAGGAATTTCTTATACTCCACAAGGATCTGTGAAGCATCATGCCCACCTGTATCGCAGGGGGCAATGACTGCGAGGATGTGGAAGGAATTTCGGTGAGTCCCCCATATGGCCCTGCCATCCAAGGTGCAAAGTAAGATCTTCTCAAGGCGACCATAGCCTATGACATTGATGATGCGTTTTCCTGAGTCATTATATTGAATCTCGTACTGCAGATGGTAAGTTCTATGATTGAATGACAACAATAAACTTACCCGCACAAAGGTGTTATCTCTGTAGGATTCCGTCAGTCGGCGAATTGCGAAGACAGTCCGAATGGTGTCCCCTCGATGGCAAATCCGTGCTTTTCCACACAGCGGCATCACCATGGGCAGTTGGGCTTGAATTTGATCTTGTCGTCCACCAAGGATCTGGTGGAAGTATGTAGCAATGGCACCCGATAAGTTATTGTCTCTAGGCCTATACTTGTAGTTGATAGGTGTGCAAATGATAAATTCAGGATCTGACACCCAATATCATTAATATGTGTGCCAAGTCATCATTTGATAGATTGATGAGCACGTACATGTTTCAAAAACCCTTTCACCCCCGTTGCAGTTCCCCAACTTGTAGACGTCGAGATGTCACACGAAAATCTTCGCCAAGATCATATTTTATTGTCACCTGGGTCAGATAGGCCATATACAACACCCGACGACTGATATTACTCCAAGGAAACCGGCGTGAATGCAGGTGAGCCTGGAGAAATCCACAGTAGCGCTCCATGTAAAATGTCCAACTTGTCCATACCGGTCCACAAAATCGTATCCCACTTGCGACATGAAGCAGACCATGTATGGGGAGGGTGCATGCCGACAATTGATCCTCTGCATATTGGTAGTAGTACCTGATTGGAAGGTTAGAGTCAACAATAGCGCTGCATTGAGAGGAATGACACTTACTCTTCATATGTTTTGACCCATTGAATTAGTCCTTCGTCGAGTGCATCAATCTCGCCATGAGTAAGTTGGAATTGAAGCATTTTCTTCATCATCCCTGCAAGTTCGCACATGTGGTCATAGTACTTCACGTCTTCGAATCAGTCCTTGAGTATGATTGGGGCCAGGTACATGAACCAAAATCCCCATGCTTCAGCTGTAAAATTTGAGCGATCGTGAGCAATATTCCCAAGGGCCCGTACAAAGGCTGCAGGGATGTGCTTGACAGCATCTGCTGTTTCAGCTCCGATTTCTTCCCAAACATCATCTGGGATCTCGTAGCTCTCTAGACCAGAATCAAGGCCTTTTAAAACGACCGGTCCACAGATTGACAAGGGTAGGTACGACATTCTCAAGAAACAAATGCATCCATTCATATGGAAATGATTTCAAGTAGTCCAATGATTCGACACGTCGTAGTGCAGGAGGGCCGCAAATACCAGTCTGCTTGGCGATGGCAGCTGTCGCTGTTCTTGTCGTGACTGACTTCAATGCTTCATATGTATCGAGGTAGCTCTGGTGTGAGTGAAGCAGTAGATGACGAGGGTCAAGAGATGGTCGAGGCTGGTGGTCGAGATCTGGGGTGCCAAGAGGTGTGTAGTACACTTTGCCGCGGCCGGTGATATTTCGTACTCCTTGTATCTCACATGAACGACATGGATAGACTGCATTGTGTCCCTTTATGTTCAATAGCTTCTCAATAGCAACAATATCGCTGTCCTCAAAGATGATGTATGCATGGAGATCAAAATGATTTCGAGTGGATGTGTCAAGTGTACGCACTCCATCAGCAAGAATAGCACATTCATCATCCAAAGGGACGAGGAAAGACTCAATGTCTTTCGGTTGATGAGGACCCGGAATAACTCCCACACAGATGAGGTTCTCCAGACGAGTTCGGATCTGTGGAGGCAGGTTGAAATTTGCAGAAGGATGGGAGTAGCAGATGGTCCCCCACGGTGTCTCTTGAAGACGAGATAGCCATCAGCAGATAGGGCGAGTGCTATGTCATGTCGCTTGTGAAAGTATTTGTGCCTTCACTCAACACCGTCTATGATAACACGACGGGAGCAAAGTTGGCGATACCACTCGCCATTGAACACATCCCTGATAATCCTTTCACTCAGCACAAAGTTGTGGCGATAAGTCATTTGTTCGATTATTGCAGGATTATGGAAAAGAGCCTGAAGTCGAGGGATAAGAGGAATGTACATGAATGTGTGTCGAGGGCGTCCGTGTTTGGTATATCGGGCTTCATTGCAAAAAGGACATCTTTCGTCATGAACATATTGTCCCGTGTAAGCGATGCAAGATTTTATGCAGCAGTGTATATTCCGGGGTTCAATTCCAGACAGCAGCGCTAAGCGGTGAACTACGACCCATTCAGAATCCAACATCATTTTGTGTTGGAAAGCATAACGCATTCTATCATAGGCATGGCGAGGTATGTTCGCGAGTATCTTCAGCTGAAAAGCTCAGATATTGTCTCGGTCCTCTTCTGTAACAATGTCATTACCTGTGTTAAAATGTTGAGCATGGGGTCGATTGAACAGGAAAACACTCACGGATGTCATAGAAATCACCGTCAACATTTGGTCCTGCCCAAGCATCAAGCTGCTCTGCAATATCCTGGAGCGAAAAGTGCAGGTACTCATCATCATCTGCTTCGTCAAAAATGAAGTTGTCGGGGATATTGATTGGCGTTTCAGATTCGTAGGAGAGATTGGATGCCTCGTCACAGTCGATATCACTACAGGCACCCTGACTATTGCCATCATCGACGCTCATGCCATCATCTGATGACTCAGTGCGGAAGGACCCAGGTCTGCCAGTCGAACTATCGCGATCCACGATTAGTATAATCAGAATAGTACTCTCTGTTGATATTACAGCAGGGCAAACACACTCGTCATTGGAGCTACCACTCTCTTGCTCCATATATCTGTCTTCATCATCTTGCCGGTCTGAATCCGAGTCCTCCATACATTTGAGCTCGTCATTGATAAATTTGCGGTAGTGCTTATTGCGCGCAGACTTTGATAGCCATTTGTCACACGATGGTTTTGTCGGAAAAAAGTTACATGCCATTGTAATGCCGCCGGCTTACGACTTGGGTCATGTGCATTAAAAGGTACATTACAAGTGCCTTTCAAGGGTGGCTGAGGTCATCACAAGCGTGAGATTGTCTTATGAAATGATATCGATAAACAATAATGTTCATCGATTGTACAGTATCGCATCGTCGCTATCAGCATGGGTCCCTCTCGCACTCATCGAAGCAAATACAACTTCTCAGAAGAAACTCTGACAGGGCAGCTTTCATGCCCGCATTGTAGCAAGAAGTTCAAGACCCAAGGCTTCAAGAAGCACGAAGCAAGCTGCAAGAAGCAGAAGGACACCAAGGCGGAACGAGCAGAGTTTGCCCTTCAATATGCACGAGATCAGAGGAGAGGTGAGTCCTCTGCTACCCATTCTTGATGGTTTCCTTTGACAATATTGAGGTATGCAGCTCGGCAGCAGGCTTACACTGACATGGGCATGATAACGCCCAGCGCTGGCCCATCGCGATCAGTCGCTGGGATTCAGAACGCGCCCCCTGCGATCAAAGATCATGGTCCTCTAGGTATGTCTCGCATATTCTTTGCGTGTCCCTACAATGCCAACTGACACTAGCTGACTCTGTGTTGCCAGCAGATAACCCAACGCTGGTGATTTCGAAGCTTACGATGGCAACTTCGAAGGTGCTGGTAGCCTAGGTAAGCGTGCACCATATTCACCTGTATCGCTTACTGATTCTTTTGCATAGCCAACAGCCAGCGAGGTTCTGTTGAACCGCAACCTGCAATACCTCCTCCACAACCCATTGAATTCAAAACAGTCTATCATCCTTCTGCTCGTCGTGAACCGCTCCTTCAAACATTTGAGGAGTTTGGCGTCAATACGCGCCCTGAGGAAGAGCTTCCCGTAGATGAAGAGCCCCTGGCGTCCTTTCTGTTCCCGTGGTGACTTCGAGTTTGCGGAGATCGCACTCAATGCCGCCCTCAACAAGTCACACATTGACGGGCTCCTTGCGCTTATTGGCTGCATATCGAGAGGGGAGAGCCGAGTCACTTTTAAAAATGACATTGAGCTGCGCAAAGCTTGGGAACACGCAACGGCTCAGGTGACGCCGGTATGTCATTAATTAATCTCACATTTTGTATGATA